ATTTAAAACGATTTTTCCAAACGATACGGCGATATTGACACTTAGCCTCGTTTTGAGTCTGAAGTAGCAAAAATCCATAAACCATGGCATTTGACGCCGTATTCCATACCTGATGAGGTTTCAGGGACATATCAACCGGCAATATATTCCATATCCGGGCAAATATTTTTCGTATGTCCCGCTCCAACGGAGCTCCGGGACATATAAATCGTATGTCCCGCTCAAAAAAAAAATGTTGAAAAAAAAAAATTCGGGAAAAAAAATTTGAAAATAAAAATTTGAAAAAAATTGTGTAAAAAGATTTTGAAAAAATCTTGATAATTCTGAAAAAAATTATGTAAAAAATGTGAAAGATTTTTTTTTTCATTTTTGAAAAAAATTGAAAACAAATATGGAAACAATTTGAATTTTTTTTGAAAATGATAACATATTTTGCAAGTAAACACACCAGAGCATATGGGATACATGCTTATTATTTCAAACCTCTTCAGGTATGGAATACCTACAGTTCAGTTATGCATGGTCGGTTTGGATACAGGAAAAAACCCTTGGGATATACAATATATCTTCCCTTGATCCCTTCGGTCCCTCGGGAAGATATATTGTATATCCCTCGGGATATTCCCTGTATCCAAAACCTCCCAGTGCATAACCCCTATGTATGTCATGGCTAAAACACCGTATGCTATGGTTAAGTGAAAAGAAGGAGGGAAATTAGTGCAACAGATTTTGGACAGTCATATTTTGGATTTTGGCCATTTTCTGAGGATTTAAACAATTGCATTATATGTTAGGTCAATGCATTACCCCCAGGAAAATAACTTCTAGAGATTATAAAATAATTTCGACTTTGAGACAGGGTAGATGCAAACAACCCACCCACATGTTTTTTCTGAAATGTTTTCCTAATTTTCGACCCCTTCCACCCCTGCTTTTTCAATTTTTCTTGCATCAATATGTTGCATTTTGACACATAGTTAACCACTTTAAAGGAATACGTGATTCCATCAGGGGTTTTAAAGATACCCATTATGGGTGACCAAACTTAGCTGAAAGCAATGGTTTTTCCTATGGGAAAATAACATGGGAAATATTGTTTTCCACTTTATCTAAAAGGAATCATTTATTCCTTTTAAGGGATTATCTGTGTGTCAAAATGCTACATATTAATGCAAGAAAAATTAAAAAAGCAGGGATGGAAGGGGTTGAAAACCAGGAAAACGTTTCAGAAAAAACATGTGGGTGGGTTGTTTGCATCTACCCTGTCTCAAAGTCAAAATTATTTTATCATCTCTAGAAGTGATTTTCTTGGAGCTAATGCACTCGCCTAACATATGCACCTGTTTAAATCTCCAGGAAATGGCCAAAATCAAACATGACTGTCCAAAATCTGTTGCACTAACTTCCCTCCTCCTTTGCCAAAAATATCATATTTTACCACTGATTTCAAAAATACCGTTTTTATTTTGACATGTTATCCTATGGATATCATGCTAACTATGGAATAATATAGGAATATCCTATGGCTCTGAAAAATATCACTCATATCCATGAGTGGATATTGATATCTTCGCGAGTGAGCGCAGCGTATGAGTGAAGATATTGATATCCATGAGTGGATATAAGTGATATTTTTGAAAAACCATAGGATTGTCCGTTTATCCCATTGGGAATTATTATCCAGCGAACATTGAATAGTCAGATAAATTGCAATGGAAATTCCATTTCGTCTGAGATTTTGATTGCGATAATTCAACGAACATCATATACGTGACGTAACAGAGTGGTTTGTATTTAATGCGAACGCCGTAAAAACAAGATCCCAAAAAATAAAAATATATAATAAATATATAAACAATCGTTTTGCTGAATTAATAAAAAAAATTGAAAAAATCAAAACCATCGAATATCACTTTTGAAACCATCGAATATCACCTTTCAAAAAGTGATATTCGATGGTTTCAAAAGTGATATTCGATGATTTGGGAATTGTTTGCTAAAATATTATATCTTCATCCACGTATCAATTATATCTTCACGTGATATTCGATCTATATCCTTGTAACCATGGGATAAATAGAGATTATCCTATATGAGGTTCAGGATATTGGGATTATCCCGAGGCCAATATAATATATCTGCCCGAGGGCCGTAGGTCCCGAGGGTAGATATATTATATTGGCCAAGGGATAATCCAAATATCCTGAACCGACTATAGGATGATCTGTTTATCCCATACCAATCACATTGTCCAATTGGCCACAGTTCAGAAACTTTGCAACCTACCGTGGAATTATTTTAAAATATTCATGTCCAGTTTTGTATTCTTCTTTTAAGCATCAAACAGATCGTGATTGTCTGCGTTTTTCTTCATTGTAGTTTACAGTATGCGAACGCCCGGGTCGAACATTACAAAAACGAACCAATACAGGAACAGGGATTATGACGTAGCGGGCAGATATACTATATCTGCCCGCTCGGAGCGGGACGTAAAGCTATATCTGCCCGCTGATGAAAATATAAGTTTTTACAAACCGGCTTTATGTACCTGTAACACGTCCAAGTATGGGATAAATAAGGGTTATGTACTGAGAGGTTTTGAATATGGGGTTTTTCCAGAGTGAGATATGCATATCTACCTGAGGGACCGTAGGGACAGAAAGTAGATGTGCATATCTCACGAGGGATGAACCCAATATCCAAACCGACCGTACATAACTGCTTTATCCTATACCAAGTAGAGTTTTCAGTAGTATAAGGTGTAAAAAATAAACAAATCATTCATATGCAAAGTCATTTTATTGCATTTCCACTTTTTGGAAGCGGGAAGATACGCCCCGAAGCGGGAAGATATGCACCGAAGCGGGAGATATGACGGGAGATATGGAGGTTCTTGATATGGAAACCTCAAAATCAGGATACGGGATATATCTTACCAACTTATCTCCCTAAAACCCTACTTGGCATAGGATAAATCAAGATAATTTCTACTCGCATCTAGTCTATTCCACATGTTTGGGAAAGGTGTACAGGAAAATCTCCATGTTGAATTACTCAGATGCGAGTAGGTAGTTACCAGTTTCGCCACCAGGTGGCTGATTCGGGGGAAATAACATGGCAGGGTATTACAAAATTCCCTTAAACCTGAATATGCATCAGTTTTAGTGGTTCACTTTTGAAATTACCCTTATGTATGTGATAGTTATACAAATTAAAATATGTCCAGTAAAAGAAAATATTATCTGCCCAACACAAGAAACGATATTTCGCTTTTTGTAGTATTACAACATGGGGTCTATGGGGAATCTCGCCGACCTAGAAATCACATTGTCAAAGAAAATTAAATTTTCAAAGTTGATAAACTATTTTCAAAACCACATTTTTAGATGAAATTTTATATGTAGATTCCAAATATGACACCAGTTTGACAGAATTGTGAATTTTTAATGACGTAAATCAAGATTATTTCTACTCGCATCTAGGATATTGATGTATGATCAATATATACGAATCGAATGTATTATCGTGTGCATTACAATATCCACATTGAAACATTTTTGGCCTGCAATGGACGTATAATGAATTAGAATATGAGGCCGTGTTATCATTCTAATGTAAAGTCATTGTATTTACTGTGGTATTGGGTTGCAAGTTAATATCAGATTTAATGCAAATTAATCATCTAATATCAGATGCGCGATCAGTCCAATAATCTAATTTCAGGTCATCAGTTCGATATCTAGCACTTGTTCTAACGACACGGTATTACTAGGCTATCATATTATAAATACACACACATATAAAACAATCAAACTGGTACACGATATAAGCACGACTGCTCTTTCAATTGAGTATAAATGTTGATAAACTTACCCGGAAGCCAAGACATACACGTTTAGACGATGCTATTTTCAGTTCAGTGTAAGAGTAAATGCCCGGATATAAAGGCTTTTTCGTGTAAAGTTTTAACCAAGCATCTAAAATCGGGTTATATTGCGTGTAGAATTTATCGATATCAGGGCCGCTACATGCCAGTGTACCAAGTAACACCAAGTTTTCAGTGTGACTTGGTGTGGATTTTGATTTGTAGAGATCAAAGGGATTAAAATTTATTCTAACACCATCTCACACCAGCCAAACAGCATGACTCAGTGTTGAACAGCAGGGGTTTAATCTCTTAATCCTTTCATACCAAGTCACACCAGTTTTATGGTGTGACTTGGTGTTAGATGGTAGTAAAATTATTTTTCATACCAATTAACACCAGAAATGTCCCATTCACACCAAATCCTGATTACTAGTGATAGTGGTGTCTAATATGAGTTCACAGTAAGTGTGTTTCAAAGAAGCTTTGTAATCCATGGCAAATTCATTCACAGAACCAAGGAATCATTGAACTGTGACTGCTTTGGTATCACAGTTTCTCTTCAAATTTGTAATAAATATCTCAATAAAGGTATAGTGACCCGTGGCACATTTTGTGGATTGCTTTTTAGCTTTACTGATTGATTACAGTTGACAGGCTTTCCAGAGAGTATTCTGCTTACTCTATGCAAATTTTGTGCTGTATTGTCATAAACAGAATGCCTGCTGTATGTTTTTGAAATTTTGTTTGCATTTTTTGCTCTTGATATTTGCTTTGGATTGCACAATAAAAATGTTGTTGTTTGAATGCACATGTGTATTATTGATTATTACACAAAAGAACTACAGATACTCAGATATTTTTGCACATCAGAAAAGCAATTGAAAATTTATGTAGTAAGGAGTTGCTCAAGTCATCCTCCAAAAACAGAAAAACAAAATTCGAATTCATGTATAGGAGGAAGGCATTCTGGGAATTTTAAATTTGGAGGTTGGCGCAAGTTGTCATTTGATTTACACATTATTTAAATGAGCACATTTTGTTTGTATTTGACGTTTTGTTTTTAGCTTGCTTTTTTGTTATTAAGATTTTGTTTGTTTGTTTGTTTGTTTGATTGAGTGTTGCATTTCCACAGCATGCTAAGTATGAAGGCAGGCACCCACTCTAAAAGTAACACCATTCTCTCTAGCTTCAGGCCAGAGAAAAGTGGGTAAGTCAAAATATATTTCAGATTTTATACTAAGATGTTGCATAACAGTATCATTCAAAGAAAATTCATACTTAAAAAATAACTCATTATGAAAATAATAATAATATTATTAGATTAAACTGCAATCATATGTTTTCTCTCTTCATAGATAATTATGAATATTTTCGAACAATAGGTAAAATGGTGATATTTTCAAAATCTTAACATAGCTTTTGCATATATTTCAGAGATTCCCTTGGGCCAGGCTCACATGCTCCATCCAGTCCCCGCAAGTCTTTACCCCCCAGCAGCATCTCCCCCAGGAAGAGCATCGTAATGACTGCCCACCATGATATGGAAAGACGGGGTGCCTTGTCAAGGCCAGGGCTGTCAACCAGGGGGAACACCACAATAACATTGGAGAGTGCAGCTGCAGGGGAGAGTGAGGATGAGGGAGTGGACTTGAATCTGGAGCCTGATAAGATGATACATACACCAAGCTTACATGAACAAGGTAATGCAAATCATTTTGTTTTTGACAACATTGGAAACAATAACTATTAATTTAATTCATTATACGTAGAACATATATATATTTTTTTTTTTGTTTAATTTATTTTGGGAATATAGAAACCTTTTAAGCCCATTCGTTTTTGTAGGTAGATCTAAAATTGGTGACCAGAAACAAAGAAATCTTCTGACCTAATATTATACTCTGTGTTTATAGCTCTGCTAACCAAGGAAGATGATAGTGTGGCAGTTGCAACTCCATTACTAGTTGTACCTCAAGAAGACCAAGTCTGTGTAGAAGGACAGGGGTTCATGGGACAGTATGTACCTCTCACTAGGGGTAATCTTGAGGAGAAACTGTCAAATGAGTAAGTTAACAGCATTAATGTATGAAACCATTGATTTGGAATTGTTCATATATACATGTACTACATGGAGATCAGTAATGTATTTACTGCATGATATCCCTTTTATATCCCTTGCCTTGGACTAATTTGCACTAATTTCCTGTCATCATTTTATGTTGGTGTAGACCTGGTGGAGCTTACTGTAAATCCAGTGAGGGACACATTATGCTAAACCATTTTAAACAATCAGACTGCGGTAAAAGAAACAATTTGAAAAATATTTTTGAAATTTCGGGGATTCAAATATTCAAAATGGCTGTCATTTCAGTGAGACCTACCGCAGGGCCATCTATAGGGAGGTAGAGTTGATGGATTCTGCTATAAAGGAGATACAGGCATACTGTGAGGAAAATAAATGGCTGAGTGAGATCCAAAACTTCTGTAAAGAATGGAATGAACAGTCGGTACAACAATGGAAGGGAGCAGTGGCATTCCAAATAGAGGTAATTACTTGGAGTCTTTGCTGTATCATGGCCACCAAATTCATTTCCTTTTGAGACATGACTACATTTACCTATCTTGTATTTGGTGTCATGTCAAATTAAGATTTTTAAATGTCCTTCAAAGTTATTTGAAATGTTTACATGTAATCCAATATCATTAATTTTATGATGAAATTAAGTGTAGAAAAAGGAATAATAAAATCACAAAGCCAATTAATCTTTTTTATCAATAAGGAAGCCATGGGTGAGAACATATTTGACACTTAGTCTAATAAATAAACATTTTGAATTGCAGCAAAAATTGACAGAAATCCGGACATGGACAGAACAAGTGAAAAACTTTGACCGCAACTTTGTGACAGAGAATGGAATCTTCTACATAGATTGTGCTGGTGTACACGAAAGCCTTGTCCCGAGACTAAATGAGATATTTAAGGAGTTGGTGAACTTTGTGGCAGAAGAGGGAAGGTCTCTGGCCAGAAATTTCTGCCAAGAAATGAAAGAAGTCCTTGCTGTGAGTCACACTGGAGAAAGTCTAGTCATTTTTAGTGTTTGATAATGAATAGTTAATTGTACATGTACCATATAAAAGCTTTCCAATCACCTTCTGACATTATGGGCTTGAGATTGAAGTACATTATGGCATATACTGGCTATAGGTGATGGGGGATATCTGATTGTAGGAGTTTGACATGGAAAAAGTCTGGTTTTATATTCCCTATTATCATATGATGCTATAAATATTATTGGAGTAACAATATATAAAGATGTGTTTACTTAGTGTTTCATTTATAGACTCCCCAAATTAGATATGATACTTAACATTATTATTGTGTACTCTAGATTAACCATACCACTGAATCATGGAAATATATTTTCAGAATATGAAAGATAAGAAGATGAGCATTGATGGCTTTGCAGAATACGCCAAACATGTGACTATCTATAAACAGAACACAATCAAATTCCAACAAACAGTCGAGTACATCAAGTCCCTTTTTGAGGTAAGATTGTGATGAGACAATCATCCCTTTTTGAGTCGTCTATTGCAAAGAGCTATTTTAAGAAAATGGAGAACAGTAGATATGCACATACTTATGCCCGCAATTGTCATAAATGTTTTTTTAGAATAATATAGCACAATATTGATAATAATAACTATTTTTATTGTCATTTTATTAATATATCTTACAATCATTACATGTTCTTTTATAGACTATATATGAGGTGAATATAAGAGATAGATGTTATACCAAAACGTAATGTGTAAAGAGAGAGAAGCAAAGATGAATATTTGTCAAATTCGGGATGTTTACATAATTATTGCACACGTGACTAGCCTTTTGTGAATCATGCGTGCAAAATCCATGACATGATGCATAGGTCTACTAGAATATGTAGAGAGGATATATTTTTGTTCTCGTGTTAAATCTTCGAGTAATGATGATGGTATGTGTCTCTAATATATAATTGACTTGTTTCTCTCTCTCTCTCTCTCTACTCTGTTGGTTTAATTGTTCAAACGTTCTGGTTGTTAGTTTTTAGAAATAGAATAAGTTATAAAGTTATAAGTTATTATCTGGAGATTTGGCTTACTGTAACTTCATGGTTTATTTGCTCAGCTGATAACCGTCAAGTTAAATTTTTTTTAAATAGCCATTTATATTACTGAATTGCTGGCTATGGGTTTTATTCTGCCCATTGCTAAAGATATGTCTATTGCCAAAGATCTGTCCTTCACAAAAGATCTGCTTTTGCCAAATATATATCTATTGCCAAAGATCTGTCAATCACCAAATATTGTCCAAAGATCTGTCTGTCGTCAAAGATCTGTCTAATTCCAAAGATTTGTCTATTGCCCAAGATCTGTTCATTGGCAGGGATCACAATTGCTGAGTCACTCCTAGAATATTTGTCTTAATCCTGTATCTTTATTTCATTATAGGTGATCAGAATGAGTTACAGACAGTTAACAGCTGAAGAAGAAAAGCTAGAAGAAAGTATATGGCAGGCCTGGGAGGCGTTCCTCTTCCAGATGCAGGATGCTTTAGAGTTTGTCAACACACAGGCCCCATTGGTTACACAGAACCTAGAGGAGACATATCTGGTATGTATACTTAGAATGTCTTGTATGTATAATGCTCCAGTGTACATATTATATATTTATTGTTATGCTGTAATGTGCACGAGGACTATGGGGCACATTGTACTGTATTTTTCATATGGACCTGTACTCTGTACTGTACTGTACTGTACTGTACTGTACTGTACTGTACTGTACTGTACTGTACTGTACTGTACTGTACTGTACTGTATTGTACTGTACTGTAGGTTGACTGTGTCATGGACTGTAATGCACACGAAATGTACTACAATAAACAGTACATGTATGTAATTAAGTTTTAATCTACTCATTTAATCACTAATATAAAACTGTTCCATTTAACCCTCATTTTAGCTAGCAATATCCTCCTGTCAATCTGCATGAGATTTTTAGTTTAGTACATCATCAAATCCTAACTGTGAACCATTCTTTAATTTATTGTTATTTTTCTTCATAATAACTAACTGGTTTTCAGGTCCAGCTGTAATGTACATATATATGGTAACAGTGATTAACATCTTAGGCATGTTGCACATACACAATTGCAACAATACATTGCAGATTTATTTGAATACTCAAAACAACATAGTCTTGCATCAAGTCCCTGAACCCCTCCTGAATCTACTTCACTCTTAACTTAGAGGGGGCGGGAGTCCCCTGGGGGTTACAAGGGCTTGATGTAAGAGAAGAGTAAAAACTCAAGAAGAGACTGGCTCATATAGCATGTAAATGAGTCATATTGCACCACAATTAAATGTCATTTTCACTAATATTGTTAAATTAAATTTTGACTCAGCTGCCTAATTGAACCAAATGACATATTTCAAGTTCAGAAAATGGGATTTCATTGGACATTTTATTTTGTTGACTGTTTTTGCACATTTTTGTATGCAACTTTATATTTCAAAACAGAGACATCTGTGCACATCATGCCATGTGTGTATGTCTCTTTATAGGGAACAGACCGATAGATCTTGGGGGCGCTTAACCATTTACTCCTTACCTAGATATTTTACTGGAATTCAACTGAATTCCCGAATATTTGGGCTTCTATTTTCACCAACCTTTTTTATATACCAAACTAACTGTTTATCAGCTCAAAATATTTTTTTTTTTCAAATTTTTACCTCTCCAGGATATATTGGTCTGTACCTTTCGCCATCAATTGCATGGTATATGTGCATGATTTACATATTGCATTCCATTAGATGTCATCATAGATGTTTTCATTGTAACCTGAACATATTTTTACGTATTAGCTACAAATATTATAACTTTGTTTGTTCTGAAAGTTCCTCACATTTTTCTCCCATTCTTTACTGTGAGATAGAAATTCTGATTTATTTGTCAAAATAAATTAAAGGGACACATTTAGGTAGATCTTGTTTGATGATTTTCAAACCTGCAAATAATCTCAGTGTACCTGTCAGCTCCTTGCCACTAAAGGCCATTTCTCAAGAATACCACAGATGACTTAAGATCCCAATTGCCTGAATGGTTAGTTAATGGGGAAATTGTAAAAGACTTGGATCCATATTTCAATTTTTTTTGAGAAATAGCCTTCAGATTATATATTCAAATCTGCCTACCATAAAGGATTGGTATCGATATGGTGAACTTTTTGAACACTTGTTTCTCTTAAAGCTGTCATCAAAAAATTCTGAAAGTTTTACACATCTTTAATTTAATGGTCATCTTTTGAATTGTAACAATATAATTTGAAAAATGTATATATTTTTTCTCTGTATTGTTTTAGAACACATCAGGCACTTCTTTTGTTCTTGTTTTATCTTAATTTTTATCTATTTTGGGGGGTTTTTGTTTTAATTTTTTGAATACTTTCTCTTTAATCAACCAAAATTTCCTTTGTATAATTAAATATTGAGAGGTCTAAGAAAATGTTGTATATGGTATTTTGTTCCAACAAGGTTCGGAAAGATATTTTATTTCATTCTCAAGAATTGGTAGAAAGGAACAAAAAACAATTGCACTAAAAAAATGTTAACAAAACAGTTATATGAAATATATATAAATAATTTTCGCATAAAATTGTTGTCAATCATTCAACATTACATAAAGGACCATGTTTTTTACAGAATGTTTTCAATAATTGGTTTAAGAGGAAAACATTGTTGAATTCAGTTCACCATATCGATACCAATCCTTTGAATATAACCGAATACAAGAATTGTTGAAATGTCCCTATATGTTGTTCTATGTAAGTTCATTTAGTTATTAACAATATTTGTGTTTAAAACACACAAATATTGCACATTGCTATATGTTACATTTCACCATATTAACCCAAGTAACTATATACAGTAAAACCTGTAAAGTGGAACACCTCTGTTAGTGAAACACTTTTTAGAGTCCCAAGAACAACTGACTATGTTAAATGAACCTCTATAAGTAAACATCTCCCTTTTCAGAGGTACCAATGGTGTTTCACTTAATAGACACGTTTTACTGTACATGTAGTGAGTTATATTTCTTATACTTGTTAAATATTTTCAGAAACTAGAAAAAGAGGCTGGTGAGATCTACCAGGAGGCCACTACTGGTAAATATCTTGACCCAGATCAGCGCCCAACTACCATATTGTTTGACATGAGAAAGGTAAGAATTCTGCTATAATGGAAAGTTTGAATAAAACTGTAAGGTTGTAGGTTCAAATCTGATAAAGGAAAGAATTACTTCATCATCAAATTCCTTTATTCAGGAATTATTTCCATGTTTTTTTAAGTAACTGATGTATAATGATTGTCCAGATACATTATATTTGCCTGCCAAATTACTTATACCAAAAATGGGATGATAATATGGTCAGTTTGGTAGGTGGGTGGTGTCATCTCACTTTTCTTGTCTGGGTATCTCCAGAGAAATCATGTGACAAATTGGAACCTCTTTATGGGTTTTTGTTTATGAAAATCCATTTGATTTCTAGGTGGTACGATATTATTTACTGTGTGCCTTGTTTTTAATTTCTTTTTAATGATTATTATTAATAATTGTTATTAAAACAATAATGTTGAATAAGCTTATTTTGACTTTGCTTCGACAGGCAAAATTTAGAAACATTAAAATTTCAATTTAGGTTTACATAATCTTAAAATACTTGATATAAAATTATTGTGTATCATGTTTCAGCTTCGTGAGAGATTCTTTGACAAGTTTGTGAAACTGCAACAAGCAAGTAAATGGCGTGAGTCTATCATGGGAGAATGTTATGACATTAAGTATACTCAAAAATGGATGACAGATATGGATCTGAGACAGGAACTCTGGAAGTATGTAGAGGTGTCAACTCATGCTATAAAGGACTGGAGACAGCTATTGTTTAGGAAGGTAAGTGTTTTTTACATTAATAACTAGTGCACCACTTCTTTTAATCATTTTAGTGCTTTGATTGTACATCATTTCTTCATTTTTTTGATTATCTTTTTACATACTTTTTATTTTTTATACCACAACCATTCATTTTCTTCAACATCTGTCTATTGTTATTTTTAATTATCAGTGCAAAGATCAATATTACAATAATTTTATATTTTTATTAATTTTTATTCAAATAAAATATTAACATATAATACACACAATCCTCTTTGACCTGCAAAGTAGGATACATTTTTACATACATACATTTCATTTAGCATTTTGAGAGCATCCCATTTAAGAAGTCACGACACATGATAATGAAATCAAACAATATCAAAGTAATAAAATTTGAATCGAAGGATTCCTCTGAAAAATAGAATGAAAAGTGTGAAATCGGCAAGGAATAAAATAAGCAGTCATTTAGAAAATACCCCAAAGTGTACAAATATTTCTAAAAATTGTAACGTTCATTCATATTTTAGAGAGAAAATGTATGAAATAGAAGCGACCACCTTGACCATTTCATCAAAGGTTTCCCTAATCTTATTACATTGATTATTCTTATTGACATAAGCTACCCTTTGAGGGATAGTCTCAGACTTATCAGCTTTCTGTCTTACAGAAAATTCAATATGATACAAACAATTATTCTTCAAATTTAAAAAACAACATGCACTATAACAAAAAAAAACATGTTATATTCAATACAAGGTCATTTTTTCATTATCGTAAAGCAAGATTTTTGTCGTAGTACATTAGTTTTTCACACCTTGGCCAGTAATAATCTGGAAGCTTATCTGGACATGACCTAACCAGATAGGAGTAATAGTGGGGACATGCTGATGACATGAAGAGTCCTTGACATTCCTTAAATTCCAACTTGAGAATTCAGAATTTGATTTGATGCTTGAATTTCTATGAAATATCGAAACCTTCTACGAATAGAAACGTGTTCTAAAGTGCACGTGTACGCCTATGTAAAGAGTATGGGGACCGGATCAACCCTGTTTTTCCATTCTTACTGAAACATTTTTGTCTTTAGATTTCATTTCGACAATTTTCAACAGAAAAATAAAATCTAAATACTTTTTATTTTAGCTTGATCCAGCAAGCTTTGAGTTGAAAATATAAATACATTTTTGATTCACTGAAAAAAACTCTCGATGGGGACATTTACTTATTTCTCAGAATCATGAATGAATATCATGCTTTCATATGAAGTGGTGTTAAAGTAACTTGATTATGAAAGACACGTGTATGACAAGACCAGATAGTGGTAATCAATGCTTTTGTGCACTTATCATATAAGCCATTCACCTCATGGAGGCCACAGCTTGAGCTGAAGCAATTACTTCAAAGTGAGACTAATTAATATCTTCTGGGAACAAACTAGAACATTCTATTAGCCTTTTGTGGATCGATCAATAATGAAAAGTGTAATTGGAAGGAATGTTGATTATATATATTATACCATGATACTTCATTTCTACATGGTTGTCTCCATATTGAAATCGTATTCACCTTCTCATCCTTGAATATCATTCTGTAGGTTTTTTTGTTCAGCATACTTCTAATGTTCAAGAAAAGAAGGCAAATGTTATTTCAGTTGAAATTAATGTTATAAAATGTTAATTTTTCAATTATCTTTCAACTATATCATTTTCTTCAAGTTAAAGAGATTTTTACTCTCTTTTTAGAAGTTTAGTGTTTGTTATATGCATAGGTACCTTGATATTTCATATATTTTTAAAGAGGTTTGATTGAGTTTTGACTTAAGAAATGGGACAATATTAAGAAAGCATTTAGATATTGTGGTCCAAAAGAACTACAAGAAAATCTTACACATTTTGCTATGATGGTTTTTTCGTTGTTACTTTCTTCAGTTTCTTTGGTTTTGTTGTCACAACAATGAGGTCTTCCTGACTTGGCCAGACTTCTATTTCTTCTTCAATTGTTGAAAAAACCTCAATATCAACACTCTTTGGGTCTTTAACATTCTGTTCTACATTGCTATGAGTCAAAGTTCTATATTCAGGAGTTGATTTCATTTCTTGACTAGACATAGGTTTTGTCGCTGAAGTTGTTGACGATTTCAGACTAACCTTTTCGTCCTTTTGTTTGTCTTGTATTGTGCTTTCTGTTGGTTTGTATTCTTGGGTCGGTTTGATCTCTTGACGTGATAGAAGTTTAGTTAATAATATAGATGGCGTCTTTTGAGTTATTGATTGCAGAGCCCGCGCTTTCCTAACTGCTATAGCTTCAGTTGATATTATCAAGTTACTTTTTGATGTTGGCTTGACAGTACTTTTAACAGGTGATTTAGTTGTTTTTACTGGGTTTATTGTAGTTCTTAATGTTGGTTTAGTAACATGAATTGTTTTTGATGCAGTAGCTGGCAGTTTTGTTGATTTCAATGTTGTCTGTGCTAATCGTGTAGTTGATCGAAGTACGGTGGTTGATTGAACTTTCCTAGTTGTTTGAACTGTCTCAGTTGATTGAATATTGTCAGTTGATTGAACTGTTTTAGTTGTTGGAACTGCATCAATTGTTTGAATATTATCTGTTGTCATGCCTGGATGTAGTTTCTGAATCAGAGCTGGTATATCAAGCTTAATCAATGCAGCAGTATTAGTTATCAGTTCCCGCATATATTTGTAATTCTCTATGTTCTTTTGGGCGCTCAGTTTCACAGGGACATTGTCCATTGGTGTATAAATTCTCTGAGGTGAGTTAAAGCCAAGATATCTTGTTACGCTCTGCAATGGTGTTGATGAATCTTTCCCCAAGGCCTCTGAAGTGATGAAAACTTTATCTCTATGTTGGTGAATGTCTTTTAAATGTTCATGCCAATATTTCCTCTCATCTGCCATAAATTGCACAAACTTTAGCCAGGTAATTGTCACCTTTACTTTAGCCGAGTTTGAATTCAGACTCCTTGCATTTGTGCTTTCCAAGATTAACTTTTCCAGGAATTGTTCTAATATATTCTTTCTGTATAGAACTACAAGTTTGAAATGAGGTAACACTTTGGCAAAATCTGTTATTTTAAGCCGGTGTTTATCCAATTGTCTGGGGGTTATCACAAACCCTGTGCTGTACCCACAATGCTTGTGACCCCCTACCAGGTACATCTTTATATAAGCTAATAGTTTCGTATAGCTCCATTGAGCACCTTTAGCGTCAATTTTCACGATCCTATCAAATAATTTAGTATCCAGTTTTAAATTTGGATGAATGTTAATAAGTTCCGCCAATGCGTCAACATTGCTATAATCGCTGGTTAGCACGATAAAGTTTTTAGATTTTCTCTCTTCACATCCAAAATTTGATGTCATATTACGCCTGTCAATGAGAGTTGTTTCCATTGAGTCTATGAGGGTGATCTGGATGTACAAATGGAAAGATGACATAAGGAGTACTCCAATCGCTAAGTAGATGAATTTTCGATATTTTGTCGTCATGTTCATTAAACCTCCTATCCACCAACGTCGTCTGTTTAGTCCATTGAAAATCAAAGTTGGTCTCACTCCACGGATGTTAACAACCATTTTGATAGTAAAAATTCTTATTGATATAATTGAATAATATTTTAAACCACAAATCTCTGTGTTCCTTAATTGTATCTATTGTGCTTTGCAATTCTGCTAGAATTCACGCCTAAAGAGAATGTCTGAGATTAATGCCTTTTGAAGTACGAAAGCAAATATGCGGTAAGATGTTCTATTCAATTGAAGATATATTGCCATACTTGGCTCAGTGTTCTCTTCTAGGGACTGTTTGTCTCGAGTAATTTATGAATATTGATACATCCATCCAGGGGTCATCTCAAACTGACATGATATACATCAGTTGCCTCAACAAGTAATTGTATTTAAATTCAGGATCATATGGGGACATTTATTGCTGAAATTATATATTTAGTTATCATGATTTATTAGATGAATTCTGATTTATGGAAGTTGGTTGTGAAATTTTTTTGAACTAGGTACTGAAAATGCTGGATTAAAGAAGAAATTGTGGATAGAAGTGGACAATGATCGATACCATTTATTGAACATGATTAAGGATTGTTAAATATTAATTGACGGAAGATAATAGATTAGAAATTGTCACATTCTACTTGAGGTTTATATTGATTTGTTGTCTCAGGAGTGAAGGTTTTGTTTGACAAAGGGGAGCAGTAAATACTTTCTGGAACTCTTTAACTTGTATCTTATCTCAATTTGATAATTGAAATTAATTAATTCTGAATGTATTGAATATCATATAAGGCCAACCTACAAGTGCGGCAAAACAGTGATTGGTGCCTGATATTTATAACTTTATTTTAAAAAATACGAAATTTTAAAGAGTTGGTATTAATGACTAAATTTAATGAAAATTATATGATAAATCATTTTCATGGAATATGAGATTTAACTAATTCCAAAATCTGAAGCTCACCCCCTCCCCTTCAAATAAGTGGTGTTGCTTTATCTCAATTTCACCTAATTCTTGAGAAGATCATACTGGGAAGATTCATAAGTATTTTGGTTCCATGTATGGGGAAGATTTATTGCCTAAGTCTTAACATTTAACCCGACAAGCTTAATAGCCAGAATAGCATTGATCTTGTAATTCATCAAACCTTAATCACTTTCTTTATCATATGCTACATTTATCAGGATATACGCAGAAATGATAAATGCTTTGGAATATTTTTCAGACAATTAATGTATCCTGTAATTTGGAATAGATCAAGACATTTTTGTTGCCTTATAGATAAAAGGACAAGTGTGTATTGAAGCACAAATGACCCCTGATGTTATAATCAAGCATGAAATAGGTTGTTTACATGTATGCTACTCCAATATAAGCTTTATCCAATGCCCAGTAGAGTTTTAGGTAGATAAGTTAACAAGATATATCCCGTATCCTGATTTTGAGGTTTTCATATCAAGAACCTCCATATCTCCTGCTCCAGGGCATATCTTCCCGCTTTGAAAAAAATTTGAAAAATCATTTGAAATTTTTTTTTTAAAATGTGAAAAAAGATGTTGAAAATAAAATTGACAAAAATAAAATAAAATTTGAAAAAAAATTAGACAACTACTGGGTATAGGATAATGCAGTTATGTATGGTCGGTTTTGATATGGGGTTTATCCCTCATGAGACATGCATATCTACCGTCGGTCCCTCAGGTAGATATGCAACATCTCCCTCTGGACAATCCCCAAATCCAAAACCTCCCAGTTCATAACCCTTATGTATTTGTTACTCCAAAATAATCTGCTAATTTATCTATGTTCATTTTTGCCCCATTCGTAAATAAATCATTTATTAGATTCTATCTCAATTTAACTGCAGTCATAAGGTCAAGTTTCACGTGCTGCTATAGTCACACTGTCACCTTATGATATTCACGGGTTCGTTCAGATATCAATGTGTCACTTTCGGATGAAACTAATTAAGTTAGGGGAGGGGATAAAAGCCATAATTAGTGACAGAATTTTTGTTTTTTTCAATAATTTTAGGGTTTCAGTAGATCTATTTCTTGTGGAATTAAGCCTTTAAATATTAAAGGCCAAAATATATATTTTTATATTTTGGCCTTAATGTAGAATTGCACTTTGCAGAATTTTTTAATTTCATCATTACAGCTTGCTAGAAACTTAAGAGTAATTATATTGTATGGTGTATTTGACTTGGTTTCACCCCAAGTTTCTTTTTATTACTCAATCTTGTACCTCATAAATCAACCATATTCAATTCCCTTGGTAGCAGCAATTGACTTGATAATGTCATGAAATATGTTCATGTTTACATTGATTTATTTCTTGTTATTGAACACAAGAATACTAGGTTCTATGTTAATACATATATGGATCTGCTGTGGGTGAAGGATATAAGTACAAGGTCCTATATATTAGATGAGTGATAATATATCAAATTTAATTATATGCATTGATTGTCATGGTTTTTATGTGGTGACATATTAAATAATCTCAAACTTTTTGTGGACAGTTTTTGGCATTCTGTGGTCAGCATTCCCATCTGAAACAAATGCCAGTTAGTGACATTTGCATGTTAATGCCTTGTTTAATTTTATGTTAAATCAACATTAATGAATTGAGCTATATATTGATTCCATTTTATCTAAGATTAAGGATTTAAGTACTGGTTTCAATCATTTGTTTGTTGGTTGCTGTATGTGCCTAGATATTCTTTTTTTAGAAAGAAAATGATAAATTGGTCAAAAATCTTATTCCACTGCTTGTTGCATCCTTGACATAGTGAAGAATCAATGAAGTAGTCAATTTCGCTGAATCAATAAAGCCCATACACTGTAAATTGCGTTTCAATTGTTTCAATCATTTTAGTCATTTCAATGCATACATCACTTCCTCTTTTTCAATACTTGCATCATTTCAAGCATTTCAATTTGAAGTTTGGTGGTTTGTGTTTGGCAATTGGTGTTTGGCATTTGGTATATGTAACAAATGGCAGGTGATAACATTTCACATGTGAATGCCTTGTGTGTTCTTTGCCTGAAAGTGATTTAGATTAGAATCTTTAAATGTGTGTGAATCCATATCATGTATGATTTTATATCATCTAAGATCATAGATCAACATGAATGCTTGATTTCGTCATGGGCCCATATTAATGTAATATTCTCTGTTTGCAGATGAATGTAAAAAAGGCATTGGACAAGATCACCGAATGGCAGGTTGCAGCAGGACAGTTGAAGCAACATCTCCCCCTGGAGGACAATGTGCTTTCTCACTGGTACAGAATGCTGAGAGAATTTAAGCAAGACCTACCTCTTCTTCATAAACTAGCCAGTGATGCCCTAAAGGTAACGATTTAACCTGGTTTTATTTTTAGTGGAGTTAGCTGTTTATGTTTAGCCAGTGCTGCATTGAACAAATATATTTTACCCAGTTCCCCCAAATTTAAGTGGAATTTTTAAACAAAACTTTTAACTGTGAAACAGGACTAACATCCCTTATATATTACATTTTCTAATCGAGTTCTGATCTAGTTGGTAGAGAACTGGCCATTTCACTTTTAGTTATTTATCAAAAAATATTTGAAAAATTCATTTCTGTTCATTTTTATTTTAATTTTAATTTTGTAAAATTTTTGTAGAATTTTAATTTTGAAAAATAAATGACAAAAAAACTTTATTTTCTGTGTATTTCCAGCCAAGACATTGGAAGGCCATATTTGTCCAGATGGGAGAGGAATACGACCCTAGCTGGGAGTTTACAGTTGATGAACTTCTCTCTTTCAACCTGGGCCAGCATTCTGCAGTTATAAACCAGGTAATAATGGAATTAGGTTCATTTTATTGATTAACCTATCACCCAATCATTTGGTAGGTATTGACTTCAATTACGTTATGTTTTATGAACAACAGTTGCTTCCCAGCCTCTATAATACAAAAGGAATTTGTTTCCAAGTGCTGTATTGATATGGACATCCCGAAGTAGACTCTCATAGAAACATTTGAAATTAAATCATTAATTGCTTTATGAACAATCAAAATTATGTTCCTGTAAATATTTGTATTTTGTACTTTTCTTAATATAATTAATTAGGTATATGATGGCGCTGTGGCTGAGTTTGAACTGGAACAAAGACTGCTGAAACTGGAAAAACTCTGGAAGGAAAGACAATTCAAGCTCGCAAAACACATTCCTGATAGTATTTACCAATCAAAAGGTAAGAATCCCTTTTTAAAATGAGGATTCAAGCTTACTTGAGTCAATGACTTGTAAGTCCCTGGTAGAGTCCAAAGCTCATTGTTAGTAAAATGATAAAAAAGTTAATCAGCATCCATATGTTGTTGTTGTTGTAGAAAATATTCCAGCGGGTAGAGCGCCCTCTGGAAAGAATAGGAAGCGGGTTGAGAAGTACCGCTACGACAAGGCTGTGGCTAATGTACCCAGGGGCATCAAGGTCATTGATGAAGACTTCTATGTTCTAATTGAGATTGAAGAACTCAAGTACCTCCTTGAGGTAAGTTATCCTTAGTCGCACCTTGAAATATTCAATGTAAAGTGAAATGATTTCAAAATATTCATAATAGTTTTTAGGTACAAATGGACTGTGCCATATCTTCTCTCATTATACGGTATAACTATTTTTTATAAGCTCAACTATCTTGAGAGCACTAACTCTTTCGAATAAATTACCTTATGACCTAAGGTCAACCAATCTCAATATTCAAATTGTTCATCAGCAAAAATATGAGCCTTACTACTACCCTAAGATTGAAAATATCATGACTCTCATTATCAATGATTTTTACATGATTTTTCATGATTTTTACATGATCAAAAGAAGTCCGGTGTAATTTACAAAATTGATTGTAAAGACTGTATTGCCACTTATGTAGGTGAAACAAAGCGGGAACTAGTTACTAGAATCAGAGAACATCGTAGACCCACATTACTGTCGACTGGAGGTCTTGCTTCTGCGGTTATTGAACATTCCATGGAATATGATCATAATATAAACTGGAACAATGTAAAAATCATTGATAATGAGAGTCATGATCTTAAACGTAGGATTAAGGAAGCAATTCATATTAAAACAATGCAACCTAAAATGAACAGAGATAATGGGTATCAGTTGGACAATTTGTATCATAAAATATTGTAAATTAAGAATGGTATAGCAAAGTATGCAATAGTAATATTTGAGTTTAATTGTTACCATAACGATGATATATTTATCTTAAGGTTATTATTAGGTCATTCGTTTTTTCGTATCTATGTTTTTTGTTGTTGTTATTTTTTAGGTTACTAGGTCATTTGTTACATAATTAAATTTTCCATTGTCTGTTTATGACGTCACATAAATGTATACATGCTGTTATATTTTGAAAAAGACTAAGGGATATTAGTCGAAAGTCTCAATAAATTAAAAATATTCTCTGAAGTAAAGAATTTGACTTGTTTCTTAATAATATTGTATTTTTATTTCAGGATAGCAAAGTAACGATACTGTCTATGTTAAATTCACCATATTTGGCAGAACAACGTCCCAAGGCGGAGTACTGGATGGATGTTGTCACTCAGGTGGAGGAACTACTGGATCTCTGGCATATATGCCAGAATAAGGTACATCAATTTTGAGCCTTCAGGAAAGAGAGAAACAAAAAGAGAAGGGTGAACATGTATCATTAAAAATAAAAAAATATAGTTCATTTTGTATTTGTAATATATATTACTGTATTTGATATTTTATTATGTTAGTGAATTACTACCAATGCTTACCGAACCAAAGTTAACAATGGCATTTGCACATACATGTACAGGGCGTTCAATAAGTATTGCTAATTTTGTTATAACTTTTGTTATCTTACATATTTCTTCATGAAACTTTTACAACATAAGCAACATATATCTGACCTTATAATTTCAAAATTCCTGGACAACCGACTTAGTATTGACAAAGTTATGGTAACTAGGGTAACCATTGTCCGTATTTGCGGGGCAACCTTAAGGGTTTACACGATGAATTATTGTTATACATCAAATAAACACGTTGATGAATAAAAACTGTTGATATGGTCAGATCTTGATGTTGTCAGTTTGAATTATATGTATTATCTAATAGCGGTGAAAAGAGATCTGAGAGGAATATTGCACTAGAATCTCATTCAGGGGATGTCTGCAGTGAACACTGCACATCCCTAGCCACACACTTCAACGTCCTCAAAGAGCAATATCGACCTATATGGTCCACCAGGATAACGCCCCTGCTCACAGATCCTCTATTCTCCTTAAATACAATAACAGAGCTTGGCATGGAAGCATTGCCCCACGCGGTACGCAGCATATTTCCCAGATAAGGCCCCACTTGATTTTGTTGTATTCGCCCCAGTGAAAAGGGATCTGAAAGGAATATCACACCAGAATCTCAATCAGCTGATGTCTGCAGTGAATACCTCCCTAAAGCCACACACTTTAAGGATGGCTTCAAAAATGTGTACCATGAGTGGGTCGCCAGACAGCAACTGTGCATTGACGCTAAGGGTGGCTGCCTATTTTGAGCACCTCATGAAGTTAATATGGATCATGAAGTGACTAGACTCTGGAATGGATTATTTATAACTGCACTGCATATCCCAAGAGTTAAACGGCATTAAATGATACTGCTTTTAACACTCAAAATGTCGTCCAAAGTGACGTCATAAATTTGCCCCGCATATCCATGAAACCGGTTACCTTAGTAACCATAACTTTGTTTATACTGATTCGATTGTCTTGAAACTTACCTAGAATAAAGTCAGGTATATGCACCTTATGTTGTGAAAGTCATGAAGAAAAAGCAAACAGAACAAAAGTTATAGCAAAATTAGCAATACTTATTGAACGCCCTGTATATGTACCTATTTAGGAAATTGATTTGAATTGTAAAAAGTAGAAATATGAGAATAATTATTAAGTTCTTTAGATAAGAAAAATATTTTATCCAATCTGCAATCATAGAATGTATAATAAAGTTTCGACTATGTATTATTATTGTTTTATTATAGTGGCTATACCTGCTGAAGATATTTGAACAGGCAGAACTTTTCCACAGCATGTTAGACCAAGGACACAAGTTTGAAACTGTCCATAAGCAGTTTAAGGTAAGATACTTTTGCTAAATAAAAGGTCTTAATGCAAACTACTTCTTTGGAATGATTTTCCTGACAATTATAGTACATCTACATGTTCGAAAAATATTTATCACTTACTGTGGGCATTTAAGGTGTTAATGGCTCATATAAATATTAAATATTTATGTATAAAGTAGATAAATTCCATTCACCAGAAAGTAAAACATTAGTTCAATGCTAAACTAAACAATACATAGGAGGGAGGAGCCCATCTTAAATATAATTATTTTATTTTAAAACAGATCTGTTCCCTTATACATGGACATGTGCGTGAATACAAAAAGTGCACACACTCGCCATCTATTGACATCTTTTTATTTCTACAGGAGTTCATGAAAACTGTGGTGTTCGACCCCAAAGTGATGTCTCTGATCAACCATCGCAGAGGGGAAAAGGGATATAGACTGCTCCAGGGAGACAACCTGAGAAATATATTTGTGCAACTTATAACATCACAGGTAACAAAAATCTTCCTAATATATATTCGAACATGACTGTATTCACGCCTTCTATAAATGTGGACAAAGTCAATGCTTCACCCGGGGCATATTCGAGATCAATGCCCTGGCTCTGTACTAAGTGTTTCGTTCAGTGCAAAAGCTCAACCGGAAGTAGAAATGAAAAAAGTGGAAATGAGCATCGAAATTGATGATTTTGCAATATTCTTGTGACTTTTCATGTTCAAATCGTAATATAAACCTCAGAGCAGGTGTAATATCGTCGAATACACCCCTTAGGGCTAGGCACAAAAACTTTCGAACCCCTTACTCCCTTTGGTCGTTCGGAGTACAGAAAACGCTTGTGCCAAGCCCTGCGGGGTGTATTTGAAAATAGTAGCCCTGCTCTTCGGTCTATATTTCTTAAATAATGAAATGATTTTATTGATTTCTTGCTGAAATTGAAACAATACCCCATTTGTTTTTAAGCTGGAAATCACCTCATTTTTATATGAGACCATAATATTTTGTTCATACAATACAATATGCTAAACAGGGTATCACTTCATGTATTCATACTTTATGCACATGTGCTGAAAAATTAAAAGTCTATTGCTTGTTCTTGTCATCACAGGAAGAAATACTGAAAGACATTGAAAATCTGTTTGAGAAGGCACGTTTAGAATTCCCAAGACTTTATTTCCTGAGCAACCAGGAATTGACAGAACTGTTAGGAATCTCACGTAACCCACAAGCCATATTGCCATTCATCAAGAAATGTTTCCCTGGAATCAAAGACTTGACATTTGCCCTGCCCTCTGGTGTTGCAACTATGAATCGAGCTCTGGATTTTGCATTAAATGGTAAGTGGAACTATAGCAGTTGCCTGTTTTAAAATACCTAAGGATCTCCTTTTCCACATTTGATTATGCCTCTTTCATAAGATAATATAACTGAAACCTTCTCACAATATTGTCAAACAACCCAGATCAAGCTCTATGCAGAAATCTTCAGTGATGTTATCCATTATATAACGCTATTATGGCAGGTCCCTACAACTGGTTCATTGTACAAATAACACTCCATATTTGGTAAACACATATTTTTGAGCCCATGCCATGATATGTATGATTGCACACACTATCTTTTAGAGACAAATTGAAAAGTACCAATTGAATTTTGTTTATAGCCAGTAAGCTGCAAGTGACAGACATGCATGGTGAACTATGTGAGAGTATACCACTGTACACTAAAGTTGAGGCCTTCCCCCAGCCAACCAAGTGGCTAGCTAATATAGAGAACATCATAAAGACAACCATGACACTTGTCCTTCAGGGATGTGCCAAAGCTAGGCTCGAAGAAGGTAAATTCTTTTTATTTATATGAACATTTCTATGTCTTGTATTTATAAATTGTTTATGACATTTGAAGGTAAATTCTTTTTATTTATATGAACATTTCTATGACTTGTATTTATAAATTGTTTATGACATTTGAAGGTAAATTCTTTTTATTTATATGAACATTTCTATGTCTTGTATTTATAAATTGTTTATGACATTTGAAGGTAAATTCTTTTTATTTATATGAACATTTCTATGTCTTGTATTTATAAATTGTTTATGACATTTGAAGGTAAATTCTTTTTATTTATATGAACATTTCTATGTCTTGTATTTTTAAATTGTTTATGACATTGTTTTCAACTTGCTCTATCCATGCCTCAAATATTCCATGTTTATACATTGGGCATTATTCTTGCATTTAAGGTATGATTCATTTTTAACACTTATATGTGCATAGCATTAATATTCATATTCCAGGGAATATGAAACCAGTGCTCGTTCTTAAAGAAGTTGAAACATTTGAGGACAACTTGAAAGAAACCAAGCCTCAAGAACAGATTGAGGCACGTCACAAGTTCCGTCATTGGCTATTGAGGTTCCCTGTTCAATCTGTCCTTACAACAGAGGCTATTTTGTGGGAGAGGGATGTTTTCAAAGCATTGCAGTTAGCAGATATAGATAAATTACAGGATATAAGGTAATGTATGCTTGCCTTAAATGCTAGCGAATATATATTTGTTGATATTTGAGGTTTTTTATTTTATGTCACTTTCTTTAATCTTCTGGGTGGACTTTATATAGCTGCAAATGTAATTCAGAGGGACCTTGAATATATCACAAGCAATTCCCAAATTTGAGATTTGAAAGATGTATAACAATATTAAATAATATAATTTGGAACATTAAATAAAACAAGAAAATAATGCTGATTTGACTGAACATATATATTACAATTGATTGTTATTTTGTAAATTAATTCAAGTTTTATATTTCACTTCAGGAAGGAGCTTAACTCTTCAGTTGCTAGTTACACTCAGGTAATGCAGGAGAACTTGCAGGGTTATGGGTCCTCAGCTAACCATTATGCTCTCTCAGACACTAGGCAACGTCTTCACACCCTGCTTAGTGCATTAGTGCTGCAGTGTATGCACTATAGAGACATCATGGATGGTATGTCATCTTCCTTTCTTACTTCTGCCTTTGTATATGAATTGATATGCATTATTTGTTATGTTGCCACCACAAGTGGTGATATATTGTTAAAGTCTCCAACTTTTTTGTGGTGGTGTCTGGCAGTCGAAGTTCAACATTTGGTGTGTGTAACAAATGGCAGGTGGTGACATTTTGCATGTTAATACCTTGTTTCATACATACTGACATCACACACATCCCAAAAGCTCTAATACCTTCATGCCTATCATGAAAGTATACTTACACGAAACTCCTCCAGGTGAAGCAGACGTATAGCTTGAATTTTAAACTTTAAATCATACAGAGAACAAATAAATATAACCAAGGAGATGCACTATTACAACATATGTTCATTATTCCAGTGCTGCTGTCGAACTCAGATGACCTTGACCAGACAAGTTACGATTGGTTAAAATTGCTCAAGTACCAAATGGACATCAATGTGGTCCTTCGTGCAAAAACGCAGCTCATCCCCATGACTCCTGAGGAGAAGAAAGCTGACTATGAGAAATCGAAGAAGAAGGAATTGGAACAGATGTTAAGCATGGCAAAGTCGCAGTCGAGTCTTGCAATTAAACGGTCCCGCACACAAATGCCCAAAACACGTGAGTTATGTTTTTGGATTGGATTACTATTTGATGTAATTTTTGAGTGGCATGTATTGATCACATTTTTGAAAGACTGTATATGTACTGTAACCACTGTCAAAAGTGTCATTCCAAAGTTTGTTTTTTATAAAGAATATAAGAGGGAGAAAATTGTTTTGTAGAAAATTAAGGTTATAAGGTTTTAACTAGTATATTCATGATGATGAACAGCATTATCTAACACATTATTTAATTCTGTTTCAGCCGAGAAGACCCCACCAATTAAACAATTTCGTTCAAAGACACAAGTGTCACAAGATTACCAGTTTGGTCCTTGTAAGCTTCAACAGATGGCATCTACATTCAACTACGATTACGAGTACATCGGCCCAAATACCAGCCTCATTTTGACACCACTCACAGAGAGGGCATATCTGACCTTGACCATGGCAATGAAGTCTTTCCAGGCTGGCTCTCTTATTGGACCAAGTGGAACGGGAAAATCACAAACCATACAAGAGCTTGCGAGGGTAAACGCAGTAGTTTTGATTTGAATCATTTATTCATGTACTAAAATGTCTCTCATGTTGGTTTGAATGGTGTCATTTTTTTATTTTTACTAAATTACTGTACATAAACAGCAAATAATCTCGTATTAGTCCAATTTTCTCAACAGCTTGCACCACTATTGGATACTACTATATATGATTATTTTAATTGATTGTATTCTATTTTGTGTTATTGTATTTTTATGGTTTGTATTGTTTATTTTTATTGTTTGTATTATATCTTAATTGTTTTTTTATTGTATCCTCTAGATGATGGGGCGTCACTGTGTTACTATCACATGTAGCGAGGACCTGACTCTACCAATGATGAATCAGTATCTCAGTGGGATGGTACAGTCTGGCTGTTGGGGACTCTTTGACCAAACAGATAGGCTAACCATAGGTACATGCTACACGTCATGGGGTTCTGTTGCTTTTGAATCATGACTGCTCATGTAATTCTAACATATTTGATCAATTTGACAGAATTTTTCACTGTACATGTACATTATTGACCCAATTTTGAAGATATAAGGAAAATGTTGAACAAAGTAATTATTAATGCATTTTACCAAAGTTATGACTTAAATGTAATCATGTTATGACACAATATGTCAATAAATGTTATATACAGTAATTAAATGACTTTAGACTAAATGCCAAGTTCTATTACAGGTGTTATGTCAGTGTTTGCTCAGCACATGGACTACCTTAGTGGGGCATTGAGGATCCTAGAGGCCTCTCAGGACTACCAGTATGGCAAAAATGGTCAGATAAGGTTTGATAAGGTACGTTCTTTAACACTGAATGGTAAGGTAAGCCTAGTAAGATGCATTTTGACTACCTTAAATATTTGCTCTGCAATGATTTTTATAATGTTGTCACTGATATGCTTTTTGTTATGTGATTTAAGATTGATTGTAATCGTATTTTGAGTATGTAAATAGTAATTATCCAATTTGCCAATTATATGTAAATTCATCTGTATGATTTGTTTTTATCATTCCTCTTTTTTTATTTTCATCAAATTACACATGATGCACACAATGTTATTGAAAGCACTACTGCACATATTTTTATTATAATATTTTACTAAAAAATAATAATTTAAATAAATGAATATTAATGATTTTATTATATAATTGAAAAATAATATTTTGCTAATTTTGTGCTAAGTTTGGCTTGAAGCACTTCTTTGAAAGAAATCTGAAGGTATTTGTATTGTTCATATTTATTATTCATAGATATAAGAAGTGGTGGATTGTGTAGACCCTTATTACCTCTTCATTGTAATATTGAAACCCTGTATACACTGGCTGGCAAAATGCTTGAAGTACAAAATTGCCACATTGCTTGAAATATAAGTGAAATGTCCAAATTTCTTGAGATACAAATGATATAGCCAAATTGCTCGAAATACAAGTGTAATGGCCATATTTCTTGAAATACAAATGAGATGGCCAAATTGCTTGAAATACAATTGAAATAGCGGAAATGCTTGAAGTACGAGTGAAATAGCCAAATTGCTTGAAATACAATTGAAATAGCTGAAATGCTTGAAGTACGAGTGAAATATCCAAATTGCTTGAAATACAATTGAAATAGCCGAAATGTTTGAAGTACAAGTGAAATGGTTGAATTGTTCTAAATTGCTTGAAACTGGAAACAAAAATGTTTTAGACAAATTGCTTAAAATGGTGTAATAGCCTCAAGTAACAATCTGTTATCTTGTTATCTCAAGTGAAACCATGGAACAATGCAAACTTGCATTCCTTCTTGCAATTTTTTTTGGTCATTTAATCCATGACTGCCAGATTCAAATGAAATTCGCAAAAGTACCAACTTTTGGTCATTGTCATTAATGAGCAAAATGATTGAAAATGTATGTATTGATTAAACTGGTTGGAATCATGATGATGCTAGTGTTGGAATAATGGAAATAATGGAGGTGCATTTCATTGTGTATACAGGGTCTTACAAGTAGATTTGCTTTATGGTTAGGTCAATATGTCAATGCCCATATAAAATGTCACATTTACTAAAAAGAGCTTAGAGTTTGGAAGGGTCAAGGTCAAACTTATATAGAATTTTTTCAAAATTAACATTTCACGACTTGATGAACATTGACATTATTGACCATTACCATGTTTAATATAAAATAAATTATATAGAAAACATTGAATTTACCATAGAAACGCTTTTACCTATCTGCTGAACATTAAAGTATCTACGACACTATGATTATTACAAAATAAGATAGATAATAGATATAGCACTAACAGCTAAAAACTGGTACTAATTCCCTTTTCTACCAATCCTAGTCCTACAAATACCATATCTTTGCTTGCATAGAGTATACAGTATAATTAAATCTTATATATACAAATACTTGATAGGATTCTATTTTTCTCATCCCATAGTCAAGATGACGCATTTTTACTGGCGCATATGTTAATCTGCATTTTTCATTGTTGATTTACAGTTTGATGGACAAAGTATTTTGATGATTACAATGTTACCATAATTTCAAGTTTTGCTCATCTTAAATCATCTTAAATTAACTGCATAGAATGAACAGTAGCATAAACTTTTCCAATTTTTTAATTATTCTATTATTATCTCTTTTTAGAAACCAGGAGATGTTAAGATTATAAGGCGGAACTCACTGACAACTCTCCACTCTATGCCACCCAGGGAAAACCTCCTAGAAAGACAGGCAACAGTGCCTCATGGCTTCAAGGTAGAAATCAGATTAATAATATTTCATGAATTAGAAAACCTGTGAGTAACATAAGGAGTTGTATAATGAGGGTTTGTTTCGAGATAAGGAATGCAGTCTTGAGGTATTTAAGGTCTCCCAAAATGATGAGCAAAGATGTAAGATGTCAATAAAGTACATTCAGAATTTCTCATACTTTGGTGCTAGAGGACAAGCATTTATTCATAAATACCCTTGGTATCTTTATTTTTACCCCCTATTACTTTACTGTACCCCCATAGATGCTAGATGATTTGAGGAAACAATGTTAGACAAGGAAAATGCAGTTATTTCCCCCGTACATGCTGAAAAGATGAAATGGTCAAGACTGAAAGTAACCAGCTCTTGGCCAGTACTGACTGCACTCTAATCTTGACTGTTCATTGATTCATGTGTCTTTTCCAGGATGATGACATGAATACGTATTTTGAGGACACATTCATTCAGGACAGACAGCTGAGACGTAGACATTCTATAGAGAAAGAAATAGATATCAAAGAAACAGAGATATACAAATCAAACAGACCGCCACCTCTGTTTTATGGTAATTTTTGTCTAATTTAAAAACAGCCCGTCTCATTTCTGATAGCAAATGGCTCTCCTAGCTTTAACTGCCTGTTAGCATTGTCCTGCTTTTAAACTCTTTGAATTTATTTCTTTAGTTCTTTCAATATTGTATTCTTAACTACTTTTGGATAAAAACAATATTCTAGCTTCCGTTTATATAGATCATCATTTATATTCAATACTTTGCAGAGCATGTGTTGTATAAGATACAAAACAAAGAAAAGGGATTGAGGAGGAAGAAACATCAAGACTACAAAGAACTATTACCTCATACAATGTATGAGCCTCGTTACCTTGGGAACGTCCTATTAAATGGTCACCTGATCAGAGCAGCTGGTGGATACGGATGTTTTATGACATTGGATCCTGAACGACAGACTTTTCATCACATCCCAGATTCTCTAAGGGTGAGAAAATTCTATAAAATATGCAATTGGGATCATTTGCCGGGAATTGGGTTGTTGTTTGTTAGATGGATGTATTTATCCATTTGATCATTTTCATCATAATGATGACATATGTAATAGATCTAATAGCTGAGATAACAATATTGCTCTTAGAAACCTTAAGTTATAACAGTTGTTATATCATTCATTGCATGTCTATGTCTTGTTGAGATCTCCAGTCATTTCAACAACCAAGATATCAGTGTACTCAAGGGGCGAGGAGGAAAATTCTCAATAAATGGTGTATAGTTGGTTTGGCAGCATTTTCAGTTAGGGGAGAGTCTTGGATGAAATTTCCACTTAGGTGATAGCTTCACAGAGTGGTAGGAAGTTCTTTTATTTGAGGAGTTAGCCCCCCACCCCCCAAAAACACCCCACCTTGGGGAAAAAATTGTTCACACTAAATAACCTTAGATATTTTGATGTTTGTAAGTGACATACATAGATATTATATATATGAATCACTTGCAGTATAATTGATGCTGATAACTCCTTAAGAATTTGAAAATTTGTACAAAGTATGTACCCCAGGGGGCAAATTCGTGACTCATTTTCTTACTATTTTGATTCTAACTTTTCAATTAGACACTATAAGAGGTTGGAAAAATTCATGTGAAGTGCCCAATAGCAGGGTTAGTAACCCTGAAAGATGCAAAGCCATGGAAGAGGTAGGAGCTGAGAAAAAAATTGTTGATTTTTCGAAAAATTTGACATTTTTGACAGCTGGATTTTGTGTATGACTATAGCTGACCCTTATAATTTCTAGATCCATCCCTCTATGATGATATTTATGGTTTTATAGTGTGAAACTAAGATGTAAAACATAATTTAGATGGTTTTTAAGGAAGTTTAAGGTTTTAAACAAGTCTAAAATTTGAAAAATTGTAAATATAAGGTTTCAAATTTACGAATTCCAGGTATAGCCATGGCTGACCCCTATAGTTTCTAGATCCATCCCTCTATGATGATATTTATGGTTTTATAGTGTGGAACTAAGATGTAAAACATAATTTAGATGGGTTTTAAGGAAGTTAAAGGTTTTAAATAAGTCCAAAATTTGAAAAATTGTAAATATAAGGTTTCAAATTTACGAATTCCAGGTATAGCCATGGCTGACCCCTATAGTTTCTAGATCCATCCCTCTATGATGATATTTATGGTTTTATAGTGTGGAACTAAGATGTAAAACATAATTTAGATGGGTTTTAAGGAAGTTAAAGGTTTTAAACCAGTCCAGAATTTGAAAAATTGTAAATATAAGGTTTAAAATTTACGAATTCCAGGTATAGCCATGGCTGACCCCTATAGTTTCTAGATCCATTCCTCTATGATGATATTTATGGTTTTGCCATATGGAACTATTATGTAAAACATAATTTAGATGGGTTTTAAGGAAGTTAAAGGTTTTAAACCAGTCCAGAATTTGAAAAATTGTAAATATAAGGTTTAAAATTTACGAATTCCAGGTATAGCCACGGCTGACCCTTATGGTTTTTACATCCATACCTCTATGATTAAATATACAGTTTTAGAGTGTGGGACTAAGATTTAACATATCCAGAATGAATTTTAAGGAAGTTTAAGGTTTTAAACAAGTCCAAAATTTGAAGAACTATAAATGTTAGATTTCAAATTTATGAATTTCAGGTATAGCCAAAGATGACCCTTATGGTGTTTACATCTATACCTCAGGGATGAAATATATAGTAGAGAGTATTTAACTAAAATGTAAAAGACACCTAAGATGAGTTTGAAGGAAGTTCAAGGTTTTAAACAAGTGCAAAATTTGAAAAATTGATCTCAAAATTGGTCTCAAATTCACATTATTCAGGTACAGCCTTGAATGAGCCCTGATAATTGAAGGTTATGAGCATAATAGTATCAACTATGATATCATAGCTGGGACCAAGTGTAGAATATATACCTGTTGCAGCAGTTAGTCTGCTGCATATAGATGGAGTGAAAAGTCGTGAACTACAGTAAAATCTCTCTTATCTGAATGCTACTGGTATTTGGACCAGCTAAAAGCATTCTAATTAGGAGTGTTTGAATTTTGAGGTTTTTACATCTACAATACAAGTTCTGGATTTTGAAGAAATATGAATGCATTCTCAATGAAAAATATTAATAATATTTATACTGACCACATAAAAAGCTTAATAGCATTCCAAAATCCAATTCAAAAGTTTTGATATCATAACAATTCAGTGTTAAACTGACAATATTTGAGCAATTTTGTAAGAAATATGTGATATTTGGTAAAAAAGAGTTCAAGTTAGACAGGTTACTTTTTCAAATATGAGTGTTCACTGTGTTCAGATTTCAATTTTTTAAACATAGGAGTCAATTGGAGGAAAAATTGGACTGGGAAAAGTGTTCAGATTGGTTGGTGTTCAGATTAGTCAGGTTTTGGGATGATTGGTAGGTATTCACAATAGTCAGATGTTGGGATATACAGGTCTCACTGATGATATATCATTTATACAAGATGATGAACTAGAACTACTGTACTAGGTACATTTGATAGTTTTTACCACAATGTTAATACTATGTCAGGAAAAGAAAGCACCAATGACACTTTGCTTGTACAACTTAAAAATCAACAACACTTTAACATTTGATAAAGGTGTCTACCAAATGAGTAATCCACATAAATTCAAGCACTTGGCATGCTATTCCCCATGATGCTATTTATAGATTTTTAGTCAATGTTATTGATCAGCTTATTGGTTTCATTACTTTCTCTAGAATCTAAAATTGACCTTGGGTTTATGAGAGTAGTAATTTGGAATGCAGTTATATGAAGTATTGAATTGGCTGGAATTCGACACACGTTGCCTAGCTATGGGTGAGTAAACTATGATCTTATATGGATACAAACAGTTCATTTGACAATGATCATCTATCTTATCTGTAAAATCAGAACTTAAAAAGGGGTTTGAAATGGAGATCGATGAAACCATACCACAAATTGATAAAACTTTCGTGATCGATGCAATGGCTATGACAAACTTATATGTTGAAATTTGGAGAGTTTTGGAAAGCTATATTTGACTAGTTCATCAAATCTAGTAAAGGAGCCCAAAGAATAGATTTCATATTAGACTCCGAGACTCTGAACTTTAATCCAAAGAAGAAATTACACCATTACCTAAAAATATGAATACCTTTTGGCCAAGTCATATAATACAAATTTTCAAAGATTACAAAGAAATTTAATAAAGCAGCATTCTAAAAGTGTGCCAAATGTCAAGATTGTTTTTAAGTGGAACTTTTGGAGAGAACTTAAATATCTGTGAAAACGATAACTGAAATCCCCTGTTAAATTCCACTCTTGAAGAGACTGATTTTAAACTTATTCACTCTGTTTTACATTCAGCAGGAGAATATGTGGGACTGCAGTAATTTGCATCAAATGACACTGATATTCTAATTTTATGACTGTCATTTCAATAAATGTAAAAAATTCTTCAACTGCTAGAAAATGTCATCTGCAAAGTCAGTATGTAAAAAATTTCTACAATGTCTGTTTGTTTGAAACATATTGATCATATATATCACCATATATACTTTTTTGATCTACATGAAGATTTTAGTGTGACCAGACCCTTTTACCCTGGAGTTCCTAAATTCATTGCACTAACGAGAGTTTCTAGGCCCAGCGGGGTATGATCCTTATAATCCTTATTTTACCAAATAATTACTGTTGCCTGATGACAAATTATTTTATTGGGAGTGTAGTTATTATAATTTGATAATTTATAATAATATTTTGTATTAGGAGATGATCATTGCTTAATTACAGTATGGGCATAACAAAATATAGAGAAATCATGTTTCTTTTAATTAACCATGTCTTTATGTATTTTGACAATGTAGAACATCACATCGAACATGTTGATGTGAAAAAGTAAAAATGCTATATCACATTATGAATATCAAGTAATAATTAATTAGTTATAATCCATTTAATCAATCAATTACTACACTGTATACGAATCCCTAAGAGCAGTTACACTATAGGGGGGGGGGATTTATTAACCTCTCACCCCCTTAGGAACTCTAGGGTAAGGTCCTCAACTCTAATGATTTTTCTTTTAACAATACTTGTAACATGGATCAAACCTAACCACAATATTTTCAACATCTAATTTCTAAGCTAAAAAGTCATACATGTACATTCAAAATGAGAGACATCCAAGGCAATACCTGAAATCGTAAAGGAGGACTGAAAGTATCGCAACAGATTTAGGACAGTCACATGTCGGATTTTTGCTATTTTCTGAGGATTTGAGGAGGTGCATATGTTAGGCCAATGCATTTCCTCCAGGAAAAGCACTCATAGAGATGATAAAATAATTTCTATTTGAGACAGGGTGCAAACAACCCACCCACATGCATCAATATGTTGTGTTTTGACACACAGTTAACCCCTTTAAAGAAATAATGCATTCCATCAGGGGTTTAAAAGATATTAAAATATGGGTGACCAAAATTAAGCTGAAAGTAATGGAGCACACGAGTTTTCCAAATGGGAAAATAACAGGAAAATATTGTATTCTGCTTTATCTAAAAGAAATTTATTATTCCTTTTTATGGGTTAACTATGTCTCAAAACGCAACATTTTGATGCAACAAAAATTGAAAAAGCAGGGGTGAAAGGGCTTGAAAATCAGGACAACATTTCTGAAAAAACATGTGGGTGGATTGTTTGCACCTTCGCTGTCTCAAAGTCCAAACTATTTTATCATCTCTAAGAGTTATTTTCCTGTAGGTAATGCAATGGCCTATCATATATACCTGCTTAAATCCTCAGGAAACAGACAAAATCTAACATATGACTGTCTGAAATATGTTGCAATACTTTCCATGCTCCTTTGAGACCTGATATTTCTCAATTTTTCAAACATAGCACTTGTTAAAATTCTTAAACTTCCTTAACATTCATCTTCGGTATTTTTTACTTCTTAGTTTCACACTCTAAAAATATATGTTTCATCATAGAGGTATGGATGAAAAAGCCATAAGGGTCATCCATGGCTATACCTAACATTCGTAAATTTGAAACCTTATATTTACAATTTTTCAAATTTTGGACTTGTTTAAAATCTTTAACTTCCTTAAAACCCATCTAAATTATGTTCTACATCTTTAGTTCCATACTACAAAACCATAAATATCACCAAAGAGGGGTGGATTGAGAAACTATAGAGGTCGGCCATGGCTATACCTGGAATTCGTAAATTTGAAACGTTATATTTACAATTTTTCCAATTTTGGACTTGTTTAAAACCTTTAACTTCCTTAAAACCCATCTAAACTATGTTTAACATCTTAGTTCCATACTATGAAACCATAAATATCATCATAGAGGTATGGATCTAGAGCCTATAGGGGTCAGCCATGGCTATACCTGGAATTCGTAAATTTGAAAGCTTATATTTACAATTTTTCAAATTTTAGACTTGTTTAAAACCTTTAACTTCCTTAAAACCCATCTAAATTATGTTTTACATCTTAGTTCCACACTATAAAACCAAAAATATCATCATAGAGGGATGGATCTAGAAACTATAGGGGTCAGCCATGGCTATACCTGGAATTCATAAATTTGAAACATTATATTTACAATTTTTCAAATTTTAGACTTGTTTAAAACCTTAAACTTCCTTAAAAACCATCTAAATTATGTTTTACATCTTAGTTTCACACTATAAAACCATAAATATCACCATAGAGGGATGGATCTAGAAATTATAAGGGTCAGCTATAGTCATACACAAAATCCAGCTGTCAAAAATGTCAAATTTTTCGAAAAATCAACAATTTTTTTCTCAGCTCCTACCTCTTCCATGGCTTTGCATCTTTCAGGGTTACTAACCCTGCTATTGGGCACTTCACATGAATTTTTCCGACCTCTTACAGTGTCTAATTGAAAAGTTAGAATCAAAATAGTAAGAAAATGAGTCACGAATTTGCCCCCTGGGGTACATACTTTGTACAAATTTTCAAATTCTTTAGGAGTTATCAGCATCAATTATACTGCAAGTGATTCATATATATAACATCTATGTATGTCACTTACAAACATCAAAATATCTAAGGTTATTTAGTGTGAACAATTTTTTCCCCAGGGTGGGGTGTTTTTGGGGGGTGGGGGGCTAACTCCTCAAATAAAAGAACTTCCTACCACTCTGTGAAGCTATCACCTAAGTGGAAGTTTCATCCAAGACTCTCCCCTAACTGAAAATGCTGCCAAACCAACTATACACCATTTATTGAGAATTTTCCTCCTCGCCCCTTGAGTAGTGTTAAAACATACTTTTTTGTTTTCAGCTGTTAATGCGACCTTGTGCAATGATAGTACCCAACACAGAATTAATTGTGGACATGTCATTGTTCTGCCATGGTTTCATTAAACACACTGATATCAGGAAGAAACTGTTGCTGTTTTTCTCTCTGCTCAAGACACAGCTTCCAGCTAAACCTAGCTATGACTTTGGCCTTTCTACCATAAAATGTGTAATAAAACTGTCTAGCAAGAAACTGAACTCACCATGGTGTATGCATGAAATGGAAATTGACTCAAGAGATGGTGAGATTTTTATTTATTCTCATCGTAAATTACAATTATTAAGGTCTTCAAAAAGTATATTCAGTGATTTAGATGCTAGTTTTACCTTAATGTACATGCTTCACTGGCCATTTTTCATGAAATTAAAAATAAAGTGTATTGTATAAGACATATTTGCAAAACAAGATTGTTTTTAAATGAAGATAGAAATCTATGATAATAGATGCTTAGCTCATGCTTGAATAAATCAAAAAGATATGCCTTTGGTTCCAGAAACTGGCCAAGCTCCATTTAGCTTCCCCCCTGATGATATCTTGAAGGAGGAATACACAATAGTGAATGGCTTAGTAAGTTACCTAGAGCCACGTATAGAGGACGCTGATGATCAGGGGCAGTTTAAGAGTGTATTACAGGATATGTTTCCTCATAGTGCACGCTGGATGAAGAACGCTGTCACTTATGACCCTGACCTTATCACTGCCATACAAGAACAGATGACTCGGGATAATCTACAGGTCTACCAGCCTCACGTTAACAAGGTGTGTAGTTTGACTCATATGAGGTCTAAAAGAGTTTCTGGGATTACTTGCATCATTTAATCAAGGTTTTTACTTGTATCGACATGTGGCCTCAGCTGGCTATAAGTCATGATAGTAGACATACAATGATTTAAATAATATCATCCATTGTACATGCACATTCATTCTCAGATGCTGCAACTGAATGCTGCTATTAAATACAAGAGAAGACCAGTTATTCTACTGGGCCCTGCAGGCTGTGGCAAGACAACATGCTACAAGATTCTCTCGGGGGCCTGGAATGTCCTACATGAGAGAAAGGAAGAGAAAAATGATGATTTACCAACTACAGATAGTTCTCTTGTTGCAAAGAGTTCCAAACAGCTTAAGGTAAACAGAAATCTCACTTATTCCTTTACTTCGATTTCATTCATATAGTAGCCTAGACTGAAGTATAGATATATCGAAATTTAGGATGCTGATAAACACTAATCCATTTTACCACCTGTGGAAGTGGAACAGTTCAGCAGTGGAATCCTTCAACAGTATTCACAGAAAATGTTCTCACTTTAATTTCATAATATTGGTCCATGAAAGATGTATTATCTATTTTTTCAAAAAAGGTTATAAATTATTGAAACTGATGCTACTTCTGTCCAAGCTACTACATGTACCTTTTGGTAATAAAGTTTAATGATGGTAATTGTTGAACAATTTCAGCCATAATTTTGTTATTATAATATTGTGATAACTTTGTGATATTATTGTGATTTTTGTGATAAATCAGTGCAATGTGATTTTGTTGTTCAATCGGCTTAATGATGTCATTTTATTTTTTTTTATTTAACACCATGTATGTTATTTATTGTAATATTAACAATAATACTTGATATTTTTTGTTACTGTGCTAGCACAATTGTCGTTTGAACATAACATTATTTGTCTCTCAATTTTGTAACATTCAGCAGATTATCTCTTAATAAATGTATTCACTATTGGGGTTACACTTGCTTATACAGAAAGAGGACCTTGATTACCTGGGATTTTATCATTGGGCATACAGAAAGGGACATTGACCCCTGGAGGACATTTGCCTCTCATTGGGTCAAACTGGAAAGGGACCATGATCCCTTGGGACCTTAGTGTCTCAATGGATTATACATAAATCCCTTGAGAACCTCAGTCTCTCTTTGAAAAGGGACCATGATCCCTGGGGGGGGAGGGGGGCATGGTTTCTCTCACTTCATATTCAAGTTAACTCCCACTTGCTATACAGGAGGATGAAGAACCTACACTTCCTGAACAAACTAAACAAGCTGCTGCAATTGATGGAGACAATTCAGATGATGGCTCAGATGACTCTGAGAGTTTATACAGCGTTAATAGTTTTGATGGCATTAATATGAAACAATATAAACTTGACTGTTTTGAGGTATTAATAGTTGAGTTGTATGTAGAGGCTATAGTTATGTAAAGTGCTGATTTATGCTGGTGCTTAGTGGCGTTGGGTCGGGTGACTCCAGAAAACCAAGTCAGTTATGGGTCAATGGGTTCAATTATGGTAAAGACTACTCTGGGCAGTTAAATTCTTGACTTAACATTAGCCCAATTCTGGGGTTTCATAAGAATATCTGGCAACATGCAAAACTAAGGATAACAGGCAACATCATTGGAAATCAGAATTTTATCAGTTGAGAAATTCCTCAAAATAATATGCGATTTTTGTAAAAACTGAGAAAACTCCCTGTTGCCTATTGTCTGCTATTTATGAAATCCCTGCAATCTGATTGAACCCATAGATTCTGGTCCTGACCCATCGTTGGGCTGACTTAATACCAGATTTCCTCTAGTGCTTGGCATATGGTATATAGTTGCTTTGGTTAGTGCTTGACTGTTACAGTTTCACATAGAGCATAGCATAAAAACTAAATTTTTGTCATATTGGTTGCATGTATTGTTTCAAAAATTCCTTTTTGAAATATACCAATACATGGCCACATGATAAGTGTGGTATTATAGTATTTTGTTTTATAATTTGAAAAATATTCAAATCAGCTTTGAACTTTGAATATTTTTCAAATATTAGGTTTTTGAAAAGTATCCAAATGGTGTTAGTGTAGGCTGGGAAATTTGCCACCAACTCTCCTTTCCAGGTAGCTTGAGTGCTGTTTAGTTTTCCATTCTATAACCTTGGCCATATTTCCTAAGTATATCATATGTACATCTTATTTCACTGGATGTAGTTGAATATGGGTTTATCAGAAAGGACAATAATTAATTTCTAAGCAGATAACAAATATCTCGAGCATTTCCTCCATTATATTCTGTGTGAGGTGAACATAATATAAGTATTCCATACAATGAAAGGGGAGAGTTTTCCAAATGGCATTAATAGACTAGATGCGAGTAGAAAAAATCTTGATTTACACCATTAAATATTCAAAATTCAGTCAAAGCGATGTTATATTTGAGATCTACATGTAAAAGTACATCAGGAAATATGGTTTCGAAAATTGTTTATCAAGTTTGAAAATCTAATTATTTTTGAAAGTGTGACTTCTAGTTCGGGTTGATTCTCCATAGAGCCCACGTTACAAAATCACAAAAAGTGAAATATCTTTTCTTGTATCGGTCAGATAACATTTTCATTTACTGGACGTATTTTGTTTTGCAAAACTATTAGAAACATAAGGGTTATATGAAAATTGAACCACTAAAACAGATGTAATTGAAGTTAAAGGGAACTTTCTACTATACCCGCCATGCTATCTGACCCGAACGAGCCACCTGGTGGTGAAACTGGTAACTACCTACTCGCATCTGCGTTATTATGAATTGGGAAATAAATGAATAGGTTACAGGCACCAAACACAGGGCACCATACACAGGGAACCATACACAGGCACCACCCTTTATTTCATTTATTTATTCTCAGCAATATAATTATGTTCCCCTTGCAGCTGACATTACATTTTGTCAATTAGTTCGCATTACTAATTTTAGTTTCACTGTTGTATTAGTCATAGTATACTAAAAGATATAGTGTTTCACACACTGATAGACCATACATTTCAGGTTGTGAAATCTAGGTGTTGTTCCTATTGTATTTTTATTATATTAGACAGCCTCGATTTGCTTTCTTTTGTTAATATGTAAGTTGAGTTTATTGTTCCATTTAAAATATTTACAAACTTATAATAACAATGTGATCGCAGAGTATATATATTGCAGAGTGTATATTGTATATATATCAGATGTTTTATTGATGTGGAAATGTATAGATAATCTTGATTGAGTATTACAATGTAGGTGTGAGATATGATCGTTCCAATGTAATCACTTATATACAAGTTTCATTTCAAATGAAATATGGACGTTTACAACAATATAAAGCAATATATTTGAAACAGTCATTGAATTGCAAAGTGTGTATATTAATCACTTTTAAATTTTCAGATTTTGAAGTCAACGGAACGTGAGGAATCAAATGCATTGAGCACTTGGAAGAGAGTAAACAAGCAGGTGTTAAACAGTAGCTCAAGTACGAGGATGTTCAGGAGCCAAAGCGCTCTCATTAACCAGAAAATCTACTATCCAAAGGTTGATCTCAATGTATTCTGCCCAAACACATGTGACCCACAAGAGGTGAGATTTCTATATTTCTATATTGGGTCACTGATTTGCACCTCTGGTCCCCCACAATGTGCCTTTTTTTATTTACCTTGGAACTAAAACTTTCTTGCTTTTTGTCTGAAGTAAGTCTGAAGCAAGCGTTTGAAACAATTGATAAATATCCAGATATGTTTATAAAAATGATATGTTTTATATACTTCTGATACATTTTATGTCTAATTCCCAATGGTTGGATGTACATTTAATAAAGAAATTATTCTATTTCAGCTATTTGGTTGTTTCAAAGATGGAATATGGCAAAAAGGGTTTATTCCCAGTCTGTTGAACAACTCCTACTTTCAAGTCAATGCTGCCAAGTCATTCATGGAAACATTCGATGAGAAGAAGAATAAAGCACAGATAGAGCCACCGTCTGTCATATCAAAGTGGACAGTCCTTGATGGGGATGTAACTCCTGATTGGGTGGAAAGTATGAGCTCTCTAGTGAATGAGGAGAGAAAGTTATCTGTTGCTAATGGTGAACAAGTGGCCCTTCAAGGTAGATATGTTGGTGGAATCTATTTTTGTAACATTCAAGCAAGGCCATAGTATTGAATTTTCACTTGATTTAAGTTTATTACCAAAATATTTAAAATCGTTGACATATGTTCATAACTGATATAATATCTGAAGTACATGTTAATTTTGCTTATTCTAAGTTAGCTTGCTACCCAAACATTCAGTAAATGTTTGGTAAATAAACTGGATTGAAATATACTATTGGAGATCTATTTTTTATTTTAGATTTATTCATTGTGAATAGGTATTACATTATGCCCATGAGGCTTGTCAAATAAATCCATATGCATACACTAAAATGTTCTCCTTTGTCTTTAGATGTAACATCACTGTTGTTTGAGATGTCTGACTTGAGTAACGCATCTCCCGTGGCTATCACGCACTCCACAGTGGTGCATCTTGGGAAGGATATTTTGCCATGGAAATCATTGGTTGATAGTTGGGTTACACATTCTAAAACCATTTGGATGGTAAATGCCTCAAGGTGCGTGAATGTTATTATAGGGTATAAAATAATATTTTGATGTCACATAGTATTTCATTGTTAATTATGTAATTTGGCCTGGGACTACATGATCTTTGAATTACCATGCAACCTTTATTGAGATAACAATTTTGCAATCATAGCAATGCCTGCCTGGAATAATGTGTTCCGTTTATTTTGCTCTCGAAGAACAGCTCTATACAGTAAACACTCCAAACTGAGAACATTATTGTTGCACTTGTGTGTCCTTTTGACGCCATGTTGTTAAAATTTCTTAAACATAAAAAGATCTCTCTTCTAAATATTTTTCACATTTCAGTTTGCGTGTATTAGATGAACTGATCAACTGCACATTTAGCCAGACATTGAACTTCCTATCAACCGAATGCAAGCCTTCCTTGCTAACTGATGTCAGCGAGCACCATGTATTATCCAATCAGGCAACTCCTGGAATCCAAGAAGTCTCATCTTTTCTCCGTATATTTTCTGCACTTCTTGATCGCCATTTCTCCAGAGATGAATATGAACGTGGCCAGACAGCAGAGGCAGGAGGCAAGAGAGAGAAGCCTGAAAGTATGTTCAACGTTTGCTCAACCTGATGTTATTTTAATGAATTCATCATTTGAATATTTTCCTCATTTCAGTTAAAATGTATTTTTCTCATTTGCATCATATGTTAGAATCAGATATTATTCATTTTGGGTTTATTCTTATTTTTCAATTTGCAAAGTTTCTCTGTTAGTTAATTTAAAAAAAATAGGACGTATGCTTTTTAAACAGCAACCCCCTAGCTATACTTAGCTTCATCTACAGGCATTTTTCATGCATACAAGTTTGTTGATAACGGTGTTTAGAAATGAATGTTAAAAATATTTCAATATCTACAAGAAAATCAAAAACATCACCACCTAGCATAAAATCAAACTTTACTTTTTAAGTACTGAAGAGATGAAATAATTGTACATGTATTACTTTGTTCTAGTAAAGTACAATATTAACAGCAAATCTCTGATTGATTAACCTGAAGCCCAATCTATATTTTGCATTATAGTGTTTAATCAAAAGATTAATGCTTCATATCTTATAGGCGCACCCACTGGGGAGAACTCGCCAAGTCCCCAGCGTCATAGTCGCAACACAACCAACAGTTCACGTCTGGAGGACAAAATGGCAAACTACATGGGGGTCATGAAAAGCATGTTTGCATTTGCCTATATCTGGGCTTTTGGTGGACACTTACATGAAAGGTAGCGCACGATATTGTTTGTTTCTTCTTATTGGTTAATTCAAATGACCGATATCTATCAAATGCTCTTTGAGGAAAAATTTAATTAAAGGAAATTGAATTCTCGAACAATATATTTATCAATGAATCAACACTCTCATCCCTCTATTATGAATCAATCTGTCCCTTCAGGTACATAGCAAGGTTTGATAATTTCGCTCGGGAGATCCTCCATCGTGCAGTCCATTCTATCAATATCCCTGACTATGGCTTTGTGTTTGACTACTGTGTTGAGACAAAGCATGGAGATCTAATCAGGTGGGGTGACAAACAACCAGAGAGATCACGAAATCTCAATAAACATTACGTCCTCATACCAGAGGTGAGTCAATTATAATACCAGCTGAATTTAAATGTACAGAATTTACTATGTTTTAGTCTAAGGTAGATTTTGGCTGGATTTTTATCAACTTTTATTTACATGTCTCTTTATATAAGCTTTGTTAAACTTGTCCAATGTGAATCATAAAATCATTGTGATGTCATTTATATGTTTCCTAGCAACATTGTTTTGTATTACAGGTTGACAGATACAACTATCTGGTAGATCTCCTGGTGACATCACATCACCCTGTTCTGCTGTGTGGAGCACCTGGTGTTGGCAAAACTTCACTCATTGAGGTAGACACACAGCATCATTTGACAATATATAGAAATTATTTGTACATCCTATCTCATTTGTCATTTGTTTTGCAACATTTTGGTCTTTAAAATATATCAAATTGACATTTAAGTTTAGATAAATATCATTGTTTGATGGAATGAATCCCACATTTAGTCCAAAATACATATAACCTTCTGTACATGCATTTATTCCTAGAAAATTATTTTATATAAAGGTTAGAGGTATATATGTATTTATTATAGAACATGATACACCCGAAGCATCCATTCACGCCTATACATATGGGTCCCAAATTGACAGCAGACATAGTACAAGAGGTGATCACAGCCCATGTGTTGAATCTGAAGCAGAGTTCAGCAGGACTTGGAGGTCCCACAGCAGGTTCTAAAACTACATCAAGACAGCTTTTCTTCATTGATGATCTCAACACTGCTCCTGTCAAAGATGGAGGTAACGAAAATATTTTTTTGAGATTTTTTTTAAGAAGTCTGTTCAAACAAAATGGATTTTTAAACCCCTCCCCAAATGTTATTTAAATTTTGTTTGTAGACTTTAATAGAAATATTGACGTTAGGTTGATTAGCAAAAAAAGTATAAAAGCATCACTTAAACTTAAAGATCAAACATATTTCTCATGTACTGTCAGGTTTCTATGTACACTTGGTAATGAACTACTTTAGCGAAGTTATTTAGAGATTAATGGCTTTTCTTGCTCATCATATTGTTACATAACATTTTTGCATTATATTAAGATATTTAAACAAGCTACTATTTCTTGAAATTAATATCAACAACTTTATTTTAATTAATATCAATGAAAATATACAGTCATACTTAAGGGCAAGCTACAGTGGATGTATATACAAGTGTAAAGAAACTTCTTAATTAATTGACTTCAATAATTATGTCAACTGTGTACATGTAAAACTTGAAAGAGACCTTTTTACAAAATATTTACAATGGTAATTCATGCAGAAATTGATTACAGCCGAAATGAACCTGAATTACACCTAAATCACACCTGATTCATAGCTTAACAACCCTATAGATAAAACCTGAAAATCTATCCTGTTTCTCTATTGGTAAACATGTCATTGTCATTGTAGGTGTGCAGTCCCCATGTGAAGTGTTACGCCAGGTTATGTCACATGGTGGAGCATACAACAGGAAACGTCATGTCTTTGAGGAATTGGTTGAGGCAACTTTCTTAGCCTCTTGTACCTCACCAGGAGCTGTAGGTAAGTATGCTTATTGCGCCTAATGTCATTATATATCACCTATATGTAATTAGAATGAGTTCATTTCTTATACTACTCCACATACACAGCCAATATAATTCGACGCCGTTTCGGCATCGAAAAAATTCGGCACCGTTTCGACACCGTTCAGGCACCAAAATCTTTCGACACCAAAATTTGCTACCAGACTAGTCAGTACCAAATGACAATTATCTCTATATGTCATAAGGATAAGGATTTCTGACCCACTTGTCCAATTTGAGTTTAGACCAGTTCTATGATACAGTACAACCTGTGTAAGTGGAACACCTTTGCAACCTCAAAATAGTGTTCCACATTAGGGGTGGTTATCCTACAGAGGTTCACATTATATTAAGTTATGGGAACAATATAAGTAAATGGTAACAGGTTCACTAAAAGAGCTGTCCCACTTACAGAGGTGTTCCATTTTACTGTATTTTCCCATACATGCTGAAAAAGGAAGCTAGCCCAGATTTTATGTAATGTACTCTGGTCCTGGGTTGATGCTCATATGTCATACCTTGATCTACACTATGTCATATTTCAACAAGAACTTCTTGCCATTGTCCAAAGCAGGTACAATAACAAAGATGTGAAAGATTGATAATACCAACATGCCAAGGTTGATACCTTGTTGGTAATTCAGATATCCTTTAATATAGGCATGTGTCGTTGTCTCATTTGTCACTGAATTTATAGTATAGTTATCCTCACAAATGTAATGATGGTATTTGACATACGTTTCATTGCAAGACACACCATATAGGTGGAGCTCTTCATCATGTGAAATTCCGTATGTCGAGAGACTGATAATCGCTAAACAAACCAAGAGGCAGAGATAAAGAGAAAGTCTCAATAGTTTATAATGTTTGTTTTTATTATCACCTTGCGGTAAATCATGGGTTTTATTAGCTAGGTAGCCAGTAGATATTATTATAACGGATCCCCAAACTCCGTGAAAACACTGCCATAAAGTAGTCTTGAACAATGCCGCAATGAGGCTCCCAAATGGGAAACTGATCGGAAAATATTTCAAGGATATAGTCTTTCCTACGAATCCTCTCTCAAGTTCATCGACATAATATGTTGATGGTTTGTTATTCGCGTGGTTGTACTTAACATTGAGTGCCATCAGAGTTAACACAAACAGTACATAAGCCAACACAAGATTAGCACAGCCAAGCTTCTGCCTCATGTTAAATCCTATGATATAAGCATGTGAGGTTGTCTGGTTGGTGTCATCATATAACGTAACATTATCTTCACAGGTCCAGCCCTCTTCTAAACTCCCACATGTGTCTCCATAGATGTGCACTTCTCTATCGAGGTACATCCCATAGGCTGATATCGCCATCATTGCTGGACAAGCAATCACGCTCAAATATAACAATGATGTCAGCAATTTGTACAGTTTCATTTTCGGCTGATCTGTTGGTAGTTTGTGGAGATGATGTGCCACTAATGAGACTCCGAGCAGAATCATTCCACCCCACATGCCATTGAATAACTGCCACATTGAGGTCTTTTTGATAAGATTCACAATGCTAATCATTGGTAGATATATAGCAAACCAACCTAATAATTTTGAGGAATTAATAAGTGCGATCCAATGTTCCCCAGTGAATGTAAGAGGTTTGTTAGGTGCATCGACTGCCATGTTAAACTCAGCAGTTGTCGAGTCACCTCTATCAGGATCATTGGTTTCATTACTATCAGAAGTTGTATCATCCATTGGGACATATTCACCATCATTATCAGTGTCTCTAACTCTTACATTTATTGGAGGTAGTGGTGCCATTACTGACCTCGAATGGTCATTATATGGTGTTGCTGAATTCGAACTGTTGTAAACCTTTGAGAAATTTTCCAAGGGTGCGAGATATCGTGGAGGTCTCCCATCTGGCATGGGTGGGAGGCCATAACTTGGGGGTGGATCCTGGGGGAGAGCTATACCATTCTGGGGATATATTCCACATGTTGCTTCTTCGTATGAGGGTGGAGCCTCGTTGTTATAAGCAGCGACGTTGTTATGTAAAGGAGCCTCATTGTTATCATTTAAAGCCTCATTGTTATCATTTAGGGCCTCATTGTTATCATTTAGAGCCCCATTGTTATCATTTAGAGCCCCATTGTTATCATTTAGACCCTCATTATTATTACCACCCCTACTTGGTACATCAGAGTTCATCCCGTTGGTGTTCATATTGAGTGTAGATATCTAGCTGAAGACTAACTGATGGTTTACAAGGTTAATCCACCTGGCTTTAAATTACATGATTGAACTGCAAGTCAGGAAAAGTACCAGCTAGCATTTTGAGTATCCAATAAAACAGTTGCGATAAGTCTAATACTCCTTGTATAATGGTGTATCTGTTGATCACATTCCTAGTATAATATTGAAAATATTTCATCCGTTCTGATTAAACCGTAGCAGTCGGCTAACTTGTTTTTTACATCCTTGTTGTAATCCAGATATATCTGGATTACTAGTTTAGTTTGCAAATGCAATGTACTGACAGCTGCTTGTAGTTTGCTAGCATATACAGACTGTAGAACATTCACTGATATGGAAATAGCTCACTAAATTATTGGCCAAGTGCCTAAGCTGAGGTTTCTGCAGCCTTGTAGAGTGTAGAGGTTTAGATCAATAACTCTGCTTATACTCCACAATATTCAGAGTTAGTCTCATGTATATTGGTATATCAGTAGTCAATATAAAACCTTTCATTCATATTGATTATGGTATCATTTCATATACAGTATTACAAAATTCTGGAGTTTTTCTGATTTTTATAATTTATCACACTCTTTGAGATTAGATGGCCAATTGCCAGATCGGTAAACAAAATCCTATGCTTGTTTTTGTTATAATGAGAAGTCATGATCTTATCACATATTGCAAGGGATAGCAGGCTACTCTAGTTTATTCTGTATCGATTTTCCTGGTGTTAGCGGAAGATGCAAATGTTCATATTGATGTATGAAGAGAATACAACCATTGTTGCTATAGTGATGATAACATTGCTGCTTGGACTTTTATTGTCAATTTTCGATAATAAGATTACTTAGTCTTTATATGCCTTCCTGCAGTATCAGTTTCAGTGGATGTTTACATATCAATTTAAGAGCATCTCTAAGTATGAGTAGTGGTATATTTTAATTAGAAAATCAAAAAAAAATTCAATATTGGCCTATATAGTCCAGATCACAGATTTTCTACTTAAAAACAATTTTGACATCTCATATTGATGAAATGAGAAAGAAAATGTATATGTTCTATTCTTTCTTTTTTTTAAATTTTTTTTTTATTTCAAAGAATAAGCATGTTAAAGCAATTGCAAAAAACAATTATAATACAGTTACATGGTAAACATATTCTTACCAAGTTTAAAAGCAAAATATTGAAGAGAAGAAAATATTGTAATAACATACTACTTTTTGACCTTTGACCGAGATAAAAATTTGACATAATTTGCGAGTAGGTCAGACACAAACCCTAACTGATGTTATAATCAGATTTACCCAAATTTTTCTAGTTACTAAGAAAACGCGTTCAGGTAAGAACAAAACTAAGAAGAAATAGACAGTCTAATTAATGGAATCAAAATGATGTCATAACTAATGACATTCCATTCAACTCAATGTACATTCTATATTTTATTTAAATCAATTCTATTTTATGATTAATTAGAGATTATATATTTCAAGAAAGATGAAATATCTACATTTTTACAGTTGTACCTTATGGCCTATACACATACATGTACATGTACCACTCCAACTCTTCACTACCCAGAGTGATAAAGTTTCTGTCACGAAATTTTTCACTAAAATTGCTCTAATTTGAACAAATTTCATCTAATTTACAAAAAAATAACTTTTAAAATGTGAAGAAATGATCTCTGTCGACTAATTCCATTAAATTGAGAATTACCCATTGTATATGTATGCATGAAGTAAAATGTCAAAACCTGGCAAAAATGAAAAATTCTTTGGTTTTACACTGATTTTAGAGCCTGGGATTGAAGAGGTTAAACAAATATAGGGATGTGATTGGTCATTGTTATTTCAGGCACAGGGTTTGGTACAACGACCCACATCCTCTCATCCAGACTGACACGTCTCTTCACTGTCCTTACTTTCTTCTGCCCCAGCGAGGAAGGTCTCCAGAACATGTATGGTAAAACCATTCAGTCTTGGCTTGAGGAATTCCCTACATATTCAGTAGAGCACCACTTCGAATTCGCAAATGTAAGTTTTTTATTATTTATTTTTAATTGTATCCATGACACTGTTTGTACATTGTATGAACATTGAAGACACTAGAGATATTGGGTAATTTGTGTTGTGTATTTTCTGATGTTGCCCTCAGTGCTTTGTTATCACATTGCAATTGAGGCAAGTGTTCATTTTAAAAGAAATCATGTGACATTAAAGTTAATCAAGTTTAAACTCAAGGCCTGGGTGCCAAATTATTCATTGAAAATAGCTGTGCTTCTGTTTCGCAATTATGAGCAATTTTTTAAACTTCGATTTAAACTTAGATATTGTTAAATATGCAGCTTTGTTCCAAATGTTTATTGATTGTCTTTTGGATTAGGAGATTAATATTATACATGTTTTAAATCTCTGGTTATAAAACATTTTTGATGGACTATCTTTGCTCCAGGCTCTAACTCAAGGTATACTTGATCTCTATCGTCTTGTGAAGGATCGTCTCAAGCCAACTCCCCTAAATGCTCATTACATATTCACGATGCACGATATAGCACGCATCATAGAAGGAATCCTCCTTCTCTCTCCGAGACAGAGATCTCTGGCTAAACCAAGGAAAAAGAAAAGTAAGTAAACTGTTTGATATGTAAAGAGGGATCTTGTATTGTATTATGTCACCACAAAGCATTCTTATTTAATTGTTATGAAAATCAATCCAACTTAAATTTAGTTCATCATTGTAATTGATTGAACCCACTTGGAAATTTTCCACTTATTTGAAAAGAGAAAACAATACCATATTTTGGAGGAATTTTAGTTAGAACTGCGAAAATGAAAATTTAGATTGCACCTTCTTGAGAAAAGGAAAAAATTCTTTGGAGAACACTTTATTCATGAAAAGAGTGTGTTACTATTGCAGAGAAAGATGCAATTGTAAGTTCCACCACTCTCATAAAACAAGGAAGTGGGAAGACGAAGAGTAAGTCTAATTATGCCAGTATGAAAGATCCCATTGATGGAGCGCCACCTATGATGAGAGTAATAGCCCGACTCTGGTGTCATGAGTGTACTAGAACTTTTGGGGATCGTCTCGTAGCTCTTGAAGGTATGGATATTTTTCTTTGATATTTAGGGGCTGTGTCAAATATTGATGTGATGTTTATGCAAACATTATTCTGCTAAATGATATATCAGTCAAAAGCAGTTTCATGTAACTAAAAAATGTGAAATTTGAATACCTGGTGTCAGATGCTAAAGACTACAATACTACTCAATGTCTAATAAGCTTTAGCAAATATGGAATGAAGCATACTCCTGACAACATATCCTCTTTGACCTATTATCTTAGTTCTACAGCATTTTTAAAGTTTTATAGAACAGTCTTTTCAGAACAACTTAAAATTAATGTTGTTGTTATTGCAGACCAATCATGGTTCAGGAAGACTCTGTATGATTTGGTAGACAAACATTTCTGCACAGGGGAAGATGACTGGAGAAATGACACAATGTCAGCTATTCATGAGGAGACTCTATCTCAGGTCAGTTGAAACACTCAATTCAATTTAGATTAATTTGATTTTAACATTATACTGCAAAACTGTCATTTAGGACTTTTATGACTCATAAAGCTAATGACTCATGATTTTTGTTTTTTTATTCTCTATTTCATTTTATTGTCATTATTGAATCATTTTCTTCCAATATTTTACTGGATACTGGATAATAGAGATTGTCAATGATTTCTTATTATTCAGGCTGGTAAACATACACCTCACCCACCAAAGAGGATAACAACGCCACCTTTACGTGGTGGCCTCCAACTTGATACTGAGGATATGTCATCTGCGACTGGGCTAAGTAACTTGGGTCTAGGAGGGGAGACAGGGTTACAGTTACCTGATACTGACACCCCTAGCATGGATGAGCTCACCGATATCACAACACCATTCACAGAGATGACTGAAGGCTTAGAGGCTATAACTCCACTAACAGATGGTAAACTGTTCATCTTGGGAATATCAATCTGAGCAATTTTTTGATTAAAATAGGATGATCTCTATATTGTACAATAGGATGATCAATATATTGTACAATTTTCGGGTATCAAAATATATTGCTTGTATTGTTTCCGTATTTACATGTGTTTTCCCATATTGACATGTATCATCAGTATAAACACATTTGTTCAGATATTTAACACATTTGTTTCAGGTGATCTTATGACAGAGGCCGCCACTACAGATGTAGTTACCCCATTCTCTGAGATGGAAATAGATGATCTCAGAGGGCTTGACTCCCAAGCCAGTTTCAATGACCTCATATCAACCAATGGTTCTGACACGCAAGGTACCACCACTGAAGGTATGTGAAATAGAGCAGTCTGTATCAGTTAATGTACATTTGCTTTATAAACTGTATGGAATCTTTGTATGATTAGTATGGAGTTTGCATGATTTGTATGGAGTTTTCAGAATAAGGTCATATAGCAAGGGGTCATGGGGTCAATCTCCGAACAACCCTTAGCACAGAATATCATTCTCTGTTTTCATTTAATTGAGCTTACTCAAAGTATTTTCATGCAACTAATTACATTTTACAATATTTTTTGAAAAAATGTATAAAACTGTCCAGTATGTATCTATATCTGTATGTGCTAGTACCTCATTTGCATATTAATAAAGAATACTGATATGCCTAGGTGCCACTACAGATTATGATGGTGAGAGTACCACCCCTTACACCACCACTTCAGGCACAGAGACAGAAACTACGGAGACAGACTCCGACACAACATCAAGTAGTGGCAGCTCTGAGTCGGACTCAAGTGATGAAGAGTCAAGGAACTCTGCTAGACCAACTAACGGTATAGGTGAGCTGGAATGTAACACAGTTGCATTGTATATATATTATTAAACTATTGGTTTGCCTGTATTCTTCTTATTTTTCTTAGTAACTAGAAGACTTAGGGTAAATCTATTTACATGGATCCAGGGCACGCCTTAAGCCAAAGGAGGAGGGAAATTAGCGCAACAGATTTGGGACAGTCATATGTTGGATTTTGGCCATTATCTGAGGATTTAAACAATTGCATATGTTAGGCAAATGCATTATCTCCAGGAAAATCACTTCTAGAGATGATAAAATGATTTCGACTTTGAGACAGGGTAGATGCAAACAACCCACCCACATGTTTTTTCTGAAATGTTTTCCTAATTTTCGACCCCTTCCATCCCTGCTTTTTTAATTTTTCTTGCATCAATATGTTGCATTTTGACACATAGTTAACCACTTTAAAGGAATAAGCGATTCCTTCAGGGGTTTTAAAGATACTCATTATGGGTGACCAAACTTAGCTGAAAGCAATGATATTTCCTATGGGAAAATAACATGGGAAATATTGTTTTCCACTTTATCTAAAAGGAATCATTTATTCCTTTTAAGGGATGAACTGTGTGTCAAAACGCAACATATTGATGCAAGAAAAATTAAAAAAGCAGGGATGGAAGGGGTTGAAAATCAGGAAAACATTTCAGAAAAATATGTGGGTGGGTTGTTTGCATCTACCCTGTCTCAAAGTCGAAATTATTTTATCATCTCTAAAAGTGATTTTCCTGGAGGTAACGCATTCGCCTAACATATGCACCTGTTTAAATCCCCAGGAAATGGCCATAATCAAACATATGACTGTCCAAAATCTGTTGCGCTAACTTCCCTCCTCCTTTCCCTGCTGGTCAGCATGACCAGCAGTATTAAAATTCGAGGTGGTCAACTGTAGAATCAGCTGGTCACAATGACCAGCACCACTCCAAAACCTGCTGGTCATTGAGAGATTTAGCTGGTCAATGTAAATAAATCAGAAAAAACAAAAACATCACATCGTAGTAAAAATTATTTGATCGTAGTAAAACTCATTCATAGTCATCATGGCGCATGGATATATAATGAGTGATGAACTTATAACCTAAGCACTCATTACGAAACTTTTTCAACCGCCATTTTTAAAAATTGAACTGGAAATTATCATTTTGCGGCAATTTATGGCTTAAAAGGGACATAAATTATAGTTCTAGATGATCTAGGATTACTGAGTAATCTTTCTAGCTATTCTGCATACCTTCAGAACCCCGCTTGGCGCCAAGTTTGGCCGGAATGATTCAACCTGCAGATTTTGCAAATGCATCGAACTTGACCGGAAATAGAAATAGTTTCTGGGTAAAATTAGCATTCGCTACTTTCCGTTACCTATATTTGGATATATTCGTATATTCACGTGATACTGATTAATTATGCATGCACTGACGTAAGAGTTGATTAATTATGTATGCAGTGACGTAAGGGCTGATCTATTAATGACACTGACCCCCGTGGATCATCGTCGAACAATTAACAAACGTAGGCTCCATTAATTAATATTAAATTAAATATAAGGGGCGTGTAAAGATGAATGAACAGCCACACTCCCAGCTAAGTTTAGGGGTCGTGTCAAGGTATCGGACAAAATATCCAGGCCGTATTTCCAGTTGACGAGTATGTATCGGTCAGTATGTCCGACAGTTTTTAATTTTTAACCGGTCCCATCAATATTCTACCGGACAAGTCCGACAGTCCGACGCTTAAGGCGTGCCCTGCATGGATCATTAGGGTATGTAACCTAGTTTCTCGGAAATTAGGTCGAATTCTTATCTAAGGTCAAAGGTCAAAATCTAGGTCAAAATTACAATTCGTCAATTATCTTTGTATGGTTTATTATTTTTTCTCGAGTTTTTTTCATTGTGTAGCTCAGAAAGAATGCTTTCGAGAGTGTGTCATTTATTTTTTGATCTCTTTTGAGATAAAGTGTCCCAAATATAGGTCAACAAAAAAGTTCTCCAATCCATCAAGATTAGTGTCATTTTTATGGGAAAAATTTTTAGTGTCTAAGGTCAAGATCAAAATCTCAGTCATTTTTCTCATTTTCACTTTTATCACACTAAAAGTTCAATATTTTGCTTTTAAACTTGCTAAGAATAGAACATATACATTTTCTTACTCATTTTCTCATCAATATCAGATGTCAAAATCATTTTTTAAATAAAAATCTGGAATCTGGAGTCTTGAATTGAATTGAACTTGTTCAATTTCACCAATCTAGTTAAATATAATATTCTGTAAGTTTAATTTGGTTATGAACAAGGGAGATTGAATTTATATATACAGTGAAACCTGTAAAGTGGAACACCTCTAAAAGTGGAACCCCTCTGTTAGTTGAATACTACAGAGTCACTATATTAAATGAACCTCTATAATGCCTGGGTCACATTTGCTGCGATTCATCGGCCGGCAATACTCAATCGACCGGGCGTCGTAGTGAAAATCGGAGCAAATGTGACCAAGGCATTAGTGGAACATCTCCCAACTGGGACAGTTATTAGTGGTACCAAAGGTGTTCCACTTAGACATATCTTACTGTTATAATATAATAATAAGTCGGTCAAGTAAAGTAAGAATGATTAGTTTATAGTGATTTAGAATTCAATCATATGATTATTATTGAGCTTTTGCATTTTATAGATATTACTTTGTGACATTTTTTTGCCTGTTTATAAATTGAAGTATTTAATAACATATGCTTACTGATTCCTATGCTTCATAAAACAATGTAGAATAGGCATTCTAGATATGATTAAAATTATTGCTTGATTTTTATTTTGCAAAATTAGGGTTTCCCTTCAACATAAATTGATGATGAAAAACTTATAGCTATCCTTAATTTACAACAATGTAAAATAATCAGTAGGTTTTAAATCAATCAGATAGCAGATTTTTATACTAGATTTTGTTATTAGTTATTCTATGCTTAAAAGTCAATAGAAGATTTCCAATGTCTGCAATAGGTGAACAACAAAGTGGAACTGCAACCCATGACGAGGCCACAAGTGAGAGTGGTGAACGTAAACCTAAACCCTTACTTAAACAGAAATCAACGATTGGTACGCAGATTCTTTTTGTTTTTGATATTTTCATGTTTTTATCACTACACATTCAAAATTATGAGCATGTTTGCATCCCTGCACATTCATAGGTGCAAGTATTATCTGCACATTTGTTGTCTAAGGGTTATGTTTAACCAACCATACAGTATTTTTTGGATATCTATGACACACAGCTTTTAATTGATTTATGCTTTGCACATTTCGTTATTTTCTCTCAGTGATTTAAAGTGTTCAATTGCACAGCTTTAGTGTTAGTCTTTCTGCATGATTGATTATTGAATTTTGTTTTTCTGCATGATTAATTATTGAATGAGCCTAATATTTTTACATATTGCTTTTAGAGATAATATTGGATCGTAAGTTGGATTGATTGTTCATGTGTATCTGTCAATATCTGTAGTTCAGTGTAGTATGTGTAGTAAAGTGTAATATATATAGTTCAGTGTAATATGTGCAGTCCGGTGTAATATCTGTAGCTTGTAGCACAGTCAGCACCATCTATCATTTACTTATAAAAACAAAGCAAAGTCCTCCAAGAAGTGTTCTATGTTACCCTTCAATATGTCACATTAACCACTAATTTTGTTCCTTAGATATTTAAACGATCAAAAAAGTGACACGAATGCCAGATTAAGATATGATTTGTCTGTAAAAAATGGCAAATCTCGTCCAAAATTTGTTCTGTACTTGAGACATTGACAGATTACTTCATTCTATACACATTTTGATTGACCCTCATAGACCTCTGTAACTAAAAAAAATAATAGAGAAGTATTACTGTTACAAAGTTTGATAGATGGCGTTGACTGTGAGTCTGGGTATAGACATAGAATGGGGGGGGGGGGTGTTTGTCTATTAGCGCTTGTTGTTTAGTTTTGCATGTTTATGTTTAGTTTTATTTCTTCTAAATGTAGATCTTTCAGTTTTTATTTTTGATTAATATGTATTAATGCACTTATTGTAGCATTCTTATTGTTTTATGTTGTAATGTTGTACAAAAACATTTTCTTGTGAACTCTGTTAATAATCCATGTGTCTTAAAATAACATTTTTGGATTTTTTTCCAGTTTACAAAATGTTCTTTGTCAATATTTAACATAAGGTTGCATATATTCTCAGGAGTGTGTTTGTATTTCAATTATGTTCATAATTAAGTATACTGTACATGTTTGATAGTGATTAATGAGACAGAATCAGTTGTCTCACATTTCACACTTTTAAATTCTTCATATAATCAGTTTAAAAATTGCATATAAAGTAGGACATGATTTCCAATATTTCTATTTATTCCCTCTCACAGTACGTTCTGTTTTTGAATAAGTACCCAATTTTGCTTTCATTTCCTCAAAGCATCGTTTTCAACATTTGTTGGTCCGAGATCAGATTTAAATACATCCTTTAAAATCTCATTGAAGAAACCCCTTTGATTGTTTATGAAATTTGATGCTTTCAAAATTACAAAAGCTACATTAAAATGGGCGTATGGTTTAATGGTTAACTAAATGGAATACATCTAGAATTTAGAGTGAGAAACTTGTGAGACAATCCCTTATGAGTTTTCTAACTAGTGTGATTGCATGTGTTTCTTATATACAGAATCAGCCGCCAGTGGCAGCCACACCACAGTTGCAAGTCATGCAACATCTAGTGGTGGCCACACCACAGTTACAAGTCAGACAACCACATTTTCTGACTCTGAGAAAGCTAGTAGAGAATCTACAATAGAATCTACAACAAGTCTCTCAGTAACATCTCCTCAGAAACCACCTGATATTCAAACCAGCACCTATAGTTCATCTCATTTAAAGCCCGGAACTCAACCACAGTTACGACGAATAAGTCATGACTCAAAAAGGACATTTACATCTTCTGAGTTGAGCATGAGTCATAACTACAGTCCAGACACATATGATATGATTGAGAGAGAGTCATATTTTGAAGGTAACATGATGTCAAGGTGATAACGCTTCAGCACCATTGCATAGTAACTGCTGCCTAGCAACTGCTTCCTAGTAACATCCTTTTCAACGGTTGCATAGGGTATACCTATGCTATCTCATCCGAATTGCTTTACAACTCTTTTAGACTATTCTAGTATACCTTTGACCCTTAATATGGGTCTAGTGATAATTACCCCGTAACAAATGCGCTTTTAGTTGTTGCTTAGCGACTAGTATGTTGTACCAGTTGCTACCCTGTGTAGCCATCTCTTTTTCCCCTCCCGGAGCAAGAGAAGGGTAACAATTACTGTCTAGTTAATTCTTATTTGAATTATTTGGTGGTGGTACAGCGTTGTGGGATGGTGATAGTAAAAATATAGAAAATAGCCAGAATTTTTCAATATAAGTAACACCTACCCAATGGAACACCTCTTTGTAAGGAACACTCCAACCTCCGATCACAGGGCTTCAAAATCCAGAATATATTCTTTCTTTTTACCCCCTGCGATAAGCAGTTAGCATTTCGCCAATTAAGAATTTGCAATCTGATTGGCTGTCGCAACACTGCAACAGAAATCATGTATAAGTCATTGCGCATAATAAGATCATGTGATTCAGTTTAATCGGGCGCTTCCAAATTGGTTATAGCAGAGGGAAGAAGGAGGTACGGATTCTGGACACCTGCATAGGAGGATGGGAACACTCATCATAGAACAGTTTTTAAAGGAACCAAGTCCCATTGACTTACGTGTAGGAATACTTGTCTACGAGGAACAATTTGGGCCAGTATGAAGGGTGTTCCATGAACAATTTATACAGGTTTAACAATGCTTTAAAGATAGGAATGCTTGATTACTTTACAGCTATCTTTACACATAAAAATAATTAGATAAGTCAATTTTTATTTTTCCATCAACTCTATAGCATGTTTATAGCTTAACTATTAGTGTATACCTTTCATATGTTCGCATGTTAATTTCTTTTTTCATTTAGAGACCGTCTTATCTTGCAGGCTTACAGGGTGTCCCTTGAATAGCCGAATTATAATTGCAGTAGCAGTGTGCAATATTTTATCTGACCCCCTGTACATGTGCTTATTTAATTATGTGATGTTTTGAGTTTGATTTTTGAGCGAGGTTTTTATTAATGTGTTGTATTCTATTTTGAGTACGAATCATTTAAACTTTATTGCACTTTATTCAAACTGTTCTACTATTGCATTTAAAGCAAAGAAAATTTATGTAATGTTTGAATTATTACTATTCATTGAAATATTGATTAACTATGTGCATTTGTGGAAACAGCATTTAGAAAGTCTAAAACAATTTTGATTAAATTAAATCATAAAAAGTGCAAATTTCAGTTTTGTTCTGAAAATAAATATAGAATAATACTATGCTATTACCAAGCTTCTAAATGAGCCATAGATTGTTAAATTTGAAAAAATGATAGCCATAGATATGACATGATTCTCAAGTATCTGGGGTACATAAAATGTGTGGTGTTTTAGGTAAGACAGGCTCTAGTCTAAAGGGGGTGATAGGTAAGAGAGAAGGCTCGCAAAAAGGCAAGAGGGGAGTCACCTTTAAAGCTGGTCTTATTCAAGACCGGGAACAGGAGCATTACAGTGGGCCTCTTCTATCCATGGATCAGGTAGGTTGTTTACTTTTGTCAATTCTAAATTGAAAATTGGTGTTTGAGAGTGTTAAACATTATTGTGTAGTAGTTGTGTAGTCCATCATTGGTTGCCATCACATGTTATTTATTGATTAAAAGAAATATTTCATTTGCATTAATATTTCATTTGCATTGAATCATAGATTCAGAATACAAACCTGTGACTTTAAATGTACATAACAAATTTTTCTAATAAAGATATATAATCTTTGACAGATTCATGTATGGAACTGGAAATCATATTGGTAATTCTTGTATTAAAGAAGTAGGATATGAGTAAAAGTTTGTAATTTGTTCTTTCCAACAGATTAAGAAGCCAGATGAAGAGTTGACCAACATCATCTTCACCAAGTTCATCATGGCAATGCATAAAGAGGCCTTTGGGGAGGACCCAGAGAAAGGTTAGTGTTTCATCTTGTTACATCTAAGATAATCTCTTACATATTAGTGTAACTTTCTCATCAACGTATCTTATCAGCCAATTCAAAAAGATTTTGTAAGTTAGGAATAGTATTTTTGCTCAGAAATATTCAAAACAAGGTTTTAGATAAGTTAAGGCAGTATTTTTACTCAGGAATATTTTAAAAGAGACTGTAATAGTATATTGGTACATTGGTGCATGAAAGCAAAATTTCAAATTGTTGGGTGAGGTATTAATAACCCTTCTAGCACATCCAGAAAGATTAAATTTAATAAATACATGTAACTCAGGCACAACATCTTACATGAAGTATTTTGAACAAAACGAAGCTGATTGGATAAACAATATGGCAATACAAAGAATTAAATACACGTTCGGTATTTTGTCTATAGGCTATGTAGAGTGTAGCGAGTATGTACTGTCCGAGTGTCTACAGACTTGTCTGATGTCATACAACATGGCCACCAGTCAGAAGTACGATCTAGTCTTCTTCCGAGAGGCCATCCATCATGTGGCACATCTCAGTCGTGTTTTGGTGAGTACATGTAATTGTGAAGTATTTCTTGTAATTAACTTCAGAATAGAAACTAATTATGTGGTATCATTTAGCCGTGCTTTGTTGAGTTATTTTCTTATATTTCTAGGAATATAAATATGAATGGCAGCTTTTGGAAACACATATAGATTAAATCACTTTTCAGATATTAGAAAAAAGTATTGGTTTTAGGAGTTTGAATTCTATTCTCTTGAGTATAGGTGATAATACCATAAATACTTGGCCTTCATAATATCACATACTTTAATGAAGTTTGTTTCATGAAAAATATATGAATTTAAACAAAATATAATGGCTTGTATATTTCCATAATGGTTATGACTATACATATTCATATATTGTCTTCTAGGCATTACAAGGTGGCCATGCCCTCCTACTTAGCCTCACTTACTGTACAGGAAGATCAACCCTCACACGGCTAGCTGCCCACATTGCCCACTGCAAACTGTATACATGTTTATATATTGTCTTCTAGGCATTACAAGGTGGCCATGCCCTCCTACTTAGCCTCACTTACTGTACAGGAAGATCAACCCTCACACGGCTAGCTGCCCACATTGCCCACTGCAAACTGTATACATATTCATATATTGTCTTCTAGGCATTACAAGGTGGCCATGCCCTCCTACTTAGCCTCACTTACTGTACAGGAAGATCAACCCTCACACGGCTAGCTGCCCACATTGCCCACTGCAAACTGTATACATATTCATATATTGTCTTCTAGGCATTACAAGGTGGCCATGCCCTCCTTCTTAGCCTCACTTACTGTACAGGAAGATCAACCCTTACACGGCTAGCTGCCCACATTGCCCACTGCAAACTCTATGAACCAAAGCCCCAACAAGACCCTCAAAGCAACAGGAAAGTCCTTCATGAACATATGAAGCGACTCAGCAAATCTGCAGCCATACATGGGAAGAACGTCGTCCTACTTGTAAAGGAGGATTTAGGCCAGGATGCATTGCAAGATGTCTGCTCATTCATGGTTGAGGGATCCTGTCCAAATCTCTACTCTGAAGAAGAGATTCAGATGATAGCTGCCCAGATGACCCCTGGACAAGTGACCACTAAGAAGGTGGATAAACTGCAGGCACATTTTGAGAAGTTTACACAGAGAGTCCTACAGAATCTGCATGTTGTTGTGTGTTTAACTTACAAAGGTATAAAAATTTCCAATTTAACATACTACAACTTAGTTTAATTCACTTCAACATGTATTTGGCAAATTTCCTGATATTTGACAGTTCTCTAATTTGGTGGCCTTGAACTTATTTTATTTTAATAAACACAACATTTATGAGTATTAGAATTTCAAAAATTGATGTTTTGAATGCTTGCATCTCTGTGTGCAGCATCAGGTGGTCCAGATGGCTGTGAAAGCATTCAGCAAAAGGTGATGAGGTATCCAGGTCTATTCCACTACTCAAGCAGTGTTGATGTCTACAGGCCCTGGACACACGATGCCTTTGTCAATGTGGCCACTCAATGGCTCAGGGATCAATCATGCAGGGTAAGCCCATTGCAAATTAATGGTTTGTTTAACAGAACCTACCCTGTCATTCTAAACCTCCCCTTTTCTTATTTTTGTGGATTTGTGGAGTTTCATTACCTTTTAAGAATTCATAGAGATTTTCTTACCTTTAAGGATTTAAGATTTTTTGTAATTTTGAATGAAAAGAACAAAGCATTGGTCACAATATTTGAATCTGTGTGTGTATAAGATGAATATAGTAACCTACAAGGGTCATTTGAAAAGTTTTGCACGACAGCTTCTCAAGAGAAGTAAAATGTTCAGGTCCAGTTCTTCTAATTACTTGTTGATCTGGGAGTACCATTATTTTATGATTTAGTTATCAGTTTAATTTATATGAATCAAGATGTACACCTTCATGTTCCAGATCCCTGTCCAGTGGCATGAGAACATAGTAGAGCATATACAGGCCATTGCAACGGCTATGGCGTACGTCCATCTCTCCTCCAGAATAGCTGTTGAGCAGCTGTTCTCTCATCAGAAACTTGTCTACAAATTCTTTTCTCCTCTCACATACATGGAATTTGTTCATATATTCAAAGTGGTGGCCGCATATATTGTCAAATGTGAAAAGGTATGTTGAAATAGTGAGAATAGTCATTGTCATATCCAGTAGACCAGTACCCTTTGTAGGATTGAATGGATTTGTTTTACATTGTGAAATTACTATTTAACTTCTGATTACGTAGAGCCATGCAGTCATTGCTCACCAACAAATATAAACTTGACTCTGTGATGCATTCTGAGTACTTAATAAACCAGGATATCATGGACTTGCATAGATCTGTAAGTTAATGATACATTTGAGTCAGAGAATATTGCACTCACTGTTGGGCTAAGGGGTAATGCTAATGCTGCTGTGTTAATATTACACTCACTGTTGGGCTAAGGGGTAATGTTAATGGTGCTGTGTTAATATTGCACTCACTGTTGGGCTAAGGGGTAATGCTAATGGCGCTGTGTTAATATTACACTCACTTTTGGGCTAAGGGGTAATGCTAATGCTGCTGTGTTAATATTGCACTCACTGTTGGGCTAAGGGGTTATGCTAATGGTGCTGTGTTAATATTGCACTCACTGTTGGGCTAAGGGGTAATGCTAATGGTGCTGTGTTAATATTGCACTCACTGTTGGGCTAAGGGGTAATGCTAATGGTGCTGTGTTAATAATGCACTCACTGTTGGGCTAAGGGGTAATGCTAATGGTGCTGTGTTAATATTACACTCACTTTTGGGCTAAGGGGTAATGTTAATGGTGCTGTGTTAATATTGCACTCACTGTTGGGCTAAGGGGTAATGCTAATGGCGCTGTGTTAATATTGCACTCAGTGTTGGGCTAAGGGGTAATGCTAATGGTGCTGTGTTAATATTGCACTCACTGTTGGGCTAAGGGGTTATGCTAATGGTGCTGTGTTAATATTGCACTCACTGTTGGGCTAAGGAGTAATGCTAATGGTGCTGTGTTAATATTGCACTCATTGTTGGGCTAAGGGGTAATGCTAATGGTGCTGTGTTAATATTACACTCACTTTTGGGCTAAGGGGTAATGCTAATGGTGCTGTGTTAATAAATTGCAGGCCAAGATTGAGAAACATGAGGCAGGCCTAAGTAAGATGCAGGAAGCCTACACTCAAATTAACAAGTACAAAAGTGAGGTGGCTAACCTAGAACCAAAGCTACATGCAGCCAGAGAGCAAATCAAGGATCTACTTCAGGCTGTGGAGTTACAGAAAGAACGCTATATGAAGGTAAGCTATATGAAGAAAGATTGTTATATTGAAGTATGTTACATAAGGATCTTCTATAAACTGTGGAGTTACAGAGCAATTACTATGTGAAGGTAAGCCACAGAAAGATTTGCTATATTGAGCTAGTTATTGGCTGCGTCTTTTTTTATCAAATCATTCTTCTGAAATTCTCTGTGTATGTTTATTTCAGTACATAACTTCGAAATATTATGAAGAAACCTTAACTTTACTTCCAGTCACTAGAGAAATGTAAAGATGTTGAAGGACAACTTGAAAAGATGATGCCTGAACTAGATCGACTGCGCCAAGAGGCAAACGCTGAGTTTGATAAAGTGAAACCAACATACAATGCCGCAATTGAAGCTGTTCAAGCCCTGCAACAGGGGGACTTACAAGAGATAAAGAGCTACAGGGCACCACCAGAAGATGTCATAAGTGTTACTAATGCTCTCTGTCTTATGTTCAGGCAGCCCCAAGAGTAAGTATGGCACTGTTAGTTAATTAGCATATCAGTATATTTAGTGTAAATATGAGTAGTGTTATTACTTTAAGGAGCTTCATTCAATAATTGTAGAAATCATCTTTCAAAAAAGTAAAATTAAACTTAAATGAGTTTTTAAGTGTTAATCATATATGCTATCATCTTTCAGTTGGGAGAATGGAAAATTGTTACTGATTCGAGAAAACTTTTTCCGGGATCTAGAATTCTACGATAAGGATAATATTCCTGATGATATTTTCTTCAAACTTCGTCACTTTGTTTACAATGAGAATTTCCACCCCGAGGTGCTCAGTCTGATCAGCCAAGCAGCAGCTTCTATTTGCCTCTGGATTCATGCCATATACAAATATGGAGAGATACATCGCAAGATGAAACCAAGGCTTAAAATGTTACTTGAGAGTGAAAGCCAGCTGACACATGTAAGTTGAATATTATAAGTGTTAAAATGAAAATGCCTTCTTTGAATTCATGTATTTTGTTTGTTAGTCTTAAAACAAAATTGCATTTGAAGTAATGGAATTAGCAAATGAGGCAATCAGTATTAAAATGCATAAATGTAAAGTTCTTAAATGGAGATCATATCGTATTTTCTCGGATTTTTATGTCACCGCCACAAGTGTTGACATATTGTTATAGTCTGCATCAGTATTTGGTGGTCGATGTTCGGAGGTCATTGTTCAGCATCTGCAACAAATGGCAGATGGTAAAATTTTGCATGTTAATGCCTTGTTTATTTTTCTAAATACTGTTACAATACAAGTATTCCCTTGCAGCTTGAGAGTGAATTAGGCAAAAAGAGAGTAGAGGCAAACAAAATCCGTGAAGAACTAGAGTCAAGAATTAAGGCCCATAAAGAGGCAGTCCGCCACTCCAAGACAATTGAACGCCAGATACAGGTGAGAAAGGGAATTTAAACAAGTGTTTCATGCCTTAATGCCTTAATCATTATCATTGTATGTATTATGTATAACTCCATTATTAACAGGCTGAATGCACTAGCACTGTTCAAGTTTATCAAATTCATACACATATGCACCCTTTGAATTGCTTATATTGGTTTATACATATATATAATGTTATATTGCAGCACTTTAAGGAGACGATAGCTGATATTGATAGTGGGGAATTGTTGAAGAAACTGGTAAAATATATTTCATCAGCATGCTTTATTGTAGAATTTTGTAGTAGCATGGCTTGCTAGACTTCATTATATAGTCTCCTGGGGTCGAGTTCTACCAGTATATGCAAGGCTAAATCTATTGTATTAAATCAATCACATTTCAGGAAGGATTTGTATACACTGAAAGACAAATTAGTGTGTCATCTGTTGTTCTATATATACACCTTGTACATGTTGAACCCAAAAATACTACCTTCTAATTTTAGAATAATTCTCAATTATCATTTCTCACAAAGTTTTATATTCCTGAAGCTTGTATTAAATATTGTTTTATATACTGTACATATTAGAACTCTCGGAAATCGGTTCTCCTGGAATATTATTAATGCCATATTTATAGAAAGACATGCTATTGGAAATTTGATATTTTATGCATTTGAGGAATGACATTCTGTTCATCCTATATATGACATTTAGATGTTTATTTTTCTGCTTGCTTAAAGTAGTAATTTCAGGACCTTGACTTTTACACTCTAGTGAGCATCACATACATGTAGTATCTATTTGCACAGCTAGTAGATGCTGCTAATCTTGCTGTCTTCTGAAATGTAGTTGATCAGAAAAATTCTGAGAATGATTGTTCGAAGTGAAGATATTAGGTCCTTGTGTATGGATTCCCATCCATATATTCAATGTTTTTAGTGGAAGTGAAGGTGAAGGGATCAAAGTATTTGGTTACACAGTAAACCTATTGATTAATTTTCCTGAGGGATGTTCTGTTTTTATACTGCCCTTTGGGTGCTATATTGTGATCATTCAATATGGTGACTTTTCCGATGCTGGAAATTCCTTATAATAAATCTAGACAAAGTACATTTTAAGCTTATTCCTTGAGGACAGCTAATCTGCTCATACATGCATTACCTAGATTTTAGTTGAGACATGTATTTCATGTATTCATGGATGCCAACAAGTATAATTGCTTATAGTGCTACGGCCAAGGCCATTTGTGTCCATAACACCTAGATTCAATTTGACTTTAGATTCTTGTAGGGGACCCCAAGGCATGTGAAAAAAAGTTTGTGAACCCTTGCAAAGCAGGCTCAAAAGTGCTGAGTCATCAAATTTTATCATTTTCGAGTCAGAGTTTGACCATTTGCTTGAAACTATTTAATATCTCATTTGAGGATGATGCAAGTATAATGAAACATTGTGAATATATTAATAAGGCATGTATGAAGAATTCCTGAAAATTTGGGTCTTATCCAACAAAATTTGGTAGAGATATGGGATAATTTGTCCCTAAAAGAACATAATTTCTCTTCAAAATTTCTCAATCAGTCGATAGTTAATCAGTCGTTAAAAAAACAGTTAGGGCCTATGGTGTATAAAACCTGATTAAAAACTTCACTGATGATGTTAGCAAATATTTCTTGCACAAGTTTCAATAAAAAGTACAAGTATCTATTTTTCTGATTTTTCTCTTTACCTTCCCCTAAAAATTCAAGAAAGGGGGCGTGGCACCTTACACTTCAGTTGTTGAACTTGTTGCTAGGGTCAAATAGAAAATGTGTATCATTATAGCAAAAAGTGTTATTCTAAATAAATCTTAACACTGTATGTGACATCATAATATGCTAAACATATTCATTATCTTCCATTTTTTATTTTTACAGCTTATCATTGCCATACACCATAAAACAATTTAGGGTATGTGTGGTCAGCAATCGGAAACACATGTATGTGTAATACATGTATGTGTACTAATAACATTTTTCAAAATTGTATTTCAGGTGCCTTTCTTTCCTAATGTTGTTCATGTAGTTATGGTTTATGTTTATGAATGATAGCACTTCCCATCATAAGTTTGGCAACTCGAACCCCTTTGAATCACTTATTAAAGCCTGTTTATTTTTGGCATATAGAATCGAAGTATCTGAAATATGGTAATAAGGAACATAATCAAGGTTTAAACATTGACAGACTTTGATATGCTATCATATAATAACTTCCAGTTGCTAAACTTATGGAGGGGGTGTACATGCTTTATGGTATAGAGTCCATAGACATAGCCAGGGGGTGCAATGGCATCCCACCCCCCTCCCTCCCATAACCAATAAAAATATGACCATGAGATAAAAGAAAAGAGTTTTAAAATGCTTTTTTATTTTAAGCTTCTAGCCCTATTTTGAAGGAAGTTGAATCAAGATTTGTAAAATTCAAGATAGATCTTAATTTTTAGCTTTTTTATGCCACAATCGCATCCCCCTGACTGAAAACCGAAATTTTTTTGGTGATCGAACCCCCACTGAACGAAAGCTGGCTACGCCCCTATTGTCCCTGCGGAATTGGAGATAATGTTTCACTGCTAGTCTAGCACCTGATACTTCACATAGTATCAAGGGAATTGATTGTACTTTGTACAGGAAACAATTGTATCCCTGTAGATAGAAGAGTTAAGAAGCGCCAGCAAAGTAACCTCCTTATGCCCAAAAACATACAAGTAAAATTTTTAAAATCTTGATTATTGGAATCAATTTCACTTTACCTTTACCTTTTACCATCTCCTTCAACCAGTCAAGTATTCTTTAACTATTCATTAAGTTTCTGTCCAGTTTCATATATTTATGATAAGCTCTTTCTGATGTCATAAGTCATCACCTCCATAGATAGTATTTAATAGAGCTTATTATCATCTTCCATGTCGTTATACAGTTGGAGCAATTGAAACCTTGAGAATCAAGATGGCTAATTATCAGAATTTTCAATCTAAATGGGTTTTCATTTGCTCCTACCACCTTGATTATGTATTACGGGTGAATATGCCATACTCACCTGTGGTATATGGCATATTCCGCAGGTGAGTATGCGTGAATATGCAATACATTGATATCAGTGAATACCCCATACTCACCTGCGGAATATGTCATACTCACTTGCAGAATATGCCATATACCACAGGTGAATATGACATATACCACATGTGAAAACGTGATACAGAAAGCCTTGATTTGATTGGTTGCGAGAATCGACTCTAAATGTAAAACTATGCTGGATTACTAATACACTTAGTGCGTCGCGTACTAATATATCACATTGATTGATTGAGTAAGTTTATTACGCAAGATTGGTGACTGATACTTCTGTTAAGTTAATATATTCGATACACAGTACTGTTGATACAGTAATCATTATAATAATTCATAACGTTTTACTTGTTCGTTCAATCAATGCAATTGACAATTACTTACTTCCGTATCACGTTCTCATTGGTTATTGTGTATGCCATATACCATAGGTGAATCTGTCATACACCGCATGGTGAATATGCCATATTCATTGCAGAATATGAAATCATGTATCATGTTTACCGCGTAACAGTTAGTTCCAGTTTTTGTTCCCTGGTAACTGTTTTAGTAAGTAATAAGCTACTGACTGATAATATCTTGGGATCAACAAATCCACGCTCAGTTATTAAGCATTACTTATGTTTTGTCACTCTGATTGACTTTTGACTTTTTGCTTTTCCAAGACCATATGTTATCATGGTACCCCCTTCATAATAAACCTATTCACCAGTTAAAGACGTTCAATCCAAGGCAAAGTAACCATGGAATGGCTCATCCTCGAGGATGAAATGGGTCCATATAATCACGCTCTTACAAAGTTTTGACAACTTTTTCTTTTTAACGATTTGATGAATGTAAACAAAGGAAGTTACTTCGCTAAAGCCTAACATACACCAATACAACATGGCGGGACCTCCATTGATTTAACTTTGGATGGGACCATGTATATCCAAAATTATGGCATATTCTATACTTTCTATACTTTCGAACTGCTTTTTTTAAATGATACTTTTTCAGTCTTAGACGATTGGACTCTCTAAAGTCTATACATGTTTATACTTTCTATACTGTCTATACTTTTGATTTTGGTGAATTCCCTATGTCTATACTTTCGATACTTTCTATACTTTACATTTTGGTGAAATCCCTATGTCTATACTTTCTATACTTTCGATACTTTCTATACATTGTAAAACAATATGTGACGTCATAAGTTTCTTGGTCACTTTCGATTTTGGTGAATTGCCTCAATCTGATTTGTCGAAGACAGTTATGGGGAAAAGCAGATCGAAAGTATAGAAAGTATAGAAACTATAGACATCTGATTTGTCAAAGACAGTTATGGGGAAAAGCAGATCGAAAGTATAGAAAGTATAGAAACTATAGACATCTGATTTGTCGAAGACAGTTATGGGGAAAAGCAGATCGAAAGTATAGAAAGTATAGAAACTAAAGACATTTGATTTGTCGAAGACAGTTATGGGGAAAAGCAGATCGAAAGTATAGAAAGTATAGAAACTATAGACATCTGATTTGTATAAGACAGTTATAGGAAAAAGCAGATCGAAAGTATAGAAAGTATAGAAACTATAGACATCTGATTTGTCTAAGACAGTTATAGGAAAAAGCAGATCGAAAGTATAGAAACTATAGAAACTATAGACATATGCTTTGTCAAAGGCAGTTAGTATGAAAGGGCATTTCGAAAGTATAGAAACTATAGACATCTGATTTGTCAAAGGCAGTTGGTATGAAAAAGCAGTTCGAAAGTATAGAAAGTATAGAAACTTCGAAGGCAGATAGTATGAAAAAGGAGATCGAAAGTATAGAAAGTATAGACAATGTATAGAAAGTATAGACATTGCCATAATTCTGGATATACCTCGGTGGGACCTCATGGAAATATGTTGGACTTCATTGAGCTTTGCCCGATGGAACTCCTTGGGATTCCTTGGGACTTTGCCCCATGAAGCCCCATTGAATCCTATGAGATTCGATGGGGTATCATTTGGCAAAGTCCCACGAAGTCCCATTGAGAATGAACCTGTTCATTCTTTCCATTTGGGCATCTAGGGACTTTTGATCATGGGATGTGTCAGCTAACTTGGGATGAAAATGACCTCAACAAAACCTTCTAAACTAAATCACATCATTTCCGTGGGACTCAATGGGATATGGAGGGACTCAATGAGACTCCATGGGACAAAGTTAACAAGGTCTCTTGTGACATTGTGGGACTCGATATGGCATGGTGGGACTTGATGGGGCGAATGGGATTCTGCACCAATGGAATATGTTGGCCTAAGGACCAAACTCGCGTAATGTCACATATCATATAAGTTATGTCAACAAACCCAGTGCCACGGAATTGATCACTTAAAGAGAATGTAAAGCACTATTATTTCCTTGCTTCAGGTTTCTACAACTAAACAATTTATAACACATATAATACTTATACACCCCCTCCATAAGGTTGGCAACTGCAAGTTTTCATATGATTACATATCAAGGTCTATCAATGTTTGAACTTTGATTTTGTTCCTTATTGCTTTATTTAAAAAGCTTGATGTCTTGTTTAAAATTGCAAAACAGCATGACAAGCTTTAATAAGTGATTCAAAAGGGAACGTCCAGTTACAAAACTTATGATGGGGAGTGTAATATAACATATTATCATCATAATTCATTCTTAACATACCATAACTACATGAACAACATTAGGATAGGATGGCATCTGAAATACAATTTAAAAAAATGTTATTAGTACACATACATGTATTTCCTATTGCTGACCACACATACCCTAAACGGTTTTTATGTCACCACCAAAAGTGGTGACATATTGTTATGGTCTCCGTTTTTTTGCGACGGCGTCCGGCGGTTGGTGGTTGGTGGTTGGCGTCCGGCGGTTGACCTTCTCAAAGTCAAAAAAGGTCAAAAAGGTCTTTTTTCAACTTGCTTCAAATTGACTAAAATTTTTTTTTCAAAATCATCTACATGTTCTCAGAAATTCAAATCTGACTTTAGATTTGACATTTGACCTTCAATGACCTTCTCAATGTCAAAAAAGGTCAAAAAGGTATTTTTTCATCTTGCTTCAAATTGACTAATTTTTTTTTCAAAATCATCTACATGTTCTCAGAAATTCAAATATGACTTTAGATTTGACCTTCAATGACCTTCTCAAGGTCAAAAAAGGTCAAAAAGGTCTTTTTTCAACTTGCTTCAAATTGACTAATTCTTTTTTTCAAAATCATCTAAATGTTCTCAGAAATTCAAATCTGACTTTAGATTTGACATTTTACCTTTAATGACCTTCTCAAGGTCAAAAAAGGTCAAAAAGGTCTGTTTTACAACTTGCTTCAAATTGACTAAAAAAAATTTTTAAAATCATCTACCTGTTCTCAGAAATTCAAATCTGACTTTAGATTTGACTTAAGATTTGACATTTGACCTTCAATGACCTTCTCAAAGTCAAAAAAGGTCAAAAAGGTCTTTTTTCAACTTGCTTCAAATTGACTAAATTTTTTTTTCGAAATCATCTACATGTTCTCAGAAATTCAAATCTGACTTTAGATTTGACATTTGACCTTTAATGACCTTCTCAAGGTCAAAAAAGGTCAAAAAGGTCTGTTTTCAACTTGCTTCAAATTGACCAAATTTTTTTTTCAAAATCATCTACATCTTTGGTTGGTGGTTGGTGGTTGGCGTCCGGCGGTTGGCGTCCGGCGTCTGTAACAATTTCTTACAACTTCCTATAACTTAACAAATACTGTTTAGACTGACTTCAATTTTTTTCTAAATCATCTACATGTTCTCAGAAGTTCAAATCTGACTTTAGATTTGACATTTGACCTTCAATGACCTTCTCAAGGTCAAAAAGGTCTTTTTTCAACTTGCTTCACATTTACTAAATTTTTTTTCAAAATCATCTACATGTTCTCAGAAATTCAAATCTGACTTTAGATTTGACATTTGACCTTCAAATCTGACTTTAGATTTGACCTTCAATGACCTTCTCAAGGTAAAAAAAGGTCAAAAAGGTCTGTTTTCAACTTGCTTCAAATTGACTAAATTTTTTTTTCAAAATCATCTACGTGTTCTCAGAAATTCAAATCTGACTTAAGATTTGACATTTGACCTTCAATGACCTTCTCAAGGTCAAAAAAGGTCAAAAAGGTCTGTTTTCAACTTGCTTCAAATTGACTAAAAAATTTTTTCAAAATCATCTACGTGTTCTTAGAAATTCAAATCTGACTTTAGATTTGACTTAAGATTTGACATTTGACCTTCAATGACCTTCTCAAAGTCAAAAAAAGGTCAAAAAGGTCTTTTTTCAACTTGCTTCAAATTTACTAACTTTTTTTTTCAAAATTATCTACATGTTCTCAGAAATTCGAATCTGACTTTAGATTTGACATTTGACCTTCAATGACCTTCTCAAGGTCAAAAAAGGTCAAAAAGGTCTGTTTTCAACTTGCTTCAAATTGACTAAATTTTTTTTTCAAAATCATCTACGTGTTCTCAGAAATTCAAATCTGACTTAAGATTTGACATTTGACCTTCAATGACCTTCTCAAGGTCAAAAAAGGTCAAAAAGGTCTGTTTTCAACTTGCTTCAAATTGACAAAAAAAATTTTTCAAAATCATCTACGTGTTCTCAGAAATTCAAATCTGACTTTAGATTTGACTAAGATTTGACATTTGACCTTCAATGACCTTCTCAAAGTCAAAAAAGGTCAAAAAGGTCTTTTTTCAACTTGCTTCAAATTGACTAAAAAATTTTTTTCAAAATCATCTACATGTTCTCAGAAATTCAAATCTGACTTTAGATTTGACATTTGACCTTCAATGACCTTCTCAATGTCAAAAAAGGTCAAAAAGGTATTTTTTCATCTTGCTTCAAATTGACTAATTTTTTTTTCAAAATCATCTACATGTTCTCAGAAATTCAAATATGACTTTAGATTTGACCTTCAATGACCTTCTCAAGGTCAAAAAAGGTCAAAAAGGTCTTTTTTCAACTTGCTTCAAATTGACTAATTCTTTTTTTCAAAATCATCTAAATGTTCTCAGAAATTCAAATCTGACTTTAGATTTGACATTTTACCTTTAATGACCTTCTCAAGGTCAAAAAAGGTCAAAAAGGTCTGTTTTACAACTTGCTTCAAATTGACTAAAAAAAAATTTTAAAATCATCTACCTGTTCTCAGAAATTCAAATCTGACTTTAGATTTGACTTAAGATTTGACATTTGACCTTCAATGACCTTCTCAAAGTCAAATAGGGTCAAAAAGGTCTTTTTTCAACTTGCTTCAAATTGACTAAATTTTTTTTTCGAAATCATCTACATGTTCTCAGAAATTCAAATCTGACTTTAGATTTGACATTTGACCTTTAATGACCTTCTCAAGGTCAAAAAAGGTCAAAAAGGTCTGTTTTCAACTTGCTTCAAATTGACCAAATTTTTTTTTCAAAATCATCTACATCTTTTCAGAAGTTCAAATTTGACTTTACAAGTTCTCAGAAATTCAAATCTGACTTAAGTTTGAACTCATAATATTGTGAGCAACTAGGTGGTGACATTTTGTCATGTTAATGCCTTGTATGGGGTATTGCAATGATAAGCCGTAAAAATATAAAATGGTAGATAATGAATATGTTTAGCATATCATGATGTCACAAATAGTGTTAAGATTTATTTAGAATAACACTTTTTGCTATAATGATACACATTTTCTATTTGACCCTAGCAACAAATTCAACAACTGAAGTGTAAGGTGCCACGTCCCCTTTCTTGAATTTTTAGGGGAAGGTAAAGAGAAAAATCAGAAAAAATAGATACTTGTACTTTTTATTGAAACTCATGCAAGATATATTTGCTAACATCATCAGTGAAGTTTTTAATCAGGTTTTATACACCATAGGCCCTAACTGTTTTTTTAACGACTGATTAACTATCGACTGATTAAGACATTTTGAAGAGAAATTATGTTATTTTAGGGACAAATTATCCCATATCTCTACCAAATTTTGTTGGCTAAGACCCAAACTTCCAGGAATTCTTCATACATGCCTTATTAATATATTAAGAATGTTTCATAATAATTGCATCATCTTCAAATGAGATATTAAATAGTTTCAAGCATATGGTCAAAACCGACTCGAAAATGATAAAATTTGCTGACTCAGCACTTTTGAGCCTGCTTTCAAACTATTGGTCTAGCTACAAGCCCCTGCGCCCCACCCCCTCTTCCCGCTACTTGAATACACAGGTATGATAACTCCATTGGAAATGACTATTACTTCTTGGGAAATGCATTGGGATGGGGGGGGGGGCAAAAGGCTAGAAGCTAGACTATCCGTTTACTGTCTCATTCACTTACCTTTATCATGTTCTTTATAGGGCATTGAGAAAAAGATCTCTCATTCCAACAACCTTATGGATAACATGGCCATGCAGCATAACATATGGACATCCCAATTGAACACTGCCAACAGTAAAGTAATGACGTGTTGTGGCGATGCTCTATTGACTGCTGCTATTGCCTGCTATCATGGCCCTCTACCAGGATCCACACGGTGAGACTGCATTTTTGTAGTTTTGTGAAAGTTTACAAAGTAGATAGAACAAAAGGAATATTAATAAATACTGATCTAATTATGTGTTAAATCTTCAAAAATGGCTACTTTATTCAAAGTGTATAATCACGGTGTATAACCCAAACGCTCCTACATGCACGACGGAGCGTTTCATTACTGAAATTAAACAAAGAAACGCTCCGGAATAGGAAAACTGTCTGGCGGGAATGATGAGCCGTCTGACAATAATGGGAATAAGAGGTATGAGTTACATATTTCGAGTATACCATTCGATTGGTGTGATATTCATGTTGTACATGGCTGGCTGTCGACGTTTGAAGCAATTAGGAAGAGCTGTACGAAGCAGTATAGTTATCAAAATTCAAAAACGTATTTGTCATTCTACCGGTCAAAACCCCTTTTGTCGATACATGTGATTAGTTGAGCCAAGATTAGAGCACCAATGTATATTTTAGTCAAATTCCAATGCTTCAACGCACCATACATTATCGTTATAGTGATTTGATGACCGAAAATCCAGTCTTAAAAATGATGACATTCTCATATTCAAGAAACGCTCCAATCTGGTCAACACAGTGAATTGGTAGTCTAGATTAGTTAAGGAAATATATAGCTTGCCTTTCCTTTTCAGGAAGAGAAAGAAAAGATCTATTATACCCCTTGGCATCAATAGAAGAAAGATTAATTCACATATAACTTCGTTTTTTCTATAGTTTTATGATTTAGCACATATGTAGGCATGACATCATCTAATGTATAGGCTTTAATTAGCTAGTTGCACGTTTAGCACCACCAGGTTCAGATGTTTCAATTTGCCTAACAAGTACAACACGTTTTTGAGAGATAGATTCGATTCGGAACTCTTCTCTAATAATCTGAAAATGATATCAAAACAAAATGGTAAGAGCGTTTCTAAAATTGTGGTCTAAATCGACGGAGCGTTTCGAGGAAAACAAGCGATTTCTCGAGAACAAGTAATGGATTTGGACTGGGATTTTAGGAAATGAGAATATACGAGTTTGTGATCTACTACTTAAACAGAAAGATTAACGTTTTCATAGAAATACTAGTTTAATTCGTAATTTGTGGTCAAATCGTCATCTTCAGATTTGTTTGATCTACACTACAGAGCTTTGATCAAGCAAATAACAGTTTACCACCAGAAGTTGAATAAATAAGATCTTTGCTCACGGTATTTTTTCATTGAATGGTACATAATATTCCACCATGACATATGATATGTAAGAGAAACGAGAGAAACAATACTTACGGTCATAGTAGAATCTTCATTAGCCGCCATTTTATTTCGCTCCGGAGCGTTTCCGCGTAAATGTAACGCTCCGTCGTGCATGTAGGAGCGTTTGGGTTATACACCGTGATAATAGGAGTGCTCGGAATTAGCATGATCTGGTATATTAAAGATTTTTTGAATATATTGAACTGATCTCAGTGGGTTGTCTTTGTTAGCAGGGAAATAATTTGTCCAAAGGATCTTGATAATAATTTTAGATTTGTGAGAGTAACCTAGTATTTTGATTTCATTGAAAAAGTGTATTGAATTAAAGTAAATGTAGTTGCTAAATATACATGTACTGTCCAAGACTCAATCATGAGCTTCTTTAAGATACAACAAATGAATCAGAACATTGAACCCTCATGAAAAGAAGATTCAAGAAAGTTAAGTGATAATTCATATTTGTAATTGTGTTTAACAGAAAGGAGCTGTTGGATGATTGGATGGAAAGATGTCGATTAGGGAACTTTGACCCATTCTTTGTTGTGGGGGCTCAAAGAGACAAACCTATGACATCATTGAGTGTTCGTCTACATAATCTCTTAGCACGTCCAAGCATCATATCCGGGTCTATCACCCCACCACAGACAAGAGGCACAACACATCTAACAGGTAAAACTCACAGCTTTTGATATTGTCAAGTTCATCTCTTGACTATACAATTATTTGATATTCATTTTTTCTCTTGCCTTGCATTGCCATTGCCAATTGTGTGCCTTTTTGGAAAAAAGTTAAAGTTAACTGATTTTCTGTCTGTCTCCTGTACTTTATTCTATGCTGTTTCACTTAGTTTAATAATGAGGACCTGGAATAATATGTACATTTTGATAAAGGCAATCGGCAGCATCGTGTCTATATTTATTCTTAGGTGACATTCATAGTAATGACATACACAGTAGCTCTAGTTCACCTGATGATGCGGATGCTCACTCTGTCACCAGTGGACCCAGGAGTGTTCAAGAGGGTGGGGCTCATCAAGCCAGTGGCGGTCCACAAGTAAACCAGGCTCAGAGAGAGTCAAGCAGTACTCTCCATGTCCCAGTGACCAACACACATAGAGTCACCACCAATGAAGAAACAACCAACATGGATGTATTCCCAGAGGAAAGCCCTACAATGGAATATGTGGCAATCAGGCAAGAGTTCAGTATTCAAGATGTCCTAAGTACATTTGATGAATTAAGTGATTGGCAGTTAAAGAACCTTCCACAAGATGGACAGGCTTTGGAGAATGCGCTGATTATGCGTGTGTGTTGTCATAATAGACGTCATTGCTGGCCGCTACTTATAGACCCTGACAACCAGGCTGATGTGTGGGTGACAACACTTCAGACAAGTGCTAACATCATACGCGACAGTGATGTCATCCTTGAGGACTTTGACGAATTTTGTAAGTATTTCCATCTTATGCACAAAGACATTATCTTCGTATAAAAGTTGAAGACTTTCAAAATACAACTAACTCAACTGTATTACAGATTTTAAACTTGACAATAGAAATTTTGATTAAGTGAGTTATGGATTCAAAATGAAATGTTGCATCAAACCAGTCTCTTTTTGCACCATTTCAGACCACTTTTGCAAGCTCCATATATTCCAAGTGTTGTAAGTCATCTAATTTTACATGTCACATGTTACAGTGATGCAAATAAATGATGCACTGGGGGCTCAGGGGGAGAACTCAGACCACCAGTATGACAGTAGGGATATTCCACCCAGTAGACAGACAGCCATCAGCTTCTCTGACATCACCAGTGAGATCACAATGTCTGACACTGGAACTAGTCGCTCTCATTCAAGGGCTCATACTGGCACTTTGTCTCGCTACACTGAATCACGCTCCAATGTCTTTGAGTCAAGAGCATACACAAGGTAATAGTTTAGTTACCTAGTGGATTTGTCGAGGTGCCTTAGGGTGATATCACTTAAAATTAGTCATTGTCGCCTTTCACTTAGGGGTCAAAGATTTGCCTTGTGTGTCGTGTAAGCGAACTGTGTATTCATCAATTGTAATGAATGAGGATCGTGATAGGAAGTAGCATATTGACAATCGTGATAATACATGATTGCATAAATTATGAAGTTGTATAATGGCATAAATCATGTCAAAGTTTCATGTGGTAAGTCATGACAATGTTGGAATGAATTGTGTCAAAGTTTCATGTGGTAAGTCATGAGAATTGTTCATGACAATGTTTCATGTGACAAATCGTGCTATATTATTGTTATCCCAACGAACGAAGTTCGGTAGGGATATAGTGAAGCCCTCCGTCCGTCCGTCAGTCCATCAGTCAGTCAGTCCGTCCGTCCGTCCGGAAGATAACTCAAATATTAGTTGACAGATTTTCTTTATATTTGGTGGAAAGATGTATATTTTTTTCAAGATGGCCGCCGCTTTAAAAATGACGGGACTTTTTCGTAGAAATCATAAATTTTTCATTCTGAACCAAAGTAATTAATATTATTGTTTGAAATTTCGGTAGTATATTTGCAACATCTATCTATTTCACATATATTCCGTGTTTTTCATCCTGACCCCCAGGGGCCGTGTAGGGGGGTCAGGAAAACAGAAATTTTCGCTAATTTTTAGATCTTTCTGAAGTATAGCTTTATTATACTCAAATGAAAGGTAATTAAGAGTAGATTGCAAATATTGTTTCTTTTTTCTGATTCGAGCCTCGTAAAATTCAAAATGGCCGTCTAATGTACGATTTCACAATAATTTTTCGATCCCTTCAAAGTATGGCTATATAATACTCAAATTGAAGGAATTTTGGAGTAGATCACAATTATGGTATTATTTGTCAGATTTGTACCTCAGAAAATTCAAAATGGATTTTTTCAAGATGGCCGCCGCTTTAAAAATGACGGGACTTTTTCGCAAAAATCATAAATTTTTCATTCTAAACCAAAGTTATTAATATTATTGTTTGAAATTTTGGTAATGTATTCGCAACATCTATCTTTTTTACATATATTCCATGTTTTTCATCCTGACCCCAGGGGCCCGTGTATGGGGGGTCAGGAAAACAGAAATTTTCGCTAATTTTTAGATCTTTCTGAAGTATAGCTTTATTATACTCAAATGAAAGGCAATGAAGAGTAGATTGCAAATATTGTATCTTTTTTCTGATTCGAGCATCGTAAAATTCAAAATGGCCGTCTAATCACTTGGTGAAATCAATAAAATAATATATAAAAAGATGTTTTATTTTCGGATATTTGTGTAAAAAGATGCGTAATAATACAGTATTTCCATTCAGTATTGTAATTATTATATTATATTATGAAGGAAAAAAATATAATCAGCATAATATACTCTATTATATAGAGATTAATATAATATAATTAAAAATAAGTGAGATCCAAATATGATGATTGCAGTTTATTTAGAATTTTTTTCTATTCTAAAAAATATTATTTTCTAGTATTTTTCAATCTAAACAGAATATATCAAATTATATTGTATTATTTGGGTTCTAAAAAATATTATTTTTATTTATTTTTATTTATTTATTTGGATTCTACGCTTTTATAACAGCGGCACTACAATTGTGTGCATCCAGTTGGACATTTACATACAATATTAGCATTTTTTCTAAAACATGTTTAAAACCAGCTTTATGTAGTCTGTTAAAGTACTAAAATAATTGTTATGCTAAAATACTGACTTTAAAAAACATTTACTAATGTTGTCAAAAGTGTGACCCATATCGTGTCCACCTAGGTTATAAGCCTCATCCCCGATAATCCATTTTAACTGCTGTAGGGGAGGACTTTCAAAGAATATGTCAGAAAGATTTTTGGGTATCGTTTTGCTTATAGTTTCATGAAAAATAGCTCGGTCAGCTTGAAATTGTGGGCATATCGTAAGTCTATGCTCCAGATTTTCTATTGTGTCTGGGCACCATTCGCACGTAGGAGATATGGGGGGGACTATGTTCTTCCATTTACTCTTTTCATCTCGCAAGTTGAACTTCCCTGCACGTGCAAGGAACTTAATGCGGGCACTTTTGAAGTCGAAATCATTTTGAAGATAATACGCTAAACCATTGTCTGGCTGTAAATTTAGGGAATTGTAAAGGTTAAGACTGCTTTTCTTTGCAACTCCCTCCGATATGTAATCATTAGACATTTTATGAATTCTTTCTGTGTAAAATCTTCTAATATTTTCCTCTGGCTCTTTACTCCCACCTGAGAAACCTAACTTAATCAATGCGCTATGCATAAAATGTACATAATTCCAAGGATTTCTAGTTCCACATTGCATCCGCTTCTCCATTTGGGATAAGAGAAATGCGTTAAGCGAATGAGGCTTATGGTATTTTACATACAAAAAGTATTCTATTTGCCTTTTAAGGATGACAAATTTAATTGGAGACCAACCAAGGTCTGCTATAATAGCCTCATAGGCTGGGGTACCTTTAAGACTTAAAATTGCTCTCCCAGCATTATACTGCATGGATTTTAAGTTTGAGTCATTGGTTTTTGTATCGGATGCCCAGATTGGGCATGAGTGAAGTATACTCGATAGAAAGTTACTTTTATATAGCTGTGTACCGAATTCGAGGCGTTTTACATTAAGGTGTTTATTGAGTGTGTAATTAATAAAACCGTTAAGCTTCTTGGATTTAGGTATCATTAGGTTTATGTGTTCAGTATCTTGTAAGTTTTTGTTAAAATAATACCCAAGATACTTGTATGACTGAACTTCTGAAAGTTTCAAGTCACCAAAGGGCCATTCTTTACCTTTATCTGTTTTTTGACCGACAACCATGACTTTGGATTTTCTTTCGCTAAATGAAAACCCCCATTTAATTGCAAAAGAATTTACTATCGCGAGCATTGTTTTTAATTCTTGTTCTGACGTAGCAAAGAGCACAATATCGTCGGCAAACATTAGAGCGGGAATGTGTTGTTTGTTCAATTTCACTCCCATGTTGGCCGCTAATAGCTGGTCTTGGAGATCGGACATAATGATTGAAAACAGTGTTGTAGAGAGCACACAGCCCTGTTTTACTCCGAAAGAACTAGAATACCAATTCGTTTCATTACCTTCACCAAATACGACTTTTGTTTTATTATCGTTATACATTTCCCGAATCAATCTCCATATCTTGCCTCTTATACCTTTCTTCCATAGGGTTAAAAACATTAAGTCGCGATCTATTACGTCAAATGCTTTAGATATATCTAGGAAAGACAAAAATGTCTTTTGACGGCTACTTTTTCTAAGGCTGCAGATTGACTTCATTGTGAAAATATTATTTTCGAGGCGGTGGCCTTTTCTAAAGGCTCCTTGGAATTCACCGAAAATATTTTCCGCTTCGCAAAAATTTATAAGATCCTTATTAACTATTGAACAAAACAATTTGAAAACATTGGAAGTGATTGTGATACCCCTAAAAAGGTTAAGGTCGTGTGGGTCCCCTCCTTTGTGGAGGGGCTTTAATATTCCTTCCTTCCACTGTTCGGGAAAAGATTCGAGATGTTTGCATTTAGTAAATATATCGGTTAAAGTTTCACTTATGATTGGGCCTCCATATTTCATAAATTCGTTAGGGATTAGATCAGTGCCAACAGCTTTCCCATTAGATAACTTCTTGATATGGCTGTCAAGGGTCTCGATGTTAAAATCAACCTGATCTAAAATATTAGCATTGGGGTTATCTGGGTCAACAAGGTTGAACTCATGGTTAATAGAATTGCTTAAATCATTAGGGATACCGGAGGATTCAATGTTTCTGCTCTTTTCCCCTACATTTTTCCAATATTCCTTTAAAATAACGGCAACTTTCTTGGGGTCGTCAATGATAATATCAGGATATTCTGGATGGGCAATTTTTATTGGGCTGTTATTGTTCCTATTGAACATGTTAAGGGTATTCCAATAGGACCTGTCATTAGAACATTTCTTACCTGCATTTTTTATTATAACATTAATGTGGTGATTTACCATCTTATTCTTAATATACTTAGAGACGCGGTCTTTTCTTTCGAGATAGATATTCCAAAGATCATGAAAAGCATCTATATCATAGATACCGGATGATCTCCAGAATCTGCGATTATTCTCGCCCAACTTGATGTACAATCCATCTGGTTAATTACTTAACCAAACAAAACAAAGAATGCACAGCATGGCAGTTAATAGGATTAACCGTTCTACTGGCCTTCTCATCTCCATTACTTACAAATGTCACACATACATTTTATTTTTATTGTTCTATTTCTATTTGAAACATATTTACAAAATAATTATTTAGAAGAAATTAATGAATTTAATTTGATTTAAATTAATGTTAACAATGGAGTAAACATGTGAAGAAAAGTTATCAATTAAAAATCAAAAAATTATCTTTCCAATGAATTAATCAATTCAATCCAAATTTTAACACAATGTTAATCATAGAAAGAGGGACACTATACCATCAAATAAATATGAAAAACTTTTTTTTGTGGAAATTAGAAGAATCAGTTCTAGATATTAATCCATTAACTCTAACAAACGGATTAGTTACCAGTGAACAAAACTCATTTCGTAGAAATTGAAAAAACTTAGGGATTAAGGTATTACTCATATTGCTCTGACATCAATACATGCGTAATGTATTTAACTGAAAAATTGAGCAGTTCTGTGTCAAGACTATTTTTGTGGTTGGCAAAGTGAATACAGGTGGTTGTTTGTGTCTGTGTAAGAGGGGGCCTTAAATGTTGTTTGTTGTAAACTTAATGTGGCAGAGAAACAAGGGAGTAAAATATGAGGAAACCCATTGATTAAAACTTAACTTTCCATTGAGTCAATCAATTAAATCCAAATTTTAACACAATGTTAATCATAACATAAGGGGCATTATACAATCAAATAAATATGAAAAACTTAATTTTCAAATAATTTTTTTGTGGAACATAGAACTGTTGGCTGTAGGAAATTAATCCATTGCCTCTAACAAACGGATTAGTTATCAGTGTTAATGAAGCTCATATTAAAGAAATGAAATAATTAGGGATTAACATTTTACTTATCATATTGCTCTGACATGCTGTACATGTATGTCAATATGTTATTTACATCAGTTTGTTCTACCATGCACCAATTTGCTCAAAGCGTAATCATTGCTTTGTCAGATGAAACATTAGGAATAAATGTAAATTGTGCCCACTTCTTTATTTTCATTATCAAACAACTAAACATACCGATTCTCGCACCTTTTGAATATATACATGTATATTTGGAAATGGAAAACAAAGAAAGTTGTAATAAAAAGAAATGATCCAATTGTAGAAGACACAAATGTATAACATCATGTACTAATCTGATGTTTATATCCCCCTCCCGGGATATCCCGGTTTATATCTCAGATATTATATGGATAACAGAAAACACACGAATTGTGAAATGTGAGAGAATACAAGTTCTTATTTTGTTTTAGCATGGCTTAACACCACTTGTATCGGTTAACCTAATGGACGTTTCCTTATTTATTATCAGCCCAGGGGATCAAAACATACCAAGGGTTCAGAATTTATAATAGGATTTTGAAAGAATTTTGGCAAGGGGGAGGGTGATTTACTCGAACCCAACGACCCCCCCCTTCCTTGCCATGGACCTCTATCAAATTTGTATTGTATTGATATATAGCAATTTCGTGTCATCAATGTTTTGTTGTTTGTGAAGTGAATAAAGGTGTTTGTGTCTGTGTGAGAGAGGGCTTTAAGTCTTGTTTGTAGTAAGCTTAATTTGACAGAGAAACTATTGATTTAAATTGTGAGGAAACCCAATGGAGTAAAAATGTGAGGAAAGCCATTGATTAAAAATTAACTTTCCATTGAGTCAATCAATTAAATCCAAATTTTAACACAATGTTAATTATAACGTAAGGGACATTATACGATCAAATAAATATGAAAAACTAAATTTGCAAATTATTTTTCGGTTGAAATTAGAACCATCGGCTGTAGAAATTAATCCATTAACTCTAACAAACAGATTATTTATCGGTGTGAACAAAACTCAAATCATAGAAATTGAATAATTAGGGATTAACGTTTGACTTATTATATTGCTCTGGAATGTCAATACATGTATGTGAATGTTAAAAAACTATATGAATTTGAAAGAATCTTTGGCCACGGGGAGGGGGGGGGGGGGTCCTTAAGTATGGTTCTGTATAAAATGTGTAATGTGTTGATTAATTATTGAGCAGTTCTGTGTCATGACTGTTTTTTGTTGGCAAAGTGAATACAGGTGGTTGTTTGTATCTGTGTAAGAGGGGGATTTAAGAGTTGTTTGCCAAAAACCTAATGTGACAGAGAAACAATGTAATAAAAATGTGAGGAAAACCAATTAATTAAAAATTCAAAAATTAACTTTACAATGAATTAATTGATTGAATCAAAAATTTAACGCAATGTTAATCATAACAATTTGGACATTATACAATCAAATATATATGTAAAAACTTATTCTGCAAATTATTTTCGTGGAATTTGTTAAGAGCCATCAGCTGTAGAGATTAATCCATTAACCATAACAAACGGATTAATAATCAGTATGAATGAAACTCATTTCATCGGAATTGAATAATTAGGGATTAACGGCTGGAAAATAAACGCGTATAATCGGTTTTTGATTGCAGATGCCAACATATTATTTGCTCCTGAGAAAAATATTATTCTATATTATATGGTATTATATGTTGTTCCCTTTAAATAATACACGAATAATATTATTAAATCAAAAATAATTCTTCAAAATACGTATTATATTTTTTTCCGCTATAATACAAAAAATAACTGCCTACTATACTGGAAAAAATATTCTCTATGATTTTCTCTTAATGCAACTTATTTTGCAGTATATTAAACATTTTATTCTATATTATTTTTACATTTTTACCAAGTGAATGATTTCGCAATAACTTTTCGATCCCTTCAACATATGGCTATATAATACTCAAATTGAAGGAATTTTGGAGTAGATCACAATACACTATATTATTTTTCAGATTTGTACCTCAGAAAATTCAAAATGGTTGCTTTGCAGGAATTTGCAATTCTAAAATCTAAATTTTTCAATTTTAACCAAAGTAATGAGTATAATTGATTGGAATTCGGTAATTGATATTTTGTTTGTTGCGATTTGCTACTCCGCGGAGTTGCCATTATCTAGTTCAATTAGCAAATAATAATTAAGAAGTATCGTTTAGATTCTAGGAAAAAGTATAAAACGTATAACTTAACAAATTATGCATGACACAAAAACTCAATAATAGATACATGTATTGTAACCTCCTTCAAAATTAGTCTGTTCCTTTGAAATGTGATTTAACAGTTAAAATATATGTGTAGAATTTAAACACATACAATGTTAAAACTCATGTAAGGCATGGCTGTTGAATATTATACATGAAATGTTGATATGAGAAAGTCAACTGGTCAGCTAAGTACTCGAGCATTTGCCTGGAAATTGAGGATTGTGGATTACGATCCCCACTGGGGTGATGAACTAACTTCTTCACATTAGTCCTTATAATAGGATTTCATTCATTGTTTTCATTAACCATCTGAACATTATTTTGCAGTCGTAGTGCAGTATCTCGCGGTACTGGTGTTGGAAGTGACTACAGACCAGTCACATCTGTTACTAACCCTACAGAGATGTACAACTTCACCATTGAAGATGAGATTGTACATCCTGAAAACAACCTATGGATTGTTGAGGCTGATGATGAGGAACTGGATTATAAACTGGCTAATGCTATACTGCATGGTGAGTTAATACAGTGTCATACTGCAAACATTCAATTTTTCATGTAAATGAAACGTCTACTCTCAGTTGAGAGAAGTGATTATATATTGTTATAGTCTTCAGTTGTTGATATCTGTAACAAATGGTTACACTTTTGTAATTGTAGCAAATTGGTGACATTGTCATGTTCATACCTTGTTTGTATCTGATGCTCTACTGTGCACTGTAAACCCACTGTAATAAATGCTATACAATACCATTAATATTGTATGTATTGTATTTCTGTTTTAATTGCCGTACAATTCTGTTGTAGGTATTACTGTATTAGTGAGCCATTGTGAAAGAAAACCCCTGGATCCACTATTCAGGGCCCTGTTGTTGAAACAATTCACCGTGGATAAAGAGGGGAATAGGACAGTTAGGGTGGGAGATATGGAGCTTCTTATACACCAGGACTTTTGCCTCTATTTCAGTACATCAGCCCCACTTTTCTTGAAAGGTAAACAAATTACACTTAAGATGTAAATGAAGGTTAGAGTTACACAGTAGATTTAATTCCTTCATTACAAAGCACTTTGACAACAAAAGCTTTGTAATAAAGAATTTTTGAGGTAACTTTCATAGGAACAAAATCCCTTGTTAAAAAAGTTTTTTTCAAAATGCTGCATGACGTAGCAATTTAAAGCTGATGTGTAACAGGTACCATAAAAATCGTCTGTGGGGAAATTAATACGACAATGACATAATGTTTTAGATATCAAAGCCTTAAACATTAAAAAATAAAGTTTACATGCTGGTAAATATATTTGTTGTAGAAATGATTATAATCTGATTGATGCACCATAATAAGTTTTCCTTACAGTACAATGTTCAGTTTGCTGAGTACTTCAGAAATTCACAAGAATATTTTTTTGGAAGATAGTTATGGTAACTCTACTAATATTATAGGTGATGGCTACCAGAGATTGCCTGTTGAGAAGGTGTGTGTCATAGATATGACAATCACAGATACTGCCTCGGTAGATCGCTTGCTGTTTGATTTAATGAAGCTAGAGCGACCAGAGTTTGAGGGTCAGCGCAAGTCTATAGAGGCTGATCTGGTTCATCATAAACATGAGCTCAACAAGGAACAGGTACTGGAAAATATGTAAACACCTCTCTATTGTGAACACCTCTTAATTTGAACTCCCTTTTTGGGTTTCCACTTGGGTACTATAAAACACATTGAATTCACAGCAGCAATTTTCATGAATTTGTACTTCTGGTTCTTTTCATTTATCCATGCTTCTGCAACTTTTGAAAGTGCCTCAATTTGTGCCAGGTGTACAATTCTAAATTATGTCATCTTGAATTCACGATTTTACCATTTCAAGAATGTTCCTTTGAGATGTCTGAAAATTGTATATGTTTTACAGTATTTTATTAAATCATAATGTTAGACACTACATTGAAATGACCATTCTCTGAATGCAGCTCTAGACATCTTCCACAATGTTCCTTCATTCAGAGTGTCATCAGAGAACATTGGATGATGCCTAGAGTCCTGTGTCTGGGAGATATGGGAACACCTCTCAATGTGAATGCAGCTCTAGACATCTTCCACAATGTTCCTTCATTCAGAGTGTATCATCAGAGAACATTGGATGATGCCTAGAGTCCTGTGTCTGGGAGATATGGGAACACCTCTCAATGTGAATGCAGCTCTAGACATCTTCCACAATGTTCCTTCATTCAGAGTGTCATCAGAGAACATTGGATGATGCCTAGAGTCCTGTGTCTGGGAGATATGGGAACACCTCTCAATGTGAATGCAGCTCTGGACATCTTCCACAATGTTCCTTCATTCAGAGTGTCATCAGAGAACATTGGATGATGCCTAGAGTCCTGTGTTTGGGAGATATGGGAACACCTCTCAATGTGAATGCAGCTCTAGACATCTTCCACAATGTTCCTTCATTCAGAGTGTCATCAGAGAACATTGGATGATGCCTAGAGTCCTGTGTCTGGGAGATATGGGAACACCTCTCAATGTGAATGCAGCTCTAGACATCTTCCACAATGTTCCTTCATTCAGAGTGTCATCAGAGAACATTGGATGATGCCTAGAGTCCTGTGTCTGGGAGATATGGGAACACCTCTCAATGTGAATGCAGCTCTAGACATCTTCCACAATGTTCCTTCATTCAGAGTGTCATCAGAGAACATTGGATGATGCCTAGAGTCCTGTGTTTGGGAGATATGGGAACACCTCTCAATGTGAATGCAGCTCTAGACATCTTCCACAATGTTCCTTCATTCAGAGTGTCATCAGAGAACATTGGATGATGCCTAGAGTCCTGTGTCTGGGAGATATGGGAACACCTCTCAATGTGAATGCAGCTCTAGACATCTTCCACAATGTTCCTTCATTCAGAGTGTCATCAGAGAACATTGGATGATGCCTAGAGTCCTGTGTCTGGGAGATATGGGAACACCTCTCAATGTGAATGCAGCTCTAGACATCTTCCACAATGTTCCTTCATTCAGAGTGTCATCAGAGAACATTGGATGATGCCTAGAGTCCTGTGTTTGGGAGATATCGGAACACCTCTCAATGTGAATATTTTTCCTATGTTCAGCATTGGGGTCTGTAACAATAGGTTACACTTGCAAATGCATTTTGTCATTGTATAATGTCAATAACACTAGCAGCAACTGATCAGTTGTAACTATGCCCTGACCCGATCTTCTAAAAGCTCTAAACTGTCTAAAAATTGAGCCTTACTAGTTGAAGAAAACTACTTCATGGGTATTGTTTTTCCCCTTATTGAGAAAAATAGACCTTTTCTCTATAGTTTTAAATGTTCCTCGGTTTTTAAGAGACAGTCAAAAAAGAGTTAATGAACTCTATTTCGAATTAAGTCGAATTTCGAATTAAGTCTACTTAATGAACATTGGACGCAATTAAGAAGCAAAGTAAAGTCCCAAAAATGATTCCAAACATGCCTCCTGCATTTCTGCAACTGGAAGTTGCAGTTTCTCTTTGAGTTTTATTTGTCTGATGAAAGACATGTACTGAGCCATTTTTTGCATCATCAGATTCCTTGATATCAGTTCCTGGGTTTAGATTCAGAATTGTTTCATTCGGAGGCTCTATTTTACGTTGAGCAAAATGGTGAAGGATGAACTCTTGTGAAGCGATCACCTTCATAGATCTTTGTAATTGGTTTACATGAAAGCCAATCATGATGATCTGCTGTTTGATATTAAAAGATTTCGGTACCTTCACATTGAGTGTTACGAAGTAGTCGCAATAGCCATAGTTCTCTTGTGTTCTTGTCTCTGTTGGTTGTTCTGAACACCCTGAATTCAAGTCAATCATTGGTTGTCCAAGTATCGGAATATCCTCAAACATGTAATTCAGGATGTCACTCTTAAATGGGAGAACTCGCAGACTATTTAGCTTACTGTTGCTATAGTGTCGCCATGACAGTGGACCAGAGCTTAAAGATACATTCAGTTGAAAGATATCCCCACTGAAAGTGCATCTATCACCATCTTGTGTGTAGTATAATGGGCATGAGACAACACGGCAGCCTTCTCTAACGTTAAAACAAGTCTCTGTGAACGCTCCCAACCTGTCAACACCATTCAAAATGCTTTTGTGTTGATATTTCACTTCATTCAGATTCTCCCCTTTGATTAGTAACTCATATGAGAAAAATACAGCTTCATCCATTAAACCACCAGACGTATCATCTTGAACATCCTTGTCTGACAGAGGACTGCATTCAATTAGGTTCTTGTCAGTGTTTGCACACAGCGCACACGGGAAGTTCGGAAACATTACTGCTTCCTTTCTTTCAACTGATGTCACAAACACTGGTGCAAACCCTTCGTCCCTACACATATTTGCTAGTGTAGCATTGGGGTTTCTGCTGCATTCATCTTGGTAGTTTTCAGCAAGTTTGAAACAGGACCTGGGTGGTATATTGTGGTGTTGAATCTGATCACTCATGGTGAAATTGATCGAACATTGATCATTGTTCTTAACTATGTCCCATAACTTGTTTTTACTGATGATGATTTCATCAAGGTCTTCAGGGAATGCATCATTCATGCAGTAGACTTTAGATTGCCAAAATGTAACATTTTGGACACCATTGCACATAGCACAATATATGTTTTCATAGTGTACACCTGTCTGATTGTCCATAACTGGTGTGATGCCAAGTATATCATCATGATTAGGATTCTCACATAATTCAATTGTTATATTGTCGACGAGTTTTTCTTCTGGACATGCCGATACAACATACACACCCAGTGCCTTTGATATCATCTTACATGAAGTTGTCGATGTGTTGGACGTAACACTGCCACGGATATAGTCAGGTTTACATTGTTCTTGATAATCATGGCAACAGTCTCCAAATTCAACACAAAGCACGTCGCAGTTGCAGTAGAAGTATTGGTTGCTATGTGTAGCTGGTGATGCCGCACATCTTCTGTCACAAGAGCGTCTTGTGAAATCGTTGCAACGTTGAGGGGAATCTGTTGTTGCAATCATGTCCCAATGTGCAAAAGGTGGAGCCATGATTGCTTCTATGGAGTTGACATTTATGTAAAGGTGTAAGAGGATCAGTTGGAAAAACATCTTTCGAGTGTCTTGTTTCACAATATTAGTCACTTAGTTGAAGCACACAGCTAGGTTAAGGGCCGAAATACCATTTTTCAAAATACGGAGACACCTACTCATGATACAGTGAAGAAATTCTACTTGTTTCCCTTCAACACTAACTGGTGTTTGATGGATGTATTTACTGACACTGTATTGATACTACATAATATTATTTTATCTATATCTGAATTAGTCAACTATACAGGGTGGGCCAATAAAAATTGGAACATTTTTCTATTTACTCACTTTTCTTTATTATTGCAGTTCAGTCTACAAAAATTCAGATAATGGTAAAATGCTAATTTGTGAAAATGTTAGAGATAAAAATATGAATGTATGGTTATTTTTGGCTTGTCATGTTCATGATCTGTATTCTGCGTGTGTCATGAAAAATTTCCAAATTTTCCCAGCTTGAAACATCACTGCTGAAAACACAGTATCTTTTATACCATACAATATGTACCCTTCAAATGGTCTCAACACAATTTCCATCAATTAAAACAAATGTAGTTATCACTAGGAGAAGCAAGACATGTCTCCCCATGGATAATATAGCTTAACTGACCTCAATTTTTTTCAAAACTGGCACAATATGTCTCAAAACCTGTCATTTAAGCCATGTATGACTGTCAAATATAGCTCAGACTGATTGTTCAGGTGTGTGGAGCTTCAGGAAACCCTAGCGTTAAGTAAAAAAAATCGGAACAGTTTACCATCTATTGTAACATATTTGTTAGTCATGTATTATCTTCAATACTTTAGGGAGATTGAAAAACAATTCATTGTCAACAGCCTGTGTACATATGATTTAATTACTGAACATGTCTTCCGCCAACCTGAACAATCAGTCTGAGCTGTATTTGACAGTCACGCATGGCTTAAATTATAGGTTTGAGACATATTGTGCCAGTTTAGAAAAAAAAACTGAGGTCAGTTAAGCTATATTATCCAAAGGAGACATGTCTAGCTTCTCCTTGAGATAACTACATTTGTTTTAATTGATGGAAATTGTGTTGAAACCATTTGAAGGGCATATATTGTATGGTATGAGATACTGTATTCTCAGCAATGATGTCTCAAGCAGAGAAAATTTGGAAATTTTTCATGACGCACGCAGTATACAGATCATGACCATGACAAGCCAAAAATAATCATACATGCATATTTTTATCTTTAACATTTTCACAAATGAGCATTTTACCATTATCTGAATTTTTGTAGACTGAACTGCAATAATGAAGAAAATTGAGTAAATAGAAAAATGTTCCAATTTTTATTGGCCCACCCTGTATGTCTGACAACAGCCGTAAAGTGGAATTCTATTTTGAGGTACCAAATATGTTCCACTCATACAGGTTTTATTGTAGATTAAAATTTTATCAATACAGCAGGCAGCCTTTCCTCTTCTTCCAATGGAGAGACTTGCTAATTTTTGAAGAAAATTTGAAGAACTCACAGAAAATTGTTAGATTTTGAACAAGAATCCATTGGACGTCCTTCCACAATGTTAGTTAACCTATCACTGCCTCTGAGATAGGATTATAGGTATATTGTCATCTCTGAATCATCTGACTGACTCTCTGTTCTGCTCAATTATAGCTGAATATTTTTTAAATAGGGAGTTTAAAGTTACATATCAAACCGAAACACCTACCTATACTTATGACCAATCGCCAAAACAAATGCATCGCTTAAGTATTTTCCGTACACGTTTAGGTTGTGCAAAACATTGCAAGCTTAAACTCCCTATTATCAACATTAAGCTGCCCCAGGCTACTCTTGCTTGTTTTGCCTGAATTATATTTTCTTGTGCTGCATCAGTCACTCATCAATTCTTACTTTTTCCAATAATTTTGCTTTTCTAAAGAGAGCTTTATCTGCATAGTTTGTAGTATGTACTCTGTTTCTATTAGGATAACCGCCCTGGGATAACCGATCATGGCGGTTGTTTGATTTATACCACAGGAGAACAATTAACACAATTAACAATAGAGTGTTTAACAATGGTTATAATGGACTGAAAGGACACACTTTTGTGTGGGCCTAGTAAAGGAAGTACTTGATTTAATTAAATGTGTGTGCCAACTGTTGAATTATGATCTGGAGACAATAGAGTAGGTATTCCCTAAGTGGATATGATCATTTCATTGAGAATATTAATACAAAGGGACTAAATAAAAGCATGACTCGTTGTAACATGAGCTCTATTCATACAAAGTTAGTCATGTCCTTCATGTCTATGGAAACAATAGAATGAGAATTTAATTTAAATATTCCTAATGGACTGCATGCTTATTGTTATTGTGTAGCTTGATTGTTTCATGGCATTTCATATCAGTGATTTAAATTGTCAGTTCAAACAGTCGTGTCAACACATTTCAGTCGTCTCAAACATATCCGTTGATATCAACAAGTATCAGAACAACTAGTAATCATCATGTCATCATATATCAGTCATGTGAACTTGTATCAGTCATGTCAACATATAGCAGTCACGTCAATATTGTTGTGTGTTAGCATGTAATAGTCATGTCAACTGATAGCAGTTACCACCTTATTTATGAACTCTGTTTTTAACTTTGTTTACTTCAGGAGGTAGTGATGCAGAAGACTTTGCAACTTGAGGGACCCCTACTGGAGGACAAGTCCATGCTGACAGCTCTCATAGAATGCCAGGATAATGTCAGCAAAAACAAAGCTGTCGTGGAGGAAACTGTTTATCTACGCAAACAACTGGAGGAGAAGCGTGAGTCCTATAGATCTGTGGCTACAAATGGAGCAATGTTATACCAGACAATCTGCAAGATGAGTGTCCTAAATCCACTGTACCATATAACATTTGATGTTTTCTTGAAACTTTTCGCAAATACCATCAAAAGCCGTAACCGTGGCAAAGGTGGGTCTGGAGCTGCGAAAGCTCGCGCACAGGAGCTGATAGATGTCACCACAAGTGCTGTATTCAAGTATGTCGGGATCATGATGTTTGAGCAGCACTTCCAGCTGTTCACCCTGCTGGTGACGATGGAGCGGATGAAGATGCAAGGACAGATTACATTCAAAGACATAGACTTGTTTGTAAACAGTACCAACTCTCAAGATATTATGGAGAACATAGAGTTTGAATATAAACCTCAATGGATGTCAAGACAGGTTAGTTACCATGAGAAATTCTCAAACCTAAATTAAAGTAATTATATCTACTAGTATATTTTTTAAACAACAGTCAACAGTTTGAAGAAATAAAATGGAAATGCTTACAATTATAAGTATGAGATATAGGGGGCCAAAAAATGTTGCCCATTCTGAATTTAATATAATATGATAAGATTAACATTTTTGGCCACCCTGTAGAATTTGGTACACTACACAATTATGTTATTTGTAGGCTTGGTCTGACTGCACTGCACTAGAGATGACTGTAGCTGTCTTCAGGGGTCTCAGAGAGTCCCTCACTAAACACAGTGCTGAGTGGCTGGAATACTTCCAGGTACTCTTCATTATATCTCTCCAACATGTCCATGTAACAATGATCTAAAAGTCCAGTCTAAATTATATGCAACCTGTAATAAGTAGCATGTAACTCATAAAGGATTGTTATTACATATTCATATGAGAGTGTTGAGGGGATGTAGTTTGTTCATTACGGAAAAAAGTTATTGTAATTTTAGAAAATGTGTAAATAGAGAGTAAAATATAAACATACCAACATATTTTAGTAAAATAACATCATTTTTGCAGTCTATACTTTCCCTACTAAAAATGCTTAATTCACCCTTTCTGCCTTTATTTCAGTACCCAGTGGCTCTAATGAATGTTGTACCAGAAGACAACTTCCTCAAGTTGACAGTCTTCCAGAAGTGTATCGTATGGAGAGTTTGCTATCCCCAAAGGGTAATATTCTATCATTAGGAAATTTAAAGTTTAGAATTTTTTCTGTAGGCTTCTCCTGATTTCAAACCAAACTTGGTTATATTAATCTCATTTTAAAAATGTTGATTTTTGATGATGTCTAATATTGTTTATTTTAGCTCTCAGAAGTCTGCCGTGCCTTGGTTCTGTATGAACTTGGGGGAGTCCTGGTTCAACCCGACCACTACAGTCTCCCTGAAGTCTACTCCTATATGGACAGATCTGTACCAGTTATTCTCATACTTCCCAGTAATGTACATTCTGCTCCAGAACACAGGAGCACACAAGGTAGAATACATGGCCATCTCTTTTAATAAGAAACTAACAATGTCGTTCACTTTGAGTTTTGAATTTGAGGAAGATTTTTTATTTTCTGGAAAGATACATATGAATTTACTATTTATTTTAAGGTGCATTTCCATATACATTTGATTATAACTAGCTGGAAGATTTGAATTCTGAAGATAAATTGCATAATATGTGCTGTGTCACTGGATGGTGAAGCAGTCTTCTCTGATTCAAATGGTCATTTATCAGCCAAGCACCTGTTTTCATTTCTATGGTGAAATAGCATTACATACACTGTATGTCTGTTTTTGTCCAGGTCATGCATTTGTCAACCCATCTCAGGAGATCCAAAGTTTTGCCAAGCAGCGAGGCATGGAAGGCAGGGTTCATGTGGTGTCATTTGGTGTCCGTACCCAAATGGAGCTAGTGAAACATGCCATACAGGAGTGTATGGAGACTGGCAACTGGCTCATACTGGAGAATGCTCATCTTGCGCAGACCTGGACTCCAGACATGATCCAGCTTATAAGAGTAAGAATTAACATTATGTGTATGATCCCCCTCCCACCCATTGAGTACCATTTTATTGTATTGTGTGTGATCCTATGTTACACCTCCCATTCACATTAATATGCCCCTCCATCCACTTGCCAATTTATTTCTCTTTATGTGTATTCTGTTTGGTTTGAAAGTGAAGTGAAGGAATTGTTAAGAAATGCAAGTGATTGAGCTGCAAGGATATGTTTCCAATATAAACAATTTATAACAGTTTTTAACAGCCTAAAGTTCTCTGTTATATCTAAAGTTTATTTTAACTCATTTTAAGAGTTTGATCATTTCAAATTTGAATGTTAATTGAAAATACAAATATATTTTCTTTCAATTCAATTTAACTTACATAATTATTATTGGAGACATATCTCATGTTTAACATTTGTGGTTTGAATGTTTATATGATTCATTCAAAAATATAATACGAGCTAGTATATAAAATACCAGATCATTTTGAGTGATATCATTTTTATTGGTGAGTTGATATCAAATATTGCCATGATGAAGCACAGAGAATGAATATTTGATATTTATGAGTCCATAAAATGATATCCTGGGAAATTATCTGATATTGTTTTATCCCATGATTACATGTTTCACCTTAATATCTGAGGGAATAGATAATACATTATAAATAAATTATATTTCTATATTGTTTGTGTGATGTATGACCTACTTTCAAAATATACTCAAACGCATATGCGGCTGATAAACAGTATTTTGTGGATATCATACACCTATATGTAAATACTTCAAATATTACTGGCTGTCATATGGTTGACACTATGACCTCTGGGATAATATTGTATTATCTATTTAAGTCTAACATTTTCATGTGAAATATTTATGTGATGATGACCTAATAACTAACCCTCACCTATTGCAGTATTTGGATTGGAAAAATACAGTGACACCTTTGATATATGAACTCCTATAGAATGTGGTTTTATAGGAGCTGGAGAACATTTGACATTTGTTTCATGATAAATCAATTTTGGAGTATTCATTTCCTTATATACAATTGTCTTTCATGATCAGTAGAACTCTTGGGGGTCAAATTTTTGGGCTAAAAATGAACCTTCTTCGGCCTCATTGTAAAAATGGGCCTCGTGTTCTTTTGAGAATTGCCTTTAAAATGGGCCTTTTCCATGTATTCCTTTGGTCTCCAAATTGCTGAATTTTGATGGTGTTCATATTTTCAAGGTTTAACTGTTTTTTCAGTGAGATAACAGTATGTTGTGTTATTGCTAACAGTGTGCCATGTTATTTCGTACAGGATATTATAGAGGGCCCTAAGGGTGACAGGATTACTGCTACCCCCAACCCAAGGTCAAGGAAAACAGTAAGTAGATATCCGCCAGAGATAGCCATGGAATGAATGATGTAGATGATGATAAAGATATCCTCATAGCCATGAAATTGGTGATGAAAATAGCCATGCAAAATGTGATAAAGCTGATGATCAAGATATCCCCCGCAATGATCCAGATATCTTCCAGTGGATATGTTCTGTTAATTCAGATGATTTTCATCTGACGTCCTCTCTCTTTAAAGCTCACCACTATTATTCAAATGAAGATGACATTGAAGGACATCCTAATAACAAGAATACCGAATCACATCAAAATCTGTGTTTGCGTTTTTGAAAAGAAGTTATGTATAATCACTTGTAGACAGCCTATAGATTTCTAGCCTGGCCCTTACATGTGTATGTATATACCTGTATATATGGATGTATCAATATGTGCTATCATAGATTCATAATGTTTCAGACCATTCTTGGTGCCACTGTACCAGAAGTAGATGATGAGGCTATTCCAGATGATACCACAGAGACACAGTCCCGCATTTCCTCTGCTAAGAGTCAAGTCAACATTGAGTCTGATGTCAAGCTAACATTCAGACTGTTTGTGACCACGAGGGCAGATATGGGCAATAAGATACCAGGTAGAAACTATATAAAAAAAATTACCAATTATATAATTATATATAAAAAAATTACCAATGTGACATCTACCTTTATTTCTTGCTGTATGTATGCTCTCTCAGCTTGTGATACCATCATTCCTTGAGCTTTTAATTCCATTGCTCAGTTTATTTAGCAAATATAGCAATGTTTTGCTTCAATGTGCTACTTTGTCTGAATTACATGTACAGGGTATAAAGGTCTCCCTTTCTGAGGTGACATGAATATTCAATGAAAGTCAATGTTTAGACTGATTTACATAGAAAAAGATTCCCATTCATAGCAATTAACTACCATGCATGCATTGTCTATTTCAGGTATTCTCGTGCAGCATGCGATGAAGGTGTCAACTGAAACTACCAACAACTATAGGAGTTCTATCTTGCGTAACTTCCAGTCTGTCAGCAATATTTTCAACCAATGGGAGCTGGCCTCTGAAATGCAAGACTGGGTATGTATACTTTAGTATGGTCATATCTTTCCATTTAGGTGTGGAATATCACTTTTATAAAATTAAAGGTCTGTCTTTCTTTCTTGTGACATAAACTGCTCAGCTTCCCAAGGATTCAGAAGGAATGTAGCATATGAAGGAGTTGCAATACAAATTTTTTAAGAAACTTGGGTCTAATTACTAAGATGACTAAAGTAAGTTTGATCAAAATTTTAGAAAATTTCATATTTTTGACTCAGGAAAACAACTTTAAAATCACATTTATCTATGCTCCCAATATGTTACTTTAATTTGAAATCGCAATTCTCTATGCTCCCTATTCATCAGTTTTGTTGTTCATCTTCCAGGATACCTACCAAAAGGATTATATTCTTCCCCTGTCTCTGTTACACAGTACCCTTTCCCACAGACGTATCTTCAGTACAAGCTCATTCGCCAGAGAGCACCACTGGTCGCATTTTGACATCTGTGCTATCATAGAAGTCATGAAGACAATAAAGCTGTTCTGTAAAGGACACACAGGTATAAAATATTTAAATCCCTGGTTATCCCACCTTTCCAATAGCAATTTCCATTCCAGTATAGATACACACAAATGTGCATCTTCGACTTCCAAATCATTTTAAAAAAGATATTTTCATTATTCAGTAGGTCAATTTTATGAGTAGTTGAAAGAAATCTATGCAAGCCATTGTCATAGCCATTATCAATTGATAAGGTATTCAACGAACCCTGCATTAGGAAGCAAAAAGTGCCAACTGGTTTCCCCATTGAGGGGTTTCTTTACAGTAAATGGGGTATGCTTCAGTTACTGTTGGGACGTGTTCAGTAGGATTGGTCATATTCTTTCAGGTATTGAACATATTATATCCCACATCTACGAGGGCCATAGTGTTGACAAAGGTGACCAGGCAGTTGTTGAATCTCTTGTAAAACTAGTCATGTTGGAGCCAACAAAGCTCGCCAGTGTAAGTAGGAAATTAGGTTAAGTTTGAATAGTTTTCCTTTCTAATTTTTCAACGATAATGTATCTATCGTTCTTGAAAACTACTTAGTTAAAGTTACCTGTGGAATTTGTGAATCTCATTATGAAATCTATAAATTGCTTTCTTTATTAGTTACCAAGGATGTCTCAGGGGGTCTCTGGTCTTTTGTATCATCTGCTACAGAATGAAGAAGACCCCTTAGAAACAAAACTAGAGAAGATAGTTGAGGTGAATGCTACAACTTCTGGTCTTCCTAGCACAGCAGATAGAGAGCTGAATGAGGAGAAGAGCAGGTGAAGTGAAAATTCCATTTAAGATTTCTAGTACACATTCAGGGGTCTTTCTTTTGATGAACACAGTAACTGTTTCACTTTAAATATGTTGGAATTTAGATGTACATGTCATGTAATATGTGAATTAGAATGTCAGCTGTATCCTGTCATGAATGGAATTGTGAACTGGATTTTTGTTTGTTTGTGGTATCTGTAGCTTTCATATATCTCATTGTGGAATTACAATGAATATCTTGTCACGTATCATTCAAATAGCCCTATTCAATTTAATTGTATTATGTTTTGCAGATGTCTAACTGAGGACATGATTGCTGTTGATGGGTCTTATGAGACTTTGGAGAGAATGGCACATACAGACATGAAGCCAACATATGACTTGCTGCAATCTATTAACAACATGCTAGAGGAATTCCCTGCTCTACCCCGTACCAGCAAGGACCAGCTCTACCCCTTGGATCTGTTCTTCCACTATGAGGTCCAGAGCTACCAGGCTCAGACAGAATTCATTCAGTCTCAGATTGCGCTGTTGTTGTATGCAGCACGTGGTGATATCGCCTTGGCACCTGATCTTAACAACACACTTAAAGAAATCAGTCAGTACAAAATCCCAACTGCCTGGAGCCATTATACATTCCCTCTCTCCCTCGATCTCATTGATTGGATTCAAGGTCTGCACACATCAATAGGACTACTGTCAAGCTATATCTCAGAGAGTACACGCCCAAACACGTACAACATGTCTGTGTTTCACAGACCAGATAGATTTGTCCAGGCTGTTCTACAAACGCATGCCAGAAAACAGTTCATGCAGTTGGAGAGCTTCACTCTGGATTATCAGGTAACTTGGTAACTTTCTACTGAAGACTTATGTGTATATACATTGTCTTGCTCATGCATCAGGGCTCAAGCAATGTATCGTGTCAAAGTGAGTCATATCACCAGAGCTGCAATACTGAAACAGGAATATTTGTTTTTGAAGGTGTTAGCACATTGCATTTTCGATTTATGAAATCTAAAGAGCTTTCTATTATTATGAACTTGATTGATTGACAATTGCATTCTGTTCCACATGATTGCCTGAATAGAGGGCCTGATTAGCATTTCTAACAAATATTGTCACTTTGTTGTTTCAGTGGTTGCCATCAGACATTCAACCTTCGAGTCCACCAATAGAGGGAGTATACATCACTGGTCTGCACCTTCATAATGCATTATGGGATACTGGCAGATCATGTCTTAAAGAGAACAATAAAGGCAACCCAAAAGCACACAAGATGCCAGTACTATGGCTGAAACCTGTTGACAATACCAGAACTGATAAAAAGAAATTAAAATACTCGCAATTCTCTTGTCCATTATATCTTGGGAACAATTCAGCAACATTGTTAACAAAGAATGCAGTTACCCATATATCCTTGCCTAGCACTGTAGATACATCAATATGGGCACAGAAGAGGGTGTATTTGGTGTCAGTGGTGCCACCTTTTGAACCACATGAACAAATAGTTGAGGAAGATTGTGAAAATGATGATGAGGGAAATGATGAAAATGAGGAAGATGATGACATTGAACCTGTTGCTGCTAGCCCACAGGTTGATATAGGGCTCAGCTCAAGTCCTAATGTTGGTACAGATAGTCCTAATGTTCCTGTTACCACTCCTCACACACCAGCTCGGAGTACTAGTCTACCACGTAGCACTAGCTTACCACGGAGTACTAGTCTCCCACAAAGTACTAGCTTACCTCAGAGTGCAACCCTACCGAGAAGTAATAGTCTATTACAAAGTATGAGCCTGCCAAGGAGCACGAGTCTGCCACAAAGTGCCAGTCAGCCTCGCAGTGTTAGCCTGCCCCTTGATGCCAGTTTACCCAGGAGTACAAGCTTACCCCCCAGTCCACGCTCACCCAGTGTCAGCATACAAGATGGTCCCACCCCACCACCTGAAGAGGACACTCCTCAACCAACTGTCTAACCAATAGACAACTTTATTTGACTTTTGACTTTTGTCGTCATGGCAACAGGTGTTAAGCTGTAGCAACACTATCAGATCTCAGTATTAAATAATTCCGTCCAGTTCAGAATATCAACAGTAATTATTTGTATTAAATGTAATAAATGTGTATTAATTATTAAGCATACAAAACTTACATCTGTATTCACATTTTTACTTCAATGTAATTAAGTAAATTATTAAGGTTTTATTTCTCCATGCATTTTGTACATTTGTTTTATTAAATTTCAATGTAAATAAGTGTTAATATTTATTTATGGACATATTGAATATGCTGCTACTAAACAATGATGTGATACTAATTAGATTACAAAACCATACAACTGAAATGTGATATTATAGTAAAATAAGCATTATCCGTCCTGAACTTTACACAATTTGTAACTGCTGTATATTGATATTATTTTACACAGAGTAATAAATATACATAATATAAATACAAGTATTTCAGTTTTATATAACATTTGTAAGTTGGATTGGCTATGATACCTTCTGCTTTCAATTCAATAGACTAGATGCGAGTAGATATAATCTTGATTTACGTCATTAAAAATTCAGTCAAACTGATGTCATATTTAAATAATCGACATGTAAAATTGAATATTGAAATGTGGTTTTAAAGAGAGTTTATCAACTTTGAAAATTAAATTTTCTTTGAAAATGTGACTTCTAGGTCGGGGAGGTTCCCCAGAGACCCCATGTTGACCCCATGTTCACAAAAAGTGAAATATCTTTTCTTGTATTAAACATGATATATCTTCTTTCACTGGACTATTTGAATTTGTATAACTATCAGATACATAAGGGTAATATAAAGTGAACCACTAAAACTGATGAATATTCAAGTTTAAGGGAACTTTGTAGTACCGTGCCATGCTATTTCGCCGTGACAAATCAGTGATTACTCATTTCTTCATCCAAGATAAAACTAAAAAGGATGAATAGGTTTTCTTGAAGGTCCAAATTGTATAGGTTGGGTCCGGCCTAATTGAAGTCCGAGTTTGCTATTTCATTGGTCTATCGCTGACATACGTCACATTATATCTTCATCAGTGAGTGGTCACAAACAACATTTATTTATCATGCACATAAATGGACTTTCAACATTTTCTAAATACATGCTTGGGAATAGCAGAATGTCGTTTCTGGCGTAATTCACAATACACCCCATGCAGACAGATCGCCTAAAATTACAATCGTATGATGCGAAACATTTTGTCACCCATGAAGCAAATTAATTTTTTACTGCTTGATAAATGGTCAAGGGTTACCTTCTTCTAAGGCCACTGTATCGTGGCCTTCCAGTAAAGATATATTCCTGCATGAACAACTGGTCATGTCGTAATCATAAAATTTGAAATCATATGTCCCCCATTTTTCCACATCACAATTTGAATTGCGAGTTTTGGTCTTATTACCTCACCAAAAATTCCAAAACACACATGAAGTGATCAGTGTATTAGTTCACATCTTCTGGATCACTAACTTAGAATTTACAGCCAGTTACTAATGTCAGACGTTAACGACATTTCGTCCAGTTTTCGAACATCGCCATTTTTCTTGGAGCCATTTTGTTTTAATTTTAGACGAAATCCTGATGAAATCATGTCATATCTCATCAAGGAGCCGAGCGGGGTCCGTTTTGATTAATGATTCATTTATCTGGCGATTTTTGAAATATTCAATAAATTTATGACACCACGGCCAGCTTTTTTCAAATAGAGTTCACAGTATTCCAGATGAAATCCCCTCTAGCCAAGTATTGGCTAGAGACTCGAGTAAGTCAAGGGCAGTTACCTTGAGTTCTATAAGTATGAGAATAGCATGACGTCTTGATATTTCAAGGTAACTCGTTCGAGAAGTGATGGCGGTGATCGAAATTACGATGTAAAGATAAAACCGTAATGAAATATTTTTGTTTTTTTGAAAAACTAAGAAATATACATCGCATATCGAATTTTTCAAAACAGAAAGAAATATGTATACAATGTAAGGCCTGCAGGTCAGATTCCCCCCGGTAGCATTAACATTGGTCTCACACATGTCAATTAATATTTGAAATACAACTCTCATTCGAACTTATGATCGGAAGTAAGTATGATGTTACTTTATTAATATAATGAAGTACACATCATACTTACGTCCAATTATAAGTTTGAATATTAGTCGGGTTTCAAATATTAATTGTATAACTTATACGAGACCAATGTTAATGCTACCTGGGGGAATCGGACCTACATGCCTTACTATTTATATATGATTTTTTCTATTTTGAGATGTATATTTTTTAGGTTTTTTTCAAAGAAATCTACAAATATCTCGTTGCGGTTTTATCTTTACATCGTCATTTCAATCACCGTCATCATTTTTTCGAACGAGTTACCTTGATATATCAAGACGGCGTGCTATTCTCATACTTTTATAACTTAATATGACTGTCATTCATCATTATTAAACAGTAAAAAATTAATTTGCATAATGGCTGACAAAATGTTTCTACTTTCCCGGTGAATGTCGAGTCTCATATCATACGAATGTAATTTTAGGCGATCTGTCTCTATGGGGTAGCATACTCATCAGCATGATACTATTATATATTTAGTTTTCTACATGAAGATGAAGATAAAGAAAGATGAAGATGTGATGCAAACAAATCGACGTGTATCACTACATGTACTAAAATAGCCTTCAAGGTAAAAGTAACCCACTAGGACTGCCATGTTTGACGTACCCCATATTTCTTTAGGCAAATTCATAGCAGTCTATCAATAGTCCCTTTCGATTTCGCATGAAATTTTATAAAATAAAAGAATATCATATGAATTCGAATTACTATTAATAAAGAAAATGAGATTTTCGTTTCAATATGATTATTAATTGGTTAAATTCCCAATGACTGATTTCAAATTTTGGGGAAAATATTAACGGCAAATTGCCAGCAAAATGAGCTAGCAGATGCCAAATAAACCCAAATTATAGTATTTATAATCTCCAGATATAGAGTTCTACAATAATTAGCATTTTGTGTTAAAATCCAGTTTCTAATTAGATTTTCGGGGATTTGCATATGTATATTGACCACAAAGGACGTTCAACTTCTGGGTTAAAAGCGAATTGTAACTTAGAGTCGTGTATTTATTTAGTCTTCAGGAGTTACTCCATTGAGTTTGATTCCTTGAGAGGGTTATTGCATTGATTTGACGGGTATAAAAATTGAGAAATTTTACTCGCTGGTACTGTTCACTTCGTACTGTTAAACCAGTGTATTCCTTCAGCCATATGTAATACCTTGATGGATCAAGATGGCTTCACAATTTTACATATTCACATCGAAGACAAAACTTCAAAACCTGTTCTTTTTGGAGGTGTGTTCTCCAATTCAAACCAATTGAAAAGTTTCCTGTGCTAAGTCAATTTATATGTCAAAGAATTCTAGGTCATGTTGTCAAATTCAGTACATTGTAATCATCTTGGAACATAATGCCTTTATAGCTTACCTTCAGAAACTATTATAAACAGTAAAGGTTGAAAAAGTTAAGTTGATTTGTTGCATTTTGCTCAGTTCTACATTTTCCAAACGAATAAATAAGTTGTTTAATTGCTAGAGGTTAACCTTGTCAACTTTTTATATCAAAAGACTACATACAAATATGTATTTTGAAGAGAACAACACAGCACTCGACACAGACGCAGAGATGCTACGATTGAGGCAGGATGAGAAAGACGTTGATGAAGTTCGCGTTTGTGTGTTTTACTCTGGAGGGACAATAGGGATGAAACTGCATGAATCAGGTAAATATATAAGGGTTATGTACTGGGAGGTTTTGGATATGGGGTTTATCCAGAGGGAGATATGCATATCTACCTGAGGGACCGTAGGGACCGAAGGTAGATGTGCATATCTCACGAGGGATGAACCCCATATCCAAACCGACCGTACATAACTGCTTTATCCTATACCAAGTAGAGTTTTCTAATTTCCTTTCGATTTTTTCAATTTTTTTTCACATTTTTCTAATTTTTTTCAATTTTTTCAATTTTTTTCAAATTTAAATTTTTAAAATTTTTTTTCACATTTTTTCTTTTTTTTCAATTTAAAAAAAATTAAATTTTGTTTTCGAAGCGGGAAGATATGCGCTGGAGCGGGAGATATGGCGGGAGATATGGAGGTTCAGGATATGGAAACCTCAATACGGGATATATCTTACCAACTTATCTCCCTAAAACTCTACTTGGCATAGGATAATGATGGTTATTAAGCCGGTTTAGATTTTGAGAACATCAAATACAACACTGTAAAATACATTATTTTCTCTACTCCATTGAGTAGACCAGGCAAAAGCTATAATTTTAATCATTCACTTTACAATTTACACATGCACGTGTAGTTATATCAAAAGTATGTCAAAATATGAAGTATCTTGAAAATATGCGACACTGTTCCTGTTGAGGAATAAACAAAATAGTTTTGAAGAGAATTCACTGTTGGTTTTCGAAAATTGACAAAATGTTGTGCAACGTATTAAACTATTGGATTTAATTTAATTGAGCACACCTGACCTAACCCTATCGGTAATTAGGCTCCGTGAGGAATCGATTGCCCTGGTCATGACATGGGCAGCTCTAGATCTTTAATTTAGATCTTTATTTGGACATTTAAATATTCAGCCATCTGAAATAAGGAAAGACTTTTGGATTATGGATATACTTGTGAAAAGCAAACAGTCCTAGACAATCTTAGAACAATCAACATACTGAACGTTTCCCACTCACAGTTTGATTTCGAATTCTTGAATACATGAAAAATTAATTTGGTAGAAATAAACTGGAATAATTTACATTTACTAGGTACATCAATCCTCAGATCATATCTTTGGTTTTTTTAAATATCATTTCATCCAGTTTCATCTCATTGGCCTCATTTAAAACGTGATCGACTTGCCATTGGCTGGAAAACCACACACCCATATCACAAAAGTAGGCTAAAATATTGAATGGGTAGTATTTACGTGAATACTTTTTTATTGGATCTAAGCACATCTGATCTGAGCCATACAAAGCTATGTATGCAGCTTTTCATGATTAATTTCAAATGACAATAGAGCCAACAAAGTCCAAGTCCAATTTACTTATTTATTTATTTATTTATTTGCCAAACACTTTTTAAGCAGTGACACATGGAAAATTCCAGTGCGGCAGTACATATAACAAATACATATACATAAAATACAATACAGATAGATAGAATAATATGTTAAATTGTACACATGGTATGAGTTTAAAATATCGTTATTAATATAGTCACTAAAAATTGTTTGGCACACTTGTCAAACAAGAATCCCTGGTCTTTGCCCCAAATACTAAAAACAACATCTCCTAGGCACCATTTTAATTCATTTCTTTCACGTTGGTTGTAAAAAATCTGTGTGTTAAATCA